AGGATTCTTTCTAGTTTCCATGCCACATTCCACCATTAAGCACCTAAACACATTGACATCACATGAAATCTCCGAGAAATGTGAGATGGGTGGACAAGTAGAAGAGTAAATGAAAAAAGAAAACACAGGCCCACCCACGAGCTTTTTAAAATCTATCTTCTTTGCAGGGATTTGCAGTAAAGTCCATCACAACCAAGAAAATATCTAGGCACTCAAGGTGTGGTAGAGCCAAGAGAAAGTTGATAGTCAAAAAGACAAAAACAAACAAATAAAACAAAATGAAACAAAACAAAACCAAAACAGAGAAAGCCAAAGGCTATAATGGTACCAAGGATTAATCAAGCAATAAGCTTACTTTGGCATTGGCTTTTAAAAAGTTTAAAAATCTAACATATTCCTTCCCATTACACAAGTTTAAATTTGCAGTTATCTCTTTGGAAACACTCTTTCCAAGGTTCCTCCTTACAGATACCTCAGCCTTTTTGTATTTCTTTGAATAACAGTAATTTGTCTTAATGACAGGGAGAATTATCTTTGAAGCAGATTCTACTTGCTTAAGAACATAAATAATTGAAGAAGTTAATCTCTCTGAGCCTTCCCCCCTGTAAAATGGGGCTATAAAAATGATGTGAAAACAATAGGAGGCAATGGAGCACAGGACACTTTCACTCCATCCCTGCCTGAAGCTGTGGTAATGACTGCTACAAAACACCCTTAAGCACAAAATGCTCCTCCAATGAAACAAATGTTTGACTGGTACAGCAACAAGTTGCTTTGCAATAAAAATAACTAGTACAGAAGCTTATCTATTACTGCCACATATTTCTTAATATTCACAATTATGCACCATTTCTTGTTGTAAATCTGGGTCTAATGAGTTGATGTTTAGTCTGAATCTATTGGTAAAATCATCCAACCTTATGAATAGCCTTTGTTCAAAGACACTGTAGGAATAATTCCAGACAATTCAGCAGTATACTTCCACCCTACAGAAGTTGCTTACAGGTTATAACAATATAAATCTGCCTTCTTAGTAACATTTTTTTCATTCAGCCTAATCTCCCACTTCTTTACACACACACATACACAACTATCTGTACCATCTGGCTTGTATCTTGTACTAGAGACATCTGTGTTTCAAACATAAGATAAATTAGTACTTACAGGAATACACATTTAGAAGATAAAACCTGTTGTCTTTTTTTCCATATCACCTGAATGTCTCCCAGACTCATCTCCAAACTTCTGCAAATCACATATATATACGGCCTATTTGCGCTTTTCTTTAAAACAAAACAGAAAACAGAGCTATTAAATTGAATACATCAATTAAGATTGGGTCTTTTAAACTAATGTATGGTGGTTTTCCAGAAAAGCTCCTGATTGTCTAATACTAAATTATGCAGTATTTTTCTCTATAAAATAAGTAATGACTATACTTTGTATTTTGAAGATCAAAGGGGGAGGAAATGGCATCAAAAAATTCAGGGCTGTAGAAACTCATAAAGTCATGGTGAAACTGGATTATAAAACATTGTGAATGTTTTATTTAATGTAGGTGGCTTTAATATGAAATGTACTTGACATGAATCAGGAAGATGTATTGGATTGGATCATTTATAGATGCTGGCTCTCATATTAAAGTATTCTGTGAGCTAGGACTACTTTCCTTCCAGAGTAACAGCCCTATATCTTTTTACCATATAATCCTTTTGAGTTGTACACTAATGTTTGTAAGCACAGAAGGGACTTCTACTCCATGGAGACCACAGTTGATGCTTCACAGGTGTTGTAGCAAGCAGTTTATTTCAGGACTAGATTTCAGTTCACCTCTGACACAGAAAATGTTGGTTACTTTATTGGAACAATAGAATATGGCCACTTAGAAATCTAGCTTAGGGCTCTGATTTTACAAATTCACATAAAAACGAAAAGTTAAGTAGGTAGTACATACTCAGTCACATATCCGTTCAGCACTAAAATAGGTTGAAACGTGTTTAGGTTTTATGAGTATAATTTATGCAGTTTTAAAAGATTAGATCCTGTGCTTTAAGTAGCATGTTGTATGTAAGAAGATATTAACTATTAAAGAAACCAACACCCACTTTCTTTAACTTTAACATTTATATTTCCAGTGACCAAAATTTTTAATAATTTTTCATCTTTATTACACTTCTCTATTGGCAATAAAAAAAGATCCCCAATTTCAGTGCTCTTATAAAACTTAAACTCAAAGAAACTTGTATTCGTTTTCAATATATATCTGAGCAATATATTTATTGTCCACTGCTGCCGTAACAAATTATCAAAAGTTTAGTGGTTTAGTATGATAAAAATTAAATTATCTTTCAGTTCTGTAGATCAGTTTTGTAGGAAGAAATTCAACACATCTCACCAGGCTATATGCACAATGTCAATTGGGCTTCATTCCTTCCTTGTGGCTCCAAAGGAGATTGTTTGCGTGCCTTTTTTTTTAAAGTTATGTTTCTATTTCTAGAAGCTATCCCTCATTCCACAGTTGATGGCCCCCTTTCTCTATCTTGAAAACCAGCAAAAGTGAGATCTCTCTCTCTCTCATCCTCTTCTATGTTTTCTCTTGTACCAGCAAAAGTGAGATCTCTCTCTCACCCTCTTCTATGTTTTCTCTTGTACTCTCTCCCGTTCTTCCCTTTTAATGACCTTGATTAACTTGGTTCTACCTGGATAAATTAGGGTACTTTCTCATCTCAAGCCTATGCATTCAAGCACATCTGCAGTCTCTTTTGTCTTTGCAAGTTCAAAGAACTAGGGCACTAATATAGCTAAAGGCCATTATTCTGCTCACCTGCAAGCAGAAACCTCAAGCATTTTTAGTAACTACCTTATCTCCAGAAAATTAATATAATTGTAGTCTGGTAAGTGTTACATACAGGAAAACACATGCTTAAAAATGAAGCCCCAAACAGCTTTTTAAAGGAAACAAAGTTAATAAAAATTGTGCTACGCAAATTATTTTATAGTCCAGAGATATAAAATGGATTCAATCCTTGCCTAGTGGATATTCTAATTTTAACTCCCCCCCCCCCCCCCCCGCCCCGCACCCTGCCAGGGGAGGAGGCAGGGAATTAACTGTGTTAGTTCATTAACACTGTTATTTTTCAATCTAACTTCAGAATTAGTAAGAAAAAGTTTGAAATGACTAATAATAGCTATTTTTTGAGACAAAACTTTCCAATTTCAAAACATTTTGAGATCTAAAGATAATTTAGCATCAACATTGTATAGATTTACATAATTAGAATTTAGATTACTGCTATTCAAAATGTCCTAGTCAGCCAAAGACATTTTTATAGCGCACATTGACAGCTAGACATTACATGTGCTTTTTACTGTAAGCGAACTTAAGTGACTACAATTTCTAATTTAAAAAAATAGTCTGAATGAGGAAATTTTTGACTTATTTCATTCATAAGAAATTTTTTAATAAATATATTTATATGGAAAATTATTACCTGTATGTGATACATAAATGTATCTTTTTTAAAGTGTGTAAACAAAATGAAACAAAAAAATCTAAAAATTTAAAGTCCATTTATAACCTAAAGCTGAGTGCTACACCAACAATAAGCAACATAGAGGTACCTGGTAAGTTTTCTATCCATTAGCAACTAAAGTGAGAGTAAAGACACCTGACAGAGGCAAAGGACAACTTTGCTTTTTTTTTTTAATTTTTTAATTTTTTTTGAGCCCGGTCGTGGGGCCTGAACTCTGGGCCTGGGCGCTGTCCCTCAGCTCTTCAGCTCAAGGCTAGCGCTCTACCACTTGAGCCACAACGCCACATCTGGCTTTTTTCTTTTTCTTATGTGGTGCTGAGGAATCAAACCCAGGGCCTCAGGCATGCAAGGCAAGCACTCTGCCACTGAGCCACCTTCCCAGCCCTCAACTTTGCTTTTTAAACAATACACTCTGTTTGTGTGTGCTGTGCTGCACAGGTAGCCTTGCGTAGTCCATCTGTGACTGGTAGAGGCCAGGCTACAAAAATAGTCTAACTGCCCCATTTGTTAGGAAATGGAAAGACTTGGAAAAAATTACATTAAGTGAAGCAAGCCAGACACAAAAAAACATAGGTCCCATGATTTCCCTTATCTGCCATAACTAGTATATGTCTAGGACAAGCAGAAGAGGTCAAAAGGCCATGTACATGACCATATAACCTGATGCTAAACAAAACGAACCCCAAGATAGCGACACAGAGGTTTTATCTTTGCTGTTCTTTTTAATGTGCTTATAATGTACTATGTGTGATTTTTTTTTCTTTGTAAGTTCTTCCCCCCTGGTACAACCCCTGATGTCACTGTTATTTGATTCTGGTGTTCTGCATCTTGTATATACATTTTTCTAATTTGGGGAGGGGAAGGGAAATAACAAAATGTTGTAATAAGGATATGGGATGACCCATTGTAATAATGAGATGTACAAGACACTATGTTGAAATGAACTTTACAACTTTGGGAGGGGAGGGAAGGGTGGAGGTAGGGAGGAAAAGGATGGTAGGGGAAAAAGAAAGGAGGGGAAAAAGAAATGAGTCCATTTCCTATAGAAAATCAAATATACAAATTAATTACAATGTATCTTTGTATATTAAATAATAAATGTTTATGTTAGAGATACTTTTAAAATCACAAGTCCGAAGTAAGGAATTTTTTTATTTTTGCCAGTCCTGGAGTTTGAACTCAGGGCTTGGGTGCTATCCCAGGTAAGCGTCTTTTGTCAAGGCTAGCACTCTGCTACTTGAACCACAACGCCACTTCTGGCTTTTTCTGTGTATGTGGTACTGAGGAATTGAACCCAGGGCTTCGTGCATGGTAGGCAAGCTCTCTACCACTAAGCCATATTCCCAGCACAAGTAAGCAACTTTTAACCCAGTTTCCTTATGTAAAAGGCTTTAAAAAAAATAGGTAATTGCTTTTAAGTTTTAAACTTAGAAACTTGGAAATTACATCTCATATTGACACTATAAAGAAAATTAGACACTTTTTATTTAAGAAAGTTCATCATAATTGGAGGAATTATATGCATAATTAAATATCAGCATTATTTTCTAAAATTGTCCATTAATGTTTTCAAATGCAGCCATACCTGAGTGTTCTGACTATACAAACATATCCACTAGCAATCAAAGACTCACAAACATTTTACGGTGCTTCTTTAACAGACTATGATATGAAACAGCAACAAAACAGGTTAGGTTACAGGTTACTTGAATTTCATGATGAGTTGATCTACAGAACTCCCAAATCCACAGGAACTAAATCTTTGAATTTATTTTTAACAAATGAAAATTATGCTTTTTCTTGTTATTTAGAAAATGGTTATCAAGCCTTTATTGTAAGGGTTAATCCAAAAAATAATATCCTATTATGCACCAGGCAATATGAAAATAATGGTTTACAGATATCTGTCCAGAAGATAAAGAGAATCATGGTTTTCTTTTCCACATGGACTTCCTAAAACAAAGACATTTTCAGTTTAAAATCAGATAAAGTTAGTGGAAAATTACATCTCTAACTTAAGAACATTAACTTCTTTAGACTAAAAAAAAAGAAAACTAATAGATAATTATAATCAGTTTTAAAATATGAGTAATAAAATATGCTTCTTTTGGGGAAAAGTCTTGATTCACTTTTTCATTCTCACAGCTGCTTCTTTGCTTCCTGTTATTGGGAGGACAATTTCTGATTCAGTTCCAATGCCCTTCTGTCCTTATGAGTTTCAGCATTCTTTACCAACACCTGTGGGAAATCACATACAGGAAAATTATTTTATTAAAAATATCTAAATTTAGATTTCAAAGGTACTAGTTTTGAAAAAGGCAAAATCAGAAAAAAGGTAAACTATGAGCAATCTTTCAGCTGCTTTTGCTGAAATAAATTGTTCAAAGCTAATATAAACAATATTAGTATAGATGCTTACATTTGATTATCAGTCCTACAGAAAATTAAATATTTTTCAAGATGCACTGTATTTATAAATAAACTGCTTTATTACATGGCAATTCCTTTGCACAAAATATCAAAAAGAAAAAGTTTCTAAAACCTCTCCTTTCTTAAAATGACTACTTTATGTATAGAACTATCCACATGGCATTGCTTCAATTAAAGCCACACCTTAAGATGGCTTTTATCAAGAATCTTACCATTACTTTTTTTTTTTTTTTTTTTTTTACAAATTTACACAAATTAGGAGATTCAATCCGAACTGATCATTTAATTGCTAACACTGCTAAAATATTTTTTGGTTGTTCACTGTCAAATATTGTGAAAAGTCTGAGATTTTGTTTTACTTGCAAGGTAACAAGAAAAGACTTGTCACAATTTCATAATGTTTTCAAAAGACCCAGGATTTCTGGATGGACACACAAGTTCTCATCTTTGCAGATGGAAACCCTGAGCCTGGGCATTCTTTTATAGTGGGCAGTTTAATGTAGCTAAGTAATGCATTATCTGTCTCCTAGGAGGAATTGCATTATGACTCTGTTCACTCTACAAATATCCTTGAAAAGGTAACTCTGAAGCAGGACATCCTTACGCACCCTGCTCTCAAGATGCATGGTGAACTAACTATAGCAACTTTAGCTCAACACCTCTCAGCTTCTTAAAACCTCAGCATATCTGACTAGTAAATTTGCCATGTTCTTTCTGGTTTACAATAAAACGTTACAAATTAAGCTGAATGTTGTTTGTTCACACCAACAATCCTAGCTATGTAAGAGGCTATGATCTGACGGCCACAGTTCAAAGCCAGCCTGGGCAGAAAAATCTGTAAGACTCTAATCTCCAATTAACCACCAGAAAACTGGAAGTGGAGCTGTGGCTCAGTAATAGAGTGCTAGCCTTGAACAAAAAAAAAGCTCAGGGGCAGTGCCTACGCCCTGAGTTCAAGCCCCAGGACTGGTACCCCATGTCCCCTCCACCCCCATAAAAAAACAAACAAACCTGCAAATTAGACAAGCTTTTTAAAATTTTACTGTACTTTCACTTAAGGAAGCTTATAAAGAAGTATATGAGGATGGCTATAAACCCTTTACATTTACTACAAGAAAAAAATCAAGAACACTAAACTACCACCTATAGTTAGTATCCAACTACGGAGAACATCACAACTGACCATGATTCCAAGGTTCTCTTTCCTCAATACTTACTGTTAGTTTAGATTCTAGGGCTGAAATAGTTACGATCAAATAAAATCAGTACAGCTACGCCATATAAACGTACCGAGAAAACAGCTTTTTCTTTCTGCAATATTGGCATTTGATCCACATTCTTCTTTTTTTTTTTTTTTGCTTTATTTTTTGCAGAAGGTCTTATGTTTTTGCCATGTTTAGTCTCTAGTCTTAATCCCCTTATGCTTCCTACATATAGTACTGTAGACACAAATCATCATTCCTAGTTTATTGGCTGAGATGGGGTCTTTGTAACTTTTTCCCCAGACTGGCCTTGAACCGAGACCATCTCAAGCTCTGCCTCCTGAGTAGCTGAAATTATAGGCAAGAGCCACCTTGCTTGGACTACACTATTTTTAAACAGAACTGTTAAAGTTCTGTTATTTATATCAAAGAACTCTAGCTTCTAATACCAAAAGGGAATTTTATAACAAAATGATGACACTAGGAGCTCATGACTGTAATCCTATTACCCAGGAGGCTAAGACCTGGAGGCAGCTCAGATAGAAAAGTTAGAGATTCCATTTTCAACTAACCAGCAAGCTTAGCTTAGTAGTAGAATGTCAACCATGAGCAAGAAAGCTGAGTAGGAAGGAAAAGCCTTGACTTCACATCATAGTACTGTACTCTGTACAGTACTATGCACTACATACCTATACATAATCATTTCTCTGCTTTTAATAGTTGTAACAAATCATAATTGTAGTATTTTGTTGGACAAAGAATTATGAGACTCATTATTTAAAATCAGCCTTAAAAGGGAATAATTTTGAATAACACAGTAACTCTAAACCCCTTAGTCTAAGATGAAATATTTTAAATAAACTCAATGCCTTACATCAATGAGCTCATAGTCGTTTTTGGCATACAGGTGTCTCAATAGGTACCAACGTGCAGTTGAAACAATAGATTTGGGATATCCAGGCTGATACACTACTCTCTCCAAAAGGCGTCGTGTCTCTCTGGAAGAAAAGACATTTACATTGAGTTCAAAGCTTATAAACTGACATGAGGTATTTTATATACTATATTCTATTTTATATACACATACATTTTTACAGATGTGTTACCTGATTACTTCATAATTTTTATTGTAATAATAATAGTAAGTGCTCATTAAATATTTATTATATACTAGGTACTATGCTAAGTGTTTTATACACATGATCTATTTAATAGTCACAACTTCATTAGCTAGCCATTCATTACTTCTGACACTAAGCAAATTAAGTGTTATTCCAAGCAGAACAAAGACAATTCCTATATTTCATGAATATTTCTCTAATCTTTTGAAAGCAGGAGAAAACTCAATTGAATAACCAGTCAGGCAGCCAATAATACAACTGTGACATATATACAATATATAAACTTGTATAATAGGCTGATTTACAGTGATGATGTTTTCATTCCTAATTTACAAACACCTGTGACTCAAAACTTCTGTAACAGTGGAAACAACATAAATAATAGGAACTTCACAGTGACCAAATAAAAGGATCTTATAAGTAACAACTGGTCTGAGGAAAGAACTAAAGAACTTGCCTTAAAAAAGCTTCTGCACAGAGAATACACAATAAACGCTCCATTTCTTACACTGCACACTTAATTTGGCCTGTTTTGGAAACTGTTACAAATTATGGGACAAAAAAAAATTATGGGAGGTGTTGACAGGATTATAGGAAAAGGGAGCTCTATCACTCATAATGTGCATCAGCAGAAAGACTTCATTAGAATGATCATAAACTAAAACATTCCTTGGTGAATTTCTCACACAAAAGATGTCTATAAATAAATATTAATAAATTGTGCTGGGCTTCCTGATTATCCATAGTCTTAATTCTACCTTCAGCTCTATTTTGAATTTTTTTTGCTCTAGTTCAGTAATGCCTATTATATTTATTCCTAAATCATTGCTTTGTTGGTAGAACTAGATGGTAATAAGAGTACTAATATGCTCTTATTTTCTTCACATTCATTTTGACTCTATTTCAATCTCCAATAAAATATTGCTACAATTTAGTATGTGCAGCTTTTCTAAATAGGAAGCCATATTATACTTCAATGCTTGTCTTTTTAATATGTATTATTTCTTCTATGGTGCATTACACTAACAAGAACTTGTATTTATATAACCCTGAAGTTGGGTTTCTCCTGTTGTTTTGTCTGTTTCGGGAATGCTCTTCACATTGCTCACTCATCCTCAAACAGTTGAAGCATTATCAGGCCAAACCTCTCATATTTAAATCTGTGTGCCAAATGTTTTGTTAAACAAATATGAAATGTTCTCTCCCTCCCTAGATTACTGGAATCAGATGTTCCAGAGACGACAGAATAATCCCAAAGCTTGTTAAACTAGTTTGTTAAACTTATTATAACTCTTTCCTGGATTTTTCCTAAAGGCTTTCACTAAAGAAGTTAAAAAATAGAAAAAGAATTGATTCTTTTACCTTGCCCCCATTTTGAGGTTGAACTGTAATAAAGCTTGCAGAAGGACAGCCAATGGACAAAAGCAAAGTTTCATGGCCTCAGTTGTAGCTTCTTGAACTAGAGATGGCCAGTGATCGCTAGAAATATTAGCCTGTAAATACGTAAGATATACATTAACTCAAAGTCTTGACATACTTTCTTTAAAACGCAATTACCTTCATTTATTGCTGTTCTACTTGTTTAAAACACCATACAAATGTTACAAGAAACGTAATTACGAAAAAAGGATTTGGAATCTGATCCCTCCCTTTAAGGAGCTACAAAACAGGTTCAAAACAGGTTAAACTGAGATAAAGGAAGATCTCAAGAAGGAGATACTGTTTTAGAACACTAAAATAGTGATTTTTTTTTTCTATTACACTACACAGGGAAATAAAATTAATCAGCTAGTTAAGTCTTTAGTTTACCAAATACATGAAACTCAATTTAACACAACTGATTCTTTCTAATGATGATTACAACTGTAAAGTGTTTTCAAGAATATCTGACAAGAAATTTTGAACTAGAACTTTTTTTTCAGTATGAGATTAAACTTGGGGCCCTTACCACTTAAGCCATGCCCCCAATCCTTTTGTTTTTCAGATAAGGTATAAGTTTTTTATTTTATTGTTTTTTTTTTTTGCCAAAGATTGCCTTGAACCAAAATCTTATCTCTACCTTCTGAGTAGTTAGGAACATGCCACATCCATGAGCATTTTAATAAAATCACAATATACAGTGTAAAGCTTAGCAGAGAGAAAAAAGTAGATTAAAGTTAATAATATAGAAAACCTGAAAATATTACACCGTACAAAAAATTTTCATGCATTTAGCTACAATGGTAATATGCATTATGTTAGTTTTGATACAAACTACCTTTACAATTTGCACTGATTCAAAAATAAAATGCTTAGGTATTTTGTCAGGTATATCAACTAAAGTTTTTTGTACTTGGTAAATAAACCCAAGAAGAAAAATATGCACTAAGATTTTTTTTCATTAAATATCCAGATTGTAACCAAGATTTTGATTAAATACAAGGTATCCACAATACATTTTTAAAAAGTCAATACAATATAAAAACATATAGTCCATTTCTCATTTTAATAATGTTGATAGCAAATCAATACATACTCCATTTCAACTATTACATTTTAAGAAAAAAAAACAGAGCAGTATTCTTGAGTGCTGAATAGGCAACAATAGTTTGTGTGATCAAGGAAGAAATTTAATGAATACAAAAAGGGAGATCAGAGGTTATTAAGCATCTCCTGTAAATATGCAAGCAGTGATAACAACTATATCTAACAAAGAAAACAAGGAAAGGAACATATTAATAAAATTATTTCTAACACATCTATAAAAACTAGCACAAAATTCTCACTGATGTTTTTAATAATGTACTCTATAAATTCTAAGAAATAGTATAGACCTGGGTGCTGGTGGCTCACGACTGTAATCGTAGCTACTCAGGAGACTGAGATCTGAGCATCACTAAGTTCAAATCCAGCCCAGGCAGGAAAACTCATGACACTCTTATCTCCAATACCACCAGAAAATCCAAAGTGGTGTTGTAGCTCAAGTGGTAGAGTGCTAGCCTTGAGCTGAGGAGCTCAGGGACAGCGCCCAGGCCTGGAATTCAAGCCATACAACCAACCAAAAAAAAGATATAGAGTATTTTGTAAGGTTAACTCAAAGATGATCAGCAACAATGAGATGTACAAGTCATTATGTTGAAAACGAACTTTACAACTTTGGTGCTGGGGGGAGTGGGGGGGTAGGAGAGGATTGGGGGGCAGGGGGAGGATGGGAAGGGATGGGAAGGGGAAACAAAGGAGGAGGCTACAATGCTTGATAACAAATGTACTCATTATCTTGCCCATGTAATTGTAACCCCTCTGTACAATATTTTCACAATAAATAAATAAAAATAAGAAAGTATTACAATTTGTAGCAAGCATACTCAACAATGTGATAAAAATGTACTTTATTTTTGTCTCCTCATCTCTTTAAAATTAAATTTGAGACCTACTTCGGTCCCTGAATATAAATTATAGTAGGCACCATAACTCATATAATCATTTTTCTCACATTCATTCACAAACACATCTACTTTTCAACATTTCAATCTTCATGCAAAGGTAACATCTGTACCCATTTCCCTGACTCCCTTAGCTCCCAGGTGAGACTGTGGTTATGGGTAACAGTGAATGATGCTTCTGTTCTCCAAAGTTCCTATTGCTTCTTCCTAATCGTAGTTTCAGGGCTCCTACTGGAATTTCAGAAGTTTGTGCTTTTGGTGTCACTGCATGGTGGCATTAAACTATTTAGGCCTTACAAATATTTAACGCTCTTTTTTCTTACAGGCATTATCAGAAATCTCCATTCATGGGCTATTAGTTATCCATCTGCAGGGCCAAAGAAACCACTCAGTGTAAAATATAAGGACTAGACCTTTGATTAAAAATTAAGAATTTCAAGATGGTAGCTCCAGAGCATTAAACCATAAGCGGAACCCTGAGTAACCCATGAGATGCATGCTCATGAAGCTGGCCTCTCCTCATCTACAGTTTCACTAACCTAGGCAAATGTAAAGATGCTTGTTGACTTAAGATGGAATTAAGTCTGAATGAACCCACTAAAACCTGAAAATATCAAGTCTGAATGCATTTAACATACCTAATCCACCAAAACATTACGGTTTACCACACTATAGAGTATTGGTTGTTTATACGCATGTCCATATGGTAGGACAAAAACCATGATTGGCTCAAGAGAGAATTATACTGCACATCACAAGCCCAGGAAGAGATCAAAATGCAAAAAATTGGAGTAGTTTTTTTTTTTTTGTCTATGTTTTCTTTTCAGAAAAACTCAGGATTGCATTCTGGGTCCCAATCCTTTTTGGAGTGTTTATTTTTCTATTGGATCTTATGCTTTTGCATGAGCTAGCCTTGAACTGCAATCCTCTTAACTAGGTCTCTGCAAGAGCTGGGGCTACCTACAGTGCAGACTACTATGCCCAATTTACTGACATAGTGTCCTGCTAACTTTCTATAGAAGTTAGCCTAGTACCATGACCTTCCATCTCCACCTCCTATGTACTTGGGATTACAAATGTGAGCTACCACATCCATCCTCCTTGAAGTTTTGCTGAATACTTAGAACCATTAAAGATTTTTAAAAAACACAAAGTTGAACATCTTAAGTCAGGGACCATAGGCATTCTATTCCATTTATTTTCCACATCCTCTATTCTGCTGATATTGCATCATTTCTTGGGACAGATCTAGCTCACAGGATCTAAGAGAAAGCCTATGTGGTCCTCTCACACTTGGTAAAGCTCAGTTCTAGACCTAAAACACTCTTGCTGATACCATCTGCTACAGCTCTCCTTCACTCCCTCCTCCCTGTACACAGCTGATATTCTTGCCTACCTTGGCATTCTCCACTGTTAATCACTCTCCTTAAGAAGCAAGCAGTCACTTCCTAAAGCTTAGTAATTCTCTTCTTCATATTCACACCTCAGACTAAGAGCTTCTCCCTCTGAAAAACATTAGCTACATAGCTGTATGTTCTTAGACATGGGCCTTCAAGTCCTCAAAAGGACATATCAAAGTCTCTCCTTTCTCTCTGGTAGCAGCCCTTCTGTGTGTATCTATTTAAATGGGCCAAGTAGAAATGGGGAGACAATATCTCTATTCAAAGAAATTTCTTCCCAATCTTTTTCAACTATCTAATGCCTTATAGGTTCATCTGTTTCCAAAAAGCTGTACCACAAGTAGGATACAATATTGCCACATACCACCATGTTTGTTGCTGCACTATTCACAACAGCCAAGGTATGAAAACATCAGATGTCCCTCCAAAGACAAATTATTCAAGAAAATGTGTTTTTATACCCAATTAAATTTTTCTTATTCATTAGGAAGAATGATTATTATATCATTTGCAAAGAAATGAATGTACTGAAAAAAATTATGTTAAATGAAATCAGGTCCAGAGAGACAACAGATACATGTATTTTTCTCATGTGTGGAAGCTACATTTAATTTATAAATATACAAGTAAACACATATGAGGTTGTATGCAACTATACACAAACATTCACTGAAGAATGGTATTTGCTGGGGAGAATTCTGATGATGTAATTTCTTAGAAAAATGAACTCATAGTCCAACAAAATTAATTCCAGAAAACTGGCACTTGAAAGATGTTGGGAGAGGTCAAGGTGAAGGGACAGATGAATTAAGAGAAGAAAGGAGGGAGAATGCAGTCATAATATGTAATGCATAGTCAATGAAGCTAGGAAAACTGAGAGGAAGTGTTGGGCTGGGAGAAACAGGGAGAATGATGAAATAGGTGACCTCAATCAAGATGTCATTGTAAAACATCGTAATTATAAACTGATTTGTTGAATATTAACCCCCTTGTAAAACTACTGAAAGAAAATAAAAGTTGTAATTGTAACCCCTCTGTACAGTATTTTCACAATAAAAAAAGAAAAGTATAATTTTAAAAATCGCTATCTTCATCTGTTCTAATTTTGGAAACTGGTATTTTAATATCTTCACATATACACACAGTCTGTTGTAAATATGATAATTTTAATATACCTCTCCTCACACTGTAATCTGTTTACTACAGAAATGACATCCCCTTTATTCTTTTATAGTAACTACTTAGTTTCAATTTTTTTTTAACAAGAACACATTAGACTTGAATATTGCTTTAAAGTTGATAAAGACATTTATAAAAGCTACTTCATTTTGATATGGATAACAATCCCACAAAAGGCAAAATCAGTATGCTTATCTCCATTAGCACAAATAAAGAAGGAAAGGGGTTGGGAATATGGCTTAGTGGTATAGTGCTTGCCCTGCATGCATGAAGCCCTAGGTTCAATTGCTCAGTATCACATAAACAGAAAAAGCTGAAAGTGATGCTGTGGCTCAAGTGGTAGAGTGCTAGCCAACAGTGCCCAAGCCCAGAGTTTAAGCCCTGGCACTTGCAAAAAGAAAAAAGAAAGAAAGAAAAAGAAAAGCTCCAAGTGGTTCAATGGGTAGTAATTAATTTGTAATAAATAGTAATTAATAATTGGTAACTAAATAGCAATAAAGAGAAGGTATATTTTTGTGTGTGACAGGACTGGTATGGTGGGGGCAGGTGTATGTGGGAATTACTAAGCTACAAGCTAGTTTCCTCATCTGTAAACCAGGGTTAGTGTAACAAGTGATTGTATAAAGCACTCAATCTAGCTGTATCTAGCACAAACTAAGTGCTATATGTGTTTGCTATCTATTTTTTAAATTCCAGGTCAGATTTAATTCCTAGCACTAAAAGTCCAAATGATTCTATAAATAACAAATATTAAGTTAGGCTAAAGGAGTATCTTCTTCTTGGGTTCACATACTCAAGGATACATTATGGCACTATGTGTGGTTTCCATCTGTTCTTAAAGACCTACAGTGATGGTACCAAAGCCAAAACAATTCTGTTCTTATATTGATTTGTCAAAATACCTAAAGAGAATAAATCTTAATGAATTACTAAGGCAACAGTAATTTCAGGCCCTCTTTCTTTTTTTTTTTTTTTTTTTGGTGGCATTCATGAGGCTTTACTAGAACTCAAGGCCGGGGTGCTATGTCACAGAGCTTTTTTTTTGCTAGCACTCTTACCACTTGAGCCACTGCCTCATCTTCTGGCTTTTTGATGGTTAATTAGAAATAAAAATTTCACAGAATTTCCTGGTGGAATGGTTTTAAACCACAATAATCAGTTGTTAGCCTCCTGAGTAGTTAAAATTACAGGTGTGAACTCCTGGCACCCACTGACAACTTAGCTTTTAATTATAAAATATAAATAGGATGAGAAATTCAAACATTATCAAAAGATAGGAAAAGAAATTTTTTCTTATATCATCTCTTAAAAGACTCAATCCTTTATCCAAGGTAACTGTCATCACATTTCTTATGCATGTTTCTGTGTGTTTATAAGTGTACATGTATATGTGTGTGTGCTAAACTACACCTAGTATATGCCATAAATACTGCTCTGCAACTTGACCTCACACCACTTAAACACGTCTTAATTTTCCCTACCAGTGCACAGACTTTCTGATTAATATATATAAATTGATACCAGAAAATAAGATGCCAAATTGCAAGTCTCTAGAAATTCCTCTTAAAGAAAGTCAGATTAAGAAAAAAACTAGCATGTTAAATATTAGCATCTTTGTCACAGATAAGTAATAGAGTTCAATTCTTACTTAAATCCAAAGAAATAAAAATGTATATTCTGTTATATTTCAGCTTTTAAAATTACCATCTTAGGGACTTCTCCCTCCAGTTATGATGTTCTGCAACAGTCTATGGAGTTATGCTACTCATAACTCTCTCAAGAACCCAAAATACAAAGCTTACCAAGAGGCCACAACAGAAGACAATGAAACAATAGAAATTCCAGAATTACACTATGTGGAATGTTATTTTCATATAAAAAAATAGGAACCAGTCAAGTTTTAAGATGATAATTATAACATTACCTTACCATACACACTTCTAATGCAAGCAGTGCTAGTTTCAACAGACTTGAGAGCTTCCCACTCCAACTGCTCTGTTGGGATGCCACTTGTAGACTCTTTCTGTAACACATCTCTGCAGCACTCATCATTCCTTGGGACTGATAGACCTGTGCCAGCCACTAATAACAGAAAGGGAGGAGAATTGTACAGGATTTTTGTTTAGCACAGTCAGATTCAATACTATAACAAGCTCACCTATCTCTTCTAATGTTTTTTAATTTAATTATTGATAACCTTGATTTAAATTACCTATTGAGAAGATTACAGTCAATAATTGCAAAATGTACATTCTTTCCAAGTACATTGGCAATACTGACCACATGCTGGGTCATAAAATAAATCACAAATTTCAAAGAACTGAAATTTTTTATAATTTTTATAATTAAGTGGATTTGAGCTTGAAAGTAGTAAAATAAGTCTAAAATAAGTCTAACTGTATGGACAGTGGGCAATATCTGTAATACCAGCTACTCAAGAGGTAGAGATCAGGAAGATCACACCTTGAGGTCAGATCAGACAAAAAGTTAGCAACACTTCATATCAGTAAATAAGGTGGCACATGCCTGTCACTTCAGCTACACAGAAGGGATAGATAGGAGGAACATGGTCCAAGACGGATCCAAGCAAAAATGTATGAAAAATAACTGCAGCAAAGAGTGGAGGTGTGATAGAAAACCAACAAGAGCAGGATAAAGTGAGAGAAATGACCCCCAAACAGAAAATTAGATAATCATAGGAAGAACCCAGTAGGCATAGACCTTAAGAAGGTGAATAACATGGCAGGAGCTACCAAACACCTCTCAATCCTAACTCTCAATATTAATGGACTTAATTCTCCAATTAAATGACATAGATTGTCTAGTTGGATCAAAAGCAAGATCCTTCTTTCTGCTGCATTCAAGAGACACACTTTGCCCACAAAAACATATTCTGAAAGTGAAAGGCTGGAACGAAAATCTACCAAGCAAACAGCCCCCATAAACAGGACGGAGCTGTAATCCTAATATCAGATAAAATAGACTTCAAATTAAAATTAGTGAGAAGAGATACAGAAGGCATTACATACTAATAAAAAGGATATCTCTAACAGAAGGATATATAATTCTAAATATTTATATATAATTCTAAATATTTATTCACCAAATACCGAAGCACCCAAATTTACCCAAGAAACACTACTTTCCCTAAAATCACACATAGATTCAAAGACATTGATTGTAGGTGACTTTAACACACCACTCTCCCCACTGGATAGATCAACCTAGCAAAAACTCAACAGAGAAACCTCAGTTCTAAACAACTGCATAGACCAAATAGACTTAAGAGACATTGACAGAATATATCACCCAGCAGCATCAGATTACACGTTCTTCTCACAGCACATGGAATGTTCTCTAAATAGACCACTAAATACATCTGTCCAAACTCAGAAACATTGACTTTATTCCCTGCATTCCTCAGTCAACAAGGTAATAAAATTAGAACTCAACACCCAAAACCACCAAAGAAAATCCTGTAACACATGGAGACTGAACAACACACTGTTGAACCACCAGAGGGTCATGGAAGAGATTAGAAAGGAAATTCAAATGTTCTTGATATTTAGCAAAAATGAACACACAAATTACCAGCTCCTTTAGGACACAGCAAAGGCAGTACTCAGAGGAAAATTTATAGCTCTGAGTTCCTACATTAACAAACTGGGAGAAATCTCACACCAACAATTTAATGCACCTGAAGCTCCTTGCAAAAGAGCAACAAGCCAAACCCCAATCCAGTAGATGGAAAAAAATAATTAAAATTAAACCAGAATCAAATGAATTAGAGTCCAAAAAAAAAACATGGAAAGTATCAACAAAGAGTTGGTTCTTCAAAAAAATTTAAAAAATTGACATACCCTTAACAAATCTTACCAAAAAAGAAGAGAACAACCCAAATAAACAAAATCATAGATGAGAATGGAAACATCATCACAGAAATAACCAAGATTCAGAACATTTTAAGGGAATACTTCTCAAATCTTTATGCTAACAAATTTGAGAATTTGGAAGAAATGGAAGAATTTCTAGCAAATATTGATATGCCCCAAATAAACCAAGAAGATTTAAATCAACTTAATAGACTCATATCAAGCATCGAAATAGAAATAGCAATAAGAGACCTCCCACCCAAGAAAAGCCCAGGACTGGATGGATTTACAGCTGAATTCTACATGGCCTTCAAAGCAGAACTCACACCAATATTCTTCCAACTCTTCAATGAAATTGAAAGAGAAAATTCACTACCAAACTCCTTCTGTGAAGCCATCATAACCCATCCCAAAACCAGCCAAGGATTCATCAAGGAAAGAGAACTATAGACCCATTTCTTTGATGAACACTTAAGCAAACTTCTCAACAAAATTCTGGCCAATCAACTTCAACAATTCCTCAAAAAAATCATACATTATGATCAAACAGGATTCATTTCAGGGATGCAAAGCTGGTTCAATTATACAAGTCAATTAACGTAATTCATCACATCAACAAAACCAAGAATAAATAAGAACCACATGATCATCCCAATAGACATAGAAAAAGCATTTGACAAGATCCAACACACTTTTATGATGAAGGCTCTGAGAAACTAAGAATCCATGGAACATTCCTCAATATAATAAAGGTTGTGTATGACAAACCTACAACCAGCATTATACTTAAAGGGGAAAAGCTAAAGCCATTTCCTCTAAATTTAGGAACAAGACAAGGATGTCCACTCTCTCCATTCCTCTTTAACTTAATATTAGAATCCCTAGCTAGAGCAATAAGACAAGTTGTAAACATAAAGGGGACCTAAATAGGGAAACATGAAGTAAAACTCTCCCTCTTTACAGATGCCATGATCTTATATTTAAAGAATCCCATGGACTTCACTCCCAAATTACTCAAGCTTTGGCAAAGTTGCAGGGTATAAAATTAACCCTCAAAAATCAATGCCTTTTCTGTATGCCAATAATGAGAAGAGCGCGGATGAAATCAGGAAAGCAACTCCATTTGTAATAGCCCCATAAAAAAGAAAATACCTAGGAATTAACTCAACCAAAGAAGTGAAGGACCTCTATGATGAAAACTTTAAAAACTTGAAAAAGGAAATTAAAGCACAACTAAGGAAGTAGAAAAACCTCCCATGATCCTGGATTGGGAGGATTAACATAATGAAAATGGCAGTACTGACAAAGACTATCTACAAATTCAATGCAATACCCATCAATATCCCAACCTTATTCTTCAAGGAAATTGAAGAAACAATCCAAATATTCACATGGAACAATAAAAAACCCCAAATAGCAAAAGCAAAGCAATCTTTACCAGAAAGAACAGTGCTACTCTACTACCAAGCTATAGTAATCAAAACAGCTTGGTACTGGCACAAGAACAGACCTCAGGACCAATGGAATAGAACTGAAGACCCAGAAATGAACCCACAAACCTATAGCCACCTAATCTTTGATGAAGGAGCCAAAAAAACAGTTTGGAAGAAAGACAGCCTCTCCAAAAAATGGTGCTGGCAAAACTGGTTAAACACCTGTAGAAAACTAAAGTTAGATCCTTATATATCACCCTGCACCAGAATCAACTCCAAATGGATCAAAGACCTCAGAGTAAAAGCAGACACCCTGAAAACATTACAGGAAGGAATAGGAGAAAATCTAGGGCTCCTTGGCGGAGCCTGAAATTTTCTTAATAAAGACCCTGAAACACAACAAATCAAAGGAAGGTTGGACAAATGGGATTGCATTAAACTGCAGAGCTTCTGCATGGCAAATGACATAGCTAGCAAGATCAATAAAAAGCCCACAGATTGGGAGATCTTCACTAGCCATATAACAGACAAGGGCCTCATATCTAAAATATACTTAGAAATAAAAAAATTAACTCCCCCCAAAACAAATCCTCAAAAAACTGCCCGTTTAATAAGTGGGCTAAAGCCTTAAAGAGAGACTTCTCTGAAGAGGAAATAAGAATGGCCAATAGACACAAGAAGAAATGCTCAACTACTCTGGCCATAAAAGAAATGCAAATCAAAACAGTATTAAGATTCCACCTTATCCCAGTTAGAATGGCTATAATCAAGAAATCTAAAAACACCAGATGCTGGAGGGAATATGGCCCAAAGAGCATGTTACTGCACTGTTGGTGGGAGTGTAAACTTGTTCAACCACTCTGGAAAACAGTATGGAGTTTTCTCAAGAGACTACACATAGAGCTCCCCTATGACTCAGCAATCCCACTTCCGGGCATTTACCCAACAGATCACAAGGCCATACTAAAGCTACCAGCACAACTATGTTAATCGCAGGATTATTCATCATAGCCAGGATATGGAACCAACCCAGATGCCCCTCAGTAGATGAATGGATCAAGAAAATGTGGTGTGTTTGTGTGTGTGTGTGTGTGTGTGTGCTTCCATCAGAAAAAATGATGTAACTGTAACCCCTCTGTACATCACCTTGACAATAAAAAAATAAATAAATAAAGAGTTAAAGGTTTGGCTCAAGTGGTAGAGGGCTTGCTTAACAAGTTCAAGGCCCTAAATTCAAACTCCAACACTGTCAAAAAGAGAAAACACACATATATTATTATTATATGTGATACATATGTACGTATTTACTTATAAGTACGTATAACAAAGAGAGTACTACATAAAATCTTGGAAATTCTACTTCAAGAAGCTGGGATGAAGGGTAAACAAATTAAATCCAAAGGAAAAGAACAAAGAAGGAAACAAATAACATACACAGAGTGTATAATAAAAAGAAATCAATAAAACAGTAAATTATGTTTTGAAAAGAACAATAAAGTTGCCAAGTTTTCAAGACAAAATAGGAAAATAAAAATTATAAATAGGATAACCAAAATGGGAAAGTAATTGTAGATCTTGTAAATGTTAAAGAGACTAGCATAAACAATTTCATGCCAATATATTTGAAATTGAGATTCACTGGAAGAATTCTTTGTACTTAATGCTAAAAAAAAAACTTAAAATCTTAATAGACCTTATGAAACACATTTAATCTATAAATAGAAATGTTTCCATAAAAACGATCCTTACTTCAATGGTAAGTCTTTCCAAACAAATAGTAATTTGGCTCAAATCTGTAATTCTACTGTTACTTCAGAGTGGAGAGCAAGGGATTACAGTTCAAAGCCAGCCTTGGCAAAAAAAAGTTTTTAAGATTCTATCTCAACCAACTGCTGGGTGTGGTGGCATGTGCCTGTTATTACACCTACAAGGGTAGCACAATGGCTGAGTACAATGATATCTACCTCTCATCCCCACCAACATGGGGAAGCACAATAAGAGGATCACAGCCAACCAGGAAGCCAAACCCTACCTCAAAAATAAAGGAGCTATAGGTGTGGCTCAAGTGGCAGTGCACCTGCCTAACAAGCACAAGGCTGAATCAATACTGCAGAAAGAGAGAAAGAGTTGATAGCAAAATATAAAGATAATATACAATTACTAAGTAGGATGATTCTAATAAACATCAAAAAGGGTTTGGTAAAATTCAAGCTAATCAATGGAATCAAATGGGTCATTCCATTTATTATTTAAAAACAAATTTCTGTAAATAAATTCAGTATAGTGGAATTTCCTTTAAAAATTATAGAAATTAATAGCAAAAGTATTCCAAACAATAAGTATGTCAGGCAAGGTTGCTGATGGATCAGTCTATAAAAAATGAACTTAAAGCTGGGTGCTGGTGTCTCATACCTGTAATCCTAGCTACTCAGGAGGCTGAGATCTGGGGATCACAGTTTGAAGCCAGCCTGGGCAGGAATCTCTGTGAAACTCTTATCTCCAATAAAATACTCAAAAAAGCTAGAAGTGGTGCTGTGGCTCAAGTGATAGAAGAATCTCCTTGAGCAAAAGTAGCTCAGAGACAGTGCCCAAGCTTAGATCAAGCCCCAGCAAAAAAGAACTTAATTTCCATATATTTGGAGCTAAGTATATCCTCCAAAAAATAGAAAGGTAGGAATGTGATAAAAAGCAACTTAAAAGTGAGAGAAATCATGCAACTATATTCTTAACAGGGGATGCCAATAACCCAACTGCTTAGTGCACAGGACCAAATATAATGAAGCATATCAACGTGAACTCCAACATATGGAAACAATAGGTTTTTATTATGTCCTGTATGTAGTTTTAGTTTTGTTTTTTTGTTGCTGTTGTTCTTTCTCTTAGTTTTCTGTACCTTGTGTCTTGTATGTAAGATTTTTCAATATGGAAGGGAAAGGAAAGCACAGAAACAGCAGGACAAAGGATGAACTAATGCAACATTGATACTCACTTGACCCTATGTTGGATATGAACCTTACAACTTGTGGCGAGGGGAACAGGGAGGAGTAGGGGAACAGGGAGGAGTAAATGGGAGATAATGAGGGATGGGGTAACAATGATTAAAAACAAAAGTACTCATTACCTTATTTATGTAATTGTAATCCCCCTCTCATCATCTTTTCAATAAAAATCAAATTTAAATTTTAAAAAGCAACTTAAAAATGAACTTCTAGCCAGGAGCTGGGTGGCTCACGCCTGTAATTCTAGCTACACATGAGGCTGAGATCTGAGGATTGTGGTTCAAAGCCAGCCCGGGCAGGAAAGTCTGTAAGACTCTTATGTCCAATTAATCACCAGAAAACTGGAAGTGACACTGTGGCTCAAGTGGTAGAGTGCTCATCTTGAGTTGAAGAGTTTAGGGAGAGCTCCCAGGCCCAGTGTTCCTAAAGCCCTATGACACCAAAAAAAGAGAAAAAGAAAAAAAAAAAGAACCCCTAAAATGCCAAAAATCTAGAAATCAACTTTAGCACAAATGATGTAAAAGATCTCTAGATTACAAAATGTAAAATACTGCTGAAAAAATATCAAATTTAATTAAAGTGAGGAAAATACTACATTTGTGGACAGGAAAACTCAGTAGAATATTACTTTTCAATTATCCCCAAAATTAAACTATAGATTTCATTTAGTCTCAAGGAAGATCTCAAAAGGATTCTTGGGTGTACATACAGAAAGCAACAATTTACATGAAAATACAAATGATCTAAAACAATTTGAAGGTGAAGGTCATCTTAATGTTAACATACATTAAGACATTATGAAGTTATAAGCAAGAATAAACAGATAAATTGAAAAGAATAGGGATTCCTAAAGATACATACATAATGAGCTGATTTATGATAAAGACATCACAGTAACTCAGTGGGAGCTGAATAGTCTTTTAAAATAATGGTACTCAGTCAATACATATCCATACAGGAAAAAGATGGATTTTGACTAGGGCAACATTCAGAAAATTTTGGAGGGTAAGTTGTAGACCTAAATGTGAAAAGTAAAGCAATAAGATGTATAAAACAGAACACTTAAAGAATAATTTTATGAACTTTCAGTAAGTAAATAGTTCTTAAATAGAGCAAATCAATAAAGCATTAACCACTTACATATTAGAGTAGACAATTAAAATTAAGATACGTTAAACTGAATGATGATGGTTCGCAACTGTCTCCTAACTACTCAAGAGGCAAGAGATCTGAGGATCAAGGTTTAAAGCCCTAGAAGAAAAGTCCATGAAACTCCAATTAACCACCAACAAATCAGAAGTGGAGCTGGGGCTCAAATGGTAGAGTGCTAGCCTTAAGCCAAAAGCTCAGAGATAATGCCCAAGCTCTGAGTTCAAGCTCCAGGATCAATATAAAAAAAAAAAATTAATGTTTAAAAATAACACAGAGAATGTGCTAAGGCTAGCCACAAATGTGAGAAAGGTGTTTAATACAAACAGTTGAAAGTGCACTTGCATCCAGATACCATAATGAATTATAATTCATTGGAAAAATGAATTAAACTATGAGTAAGATAAAAACAAAGAGCTTATTAAAAACTGCAAAAAGCAAGAAACTACACAAAAGAAGATACTTGAAGAGTTAATGAGCATACAAGAAGTTGCTTAACATCATTAGTCATCAGATAAAGATACTAATACCCTCATATCCACCAAAAAGAACCTAGATTATCCCACATGACCATCAATGATAAAAGGGATATACAATATATTCCTCAAATGAGATGAAAAAATCATATAACATTAAAAGAAAACATATAAATACATACATGCAATATTTTAGGACTTTACTTATGGTCTAATTTATCCTTTAATTTTTTTCCTTTTAGTTTAACAAGGTAAGTCCCCCCATGATAAAAAATATCTCATATGTGAATCACCAGTATCTCATTCACAAACATAGAAGCACTATCTTTAAATTAAGTGGATTTGAATAAAATGGATGGTCAGCGTGCAGAATTTACTAATTTATTACATTTGATAATCTCTTTAGCTATCAAAAGTAGGAATAGTAAATAGATGATATAAGAAAAGATCAGGATGAAGAACAAATTGTAGTAAAATAAACTTCTATGAAATCTGCACTAAAATGTTTCTTTGGTACCTTCTCTGGGGCACAAAAAGAAATACAAGTTGGATAAAGTGACACCTGTATTTCACTATCAATAGGAATAAAGAACACAGTAATCATTGTGTATTCATCTTTGTTGATAACTGCAACCAGGTAAACAGCAGATGATCTGGTGATATAAGTATAAATCCCAAAAAACCTTTACACTAAAAGCACTAAATTCTCACTAGAATCTCAAATGTGGGGTACATATAAAGTACATTGGTCAAAAACTATACACATTCCTTGTAAAGGTAGAATTAAAAAACACATAAAATAACTTTATAGTACCCTTTCTATAAAATGTCTACAACTTCTTAATCTCTCTTACATCAACTGCAGGTATAAGATAGTATTTTCACTGTTTTAAATTAAGGATGCTTTCAACCAACAATTAAGAAAAATTTGAAGTTTTATAGGAGCAGATCTTAGATTATCATTCAACATCCTTGGTTACTCTAACAATACTCCACAGCTTTAGGTTAGCAGATATATATTGAAAACAATTTAAAACTTAAAAACAAGACAAATAAAGATGGTGTTGACCCCTGACCGCAACTAGTATCATGGAGCATTTTACTTCAGGACTCATGTCATAAGGAAGAAGAAAACTTACTTGCCAAGCTGGAACAGAGGTTGAGTTGGACATTACTGTTTTCTGAAGTTCTTCAAGCACAGCATCTGGAAGAGGCTTTTGTGACTCTAGGAGTGATTTACACTGAACTTGTCTCAAAAGTAAGATAATAGCTGGCTGATCAGGGTGATTCTTTAAATTCTAAAAGTTAAATCCAAAACAGGAATTGATCAAATATGTTCTTAAGTGATAAAAGTAAAGGCAATTAAACTATGCTTATATTGGGGGAAACTGCTTAATATGAGCCTTTTCCTACAGTAAGTAACCACAAAAGCTACATAAACAAATGACTGAATGGTTTGAAAATAACATTTAAGTACTCTTTAAGGTAGACAACACTATTATTGCCGTGTGTAAAATAATTTGTTTTAGATTTAACATATGCCTGCGATCCAGTTTATTTCCAGATGATATCCTGAAAAGAAGTTCTAAATATCAATGGCTGAACTAAGAAAATATAATGAAGAGTAAAATTATCACTATTCTACCACAACAAACTATATTTAAAAGAAAAAAAAGGTAAAGATTTGTTTCCTTCTCAACCTTCTATGGGAGATACATGTCTTTCTTCCAAACACACATTCTTGGACTTTAGGGGTAAAAAAAAAAATCTCACTTTCCCATTTTCCTAAGTAACTATATACTAAAGCACATACATTCATACATAAATGCACATATGTATATGTGTTCTCTTTCCATATATAGCTCATTCACTCTCATTCACGTACTTTTTCTGTCTGTGTTTCTCTTTGTTAGGAATTAAGCCTGTTTTTATTAGCAGAATTTTATGTAAAGAAAAAGTTTAGAAATTTACTAAAAACAGCTGTTAGTAGTGTATAACTTGTTTATAGGATGCAAATCAGTAATATAACTTTAAACCAGGAACAAAATATTGAACATTAGAATAAATGACTAATGTTACATAGTCACAGCTTCAACAAATTGTATAAATTTCATATTAACAAAATAATATGTAACTCCCATATACTAATACATAGAAAAGATTACTGAAATTAAACAAAAAATTAGAAATATAAAGCCAAAATCACAGATCAAAAGATTCCAAGTTTTTAAAATGCAAGTCTCTGCAAATTTATCTACTGTTTAATAGAAAACAATGGTTAATGGTAACAAAGTCAGATTTTCATTTTCTTAGATTAGCGTAGATTATTTATACCTATTTAAGGGTTACAGTATTATAATTTAATACTCATATAAAATGTATTACAACCAATTCAGGGTAACTAGAATTTTCATCACCTTAATTGTTGTCAGTTCTGTGCACTGGGAACCTTTAGAATCTTCTCTAGTTAAGTATTTATTATTTTTCCCTCCGGATCATATTAGATCATAATCAAAATATATTGCTACAATGTATTTGACTGCTTTCTTATAAAAAAGAAACTGAAACATAAGATGACAAGAAAGGGTTCAGAAAGCATTTCTTATTCTACGAGTGAACACACAGCAAACACTAATTTATGGTTAGTAAACATCTACCATATAATAGCCTGTCTTGAATTTATCTCAGATGGAATTCCTTCCATGAAAGAAAAAATGTATTACTCTGCTTTAATAGACAATTCAGGGATTAAAGGGATCTTCCACTGTTATTTATCTGTAAAAAGTATATTTTTCTTTCTTGCCAAGTACTGGTAGCTCACACCTATAATCCTAACTACTCAGGATACTGAGACCTGAGAAACGAGGTTTTATACCAGCTCAGGAAGAAATATCTAACTCTTCTAACAAACTTCCAAAAAGTCAGGCGTGGAGGCTGTGGTCAAGCACTAGCCTTAAGCAAATAAGCTTTTAGGGAGAGCAATCAGACCCTGAGTTCAAGACCCAGGATGCACACACACACACACACAAACACACACACACACACACACACACACACACACCTCACACACACACCACACACAAACACACCACACACACACACACCCCAAAATAACACACACACACACACACACACACACACACACCTCACACACACACCACACACAAACACACCACACACACACACACCCCAAAATAATACTCTTTCTAGGAAAAAAAATTATAAGAGGACAACACAATCTCCCAGTACTTATAAAACATATGGTTACAGGAAAAGCCATGCTTAAAAATTCTTCTTAAAGTATCTGTGAGTTCATAAAACTGATTCATTCAATAAATATTTATTGACTCATTTAATGTAATTTTCCCAACTCTTTCCATAGCTTTACAAATGTACAACATCATTTTAATGGATAAGTAAAATTCTATTATACATATATATCACAAGATCAAGAATATATATCAAGGGCTGGGAAGGTGGCTCAGTGGCAGAGCACTTGCCTTGCATGCCTGAGGCCCTGGGTTCGATTCCTCAGCACCACATAAAGAAAAAAGCCGGAAGTGGCACTGTGGCTCAAGTGGTAGAGCGCTTAGCCTTGAGCTGAAGAGCTGAGGGACAGCGCCCAGGCCCAGAGTTCAGGCCCCAGGACCAGACTCCCCCCACAAAAAAAGAATATATATCAAGATCAAGATATATAGGTATCTATAGATCTACATATCTATATGTCACATTTTCTTGATCCATTTGTCCATTGAGTGGCATCTAAGCTGATTCCATACCTTGGCTATTGTGCTAGTGGCTTTACTGTATCTTGCTAGAGTAGTTAGTTCTATGTTAAACTTTTTGAGTAACCTCTACGCTGCTTTCCAGAGTTGTTTGGCAAGGTTACATTCCTACCACACATGTATTAGGGTTCCCTTTTGGCTGTATCCTTGCCAGCATCTGTTATTGTTTGTTTTCTTGATAGTGGCCAATCTAACTGGGGTGAAGTAGAATCTCAATGTTGTTTTGATTTGCATTTCCTTTATGGTTGGAGATGTTAAGCATTTCTTCATGGGCATTTTTACTACTTATTCTAAGACTCTCTTTAGCTCATTATGTAAAGTGAAATAAGTCAGTCCCAGAGAGACAGAAGATCCATGGTTTCCCTTTTATATGGAAGCTTGATTTAGCTTATAAACTTGTAAGCGAATATATAGGGTGGTATATAAGTGTATACCAATGTATTAACTGAAATTCAGTAAATTCAAGGGAGATCTCAAATAGTGTGATTCCTTAGAAAGCCAAAATCAAAGTTCAGTAAAGTAAAATACCAGGAAGCAAGTACTTGGAAGGGGTGGGTGAAGTCAAAGGGAAAGGGATGAACAAATGATGAGAAGACAGGGAGAATACAGTCCAAGAATCCAATATAAATCCTAGAAATTTAAAAAGGGTGATAGAAAGAGTGAGTAGGGAAGGGATAGGTGAAGATGTTGAAAGGGGTGACCATGATCAAGATATATTATATTCAGAAACTGCTTTGTAAAAATGGCAACTTCTTCATACAACTTAAAAGATAAAGAGTTTGAATGGTGAGAGACAATCAAGTAACTCTATCCATTTCTGTCAGCTCCTACATTAATTTCTCTTCTAAAGCTTTTACTTTCCATTTGTAAAAATGATCATAATAAATACCTACATCATAGGATATATGAAATTCAAATATACAATACTAAACACACTAATTTGTAGTAAATAATAAATGTTGGCTGCTATCATAATCACCAACATCACCACATATTAGGTAAGATAAAAATCCATGAATTTCATGTAATATAATTATAATGATATAACTACAGAATTCTTGCATCGTTCTGTAACAATACCTTTGTACATAGAGATTCAGCTTCAGATATTCTTCCTGTGTCCATGAGACCAGTGACAGCTTGTAAAAGAGACCATTTTTCAAGACATTGGTTGTAATTTTCAAGAAATTCTTTGTCCTTAACTGTAAACAAATAATGTCAATATTACTTTCTTTTGACTTAAATACTGCCTAAAAAGGATAATTAGTTCCTTAAAAATATTAAAATTAGCCAGGTGACAGTAGCTCATGCCTATAATCCTAGCTACTCAGGAGACTGAGATCTGAGGATCATGGTTCAAAGCCAGCCCAGGCAGGAAAGTCTGTGACACTCATCTCCAATTAACCACAGGAAACTGGAAGTGGCACTGTGGCTCAAAGTGGTAGAGTATTAGCTTTGAGCTGAAGAGCTGAGGGACAGCGCCCAGGCCCAGAGTTCAAGCACCATGACCAAAAACAAAAACAAAAACAAAAAGTTTAAATTAGTTTCTCATGCATATACATTTTTTAAATAAAGTATCTTGCTCTGCAGTCTAGGCCAGACTCAAACTTGTGATCCTCCTGACTCAATTTCTAGAGATGGAACTGAAGTGTGTGACCATGCCTGGATCTTGCATATATTTTTTTTAAAACTTACAAGTACTACTAGAACACCATAGACTTGCCATGAGACAGGTTTCTGAAAAGTTTCATGGCAAAGTACTTACAGTTAAATAATTTAATACCTCATATACTTGTGATTTAATTTTATTTATTATTGTAAAGGTGATGCACAGAGGAGTTACAGTTACATAAGTAAGATAATGAGTGCATTTCTTTTAGAGCAGTGTTACCCACCTCCCTCGTTTTCTCCCATTTTCCCTACTGGCTACTCTCCTCCCCACAAGTTGTAAAGTTCATCTCCAGCAGTGTCTAGTGAGTATCGCTGCTGCATTGATTCACCCTTTGTTGCACTGCTTCTGTGATTCCCTTTCCCTTCCCCAAGTAAGATAAACTTGTATGTACAAGACAAAGAGTATAAAAATCAGAAACAGTGACTATGGGGAATAAACCAGGAGAAAAAAATTAAAAAATGAACGACAAAGAAATAACTAGAAACTGAAGAAAACCAAAACAACTCCCAAAAAACCCAACTCTCTTGTTTCCATATCATGAAGATCATTTCAATTAACATCATTTTAGGTGGTCATATGTACACAGTTATTGGGCTACTGTGAACCTCTGCTAGGACTATCCTAGATATATACTAGTATACATCCTAGTATATATCCTAGATATATACTAATTATTACAAATGAGGGAAACCATGGAGCCTATGTTTCTTTGGGTCTGTTTCTTCGGATTACTTTACTTAATATGATTTTTTTCCAAGTCTTTCCATTTCCTTATGAATGGGGTGGCATCATTCTTTCTGATGGAAGCATAGAATTCCATTGTATATACATATGGTTTATGTTTTAAAAATTCACTGTGTACAGGAACAATGAAAAGAGTTCACTGAAAAGGTTCACATTTTAATGCAATATAATTGAAGTAAAATACGTTGTAGGAATTCAAACTATACAATATGAAGAGTTCTACCATTCTACAGGAGTAAATCATCACCATAATCAAAGTAATGAGCAAACATTATTATCAAGTTCCCTCCTACTCTCTACAGTCACTTTTCACAGTACCCAATCCTCCTTGCTCACTGTCCTCAAGTAACACCTAGTCATTTTAAATCATAATAATCTGTGACGTCCTTTGTTTTTTCTATTTATTTATTTTTGTCATACCAGTATCTGAACACAGCATCTTGCACCTAATAGGCAAGCACTCTTAGTGTTGAGCCATGCTTCTAGTTCTTTTTTTGTGCTGGTTATTTCTAAGATAGAGTCTTGCTTCCTGCCCAGGAACATGCCTATTTTAGTTTTCCTGTATAGCTAGAATCACAGGTATGCATCACTGGGCCAAGTTCTAGGTTGAGAAGTGGTCTCAAGAACTCTGCCTGAGCTGACCTTTAACTTTGATCCTCTCAAACTCACCCTGTCAAGTAGTTAGGATTAGAGGCTATTGCGGATTATAAGCTACTGACACCCACTTGCTGTTTCCTACAATTTCAAATAAATGAAACCATATAAAACTTTTTTGGTATCTTCCACACAGATTAACATGGTGAATTGTACTTATTTTAAAATTTCTAGGACAAATATTACTTTATCATAATTATCTCTCTTATAAACTCTTGGGTTTAAATTGATAAGTTTTGTTATGACTTTCTCCATCTATGTTTATGAGCAACAGTGATCTGTACTTTTCTTGTCATGTCTTCATTCAGATTTAGGGCACAGAGTAATGCTAGTGGTCCCATAGATGATGTTAGAGTTACTATCTCTGATTTTCTGGAAGGATTTGTATAAAATTGGGATCATTTCCTTCTTAAATGTTTGGCAGAATTCATCAGTAAAGTATTTGAGTTTCCATATATTTGAAATTTTTTCCATTATTTTTCTGTTAAGTATTTCTAATTTAAAAGAATTGATAAAAAGCATACTTTCCTTTCTTTTATATATTTATTTTTATTTATTTATTTATTTTGGGGGTCCGGTCATGGGGCTTGAACTCTGGGCCTGGGCTCTATCCCTTAGCTCTTCAGCTCAAGGCTAGCGCTCTACCACTTGAGCCACAGCGTCACTTCCAGCTTTTTTCTTTTTGCTTATGTGGTGCTGAGGAATCGAACCCAGGGCCTCAGGCATGCAAGGCAAGCGCTTTACCACTGAGCCACCTTCCCAGCCCCATCTTTTATATATTTAAATAGTTATTCATTATATACTTGAAATGTATGACCTATGTGTCAATTAGATCAAGTTAGTTGATAATGTTTTTCAAGACTTCATTATATCTTTGCTGATTTCTGTCCAAAAAAATTGTTCTATCAATTGCTAGTCAGTACAGAACACTGCTCTTTGAGAGTGGGGGAATAAATAAGCTCTACAACTGAAGGACTCCTCATCAGAGTTTACAGAAATATTTTTGTGTTTTTAACACCCATTGTAGGAAAAAGTCTGTAATTTACTTCTGAATACTATACTCAAAAGGAAAATGCAAACACATAGTGAATATAACTAGTCTTATACAGCTTCTTCATGGAGTAAGAGAAATAAATACTCAACTCATAATGTTCTATTGTGAAAACACATTATTCATGAAGTGGTAAACAGTTATTTGAAAGTGAGTATATACTGGTTGTAAAAGTATACAGCATATTTGAGGGAAAAAACTAAGAAAATAAAAATGAAGTATAACCAATTACTAACAAAGGAGAAAAAATAAAATCTTAAAAAATTCAAAATTAAGACATAAAAAAATAAAAGACAAAAATAGGAACAAACATCAAGGTAAACAAATAGAAACAGTAAACTATATGGTAGATGTTAATGAAACTGCATCAATAATCACTGAATGTTTATAGCCTAAAAGTATCAATTAAGGAGTTTACCAGTGGATCAAAAACAAAAATAGGTCGGGCTTGGCTTAAAAGTAACATTTTTTAAAAAAAATTCTGTTTGCTTGCTACTTAAGTTCATCTTATTACAATATTTGCCACTAAAAAAGCACCTACTTTTTTTTTTTTGGGGGGGGGGGGGGTCCGGTCGTGGGGCCTGAACTCTGGGCCTGGGCACTGTCCCTCAGCTCTTCATCTCAAGGCTAGCACTCTACCACTTGAGCCACAGCGCCACTTCTGGCTTTTTTCTTTTTGCTCAATGTGGTGCTGAGGAATCGAACCCAGGGCCTCGTGCATGCAAGGCAAGCGCTCTACCACTAAGTTACCTTCGCAGCCCCCAGCACCTACTTTTTAAAAACTGTCTTGATAGTCCATAAAAAATAGGGAATAACAAATTTTAACATTTACTAAAAAAATAATAACCTAAAATTAATGAAAAATTCTGTCCCAAAAGTACACTAAAAATATTTATGATACTAAATACAGATCACTTTTCAGTGAAGGTATTTAAGAATGTATAGGACAGTGTTGAATAGTGTGATTATATTAGCAGCTATTTTGGTCAAGATTTCCAGAAGAATCACAGGATAACTGCAATGCTGGTTTCAGTAAAGGATTTTCAGGTCGCCTCAATCCCTAAACATTGGTCAAGTCTCAAAGCACATAAATCCATAAAACGAAGATTTCAACTCACAGTACCCACTGGACTTTTTAAAAATATTTATATACATATACATATATATATATATATATATATATACAGTTTTCTTATCACATTTCTGTTAAGCTATACAACTATGAATTCTATAAGAAATGCATTATTAAAGCAATATGTGCTGTAATTGGTTGTTTCTGATTTAACCATTTGAAGAGCCAATACAAATCATGTATAAAAATGCTTTTAAAACTTACTTGAAGCAGAAACAGCAGAGAACAATGCCAAGTATAAATCCATCCTCTTTGGCTGAGTGTTGTTAACTAGAGCTAGTTTGTCATCAGCATGACAGGCTGCCATCAGCCCAGCCCAGACAGCAGGGTCACCTAAACACAATATATAATAAAAAAGAGTTAGAAGGCTGGTTAATATCAACATGTTGCTGCAAAGTTATGAAAAATGAGAGTTAAATGTATTCTCCCTAAATAAAACCCAATTGAATCTCTACAAATTTTTCCTTTTCTTAAAGCAAGCTAATTGTTTTCAGAAGACACATTCCATGAGAAGTATTCTGTTAAACTCTTCTTCACTGCCTGGTTAAATTTGTTTCCTACATTCTGTACTACTGTGGAAAGACCAACGTCAGTCTCTTTCACTTGTCCTCAAAGATCAGTCTCAAACAGACTCTGAGTTTCCTATAATTAAAGACTCAGTTGTAGAATAAACAAGACAATGTAATTACTGCATTCTTAAGAAAAATAGAAGTCAAAGGAAAAACGTATCATATTATTCACTATGTAATAGAAAAGCCTGAAAGTCACTTCATCATTCCAGGTGAGGTGGTACATATATGATTTTATAATATATCTATACATCCATTTGATTCTTCCTCAACACCCGGGCAGCAGCTTCAGGTGACAGAAGAAGCTGGACAGTCAGTTGAAGAGGTAGCACAATAAAAAAAGATTAGATGTATAATTCTTTTAAAGGAAGTTACTTGTATAAAGAAGCCAGCAAAGTACTTGCAGGTTAGAAATTGTATCTATGTATCTATCTATTTATATATCTGATGTTTTGTTATTATAAACCTTATTTTACAGTTTAATTCAGTAATTAGTATTTTAGTCTTGTTATCTGAACAAACAAAAGGATTTAAAAAATCATACAAGGGAATGCTAGTTAGCAATATAGCCATATTAGCTTCAATATTATGTATTTTTTTCTGTCTGGTATATCCAAATCAATACTCCTAGCAAATCTCTTTCACTTATAAATGATCAGTATTACTACTAATGGTATAGTAACACTTTTCTAGATGACTACATTAAGTTACATAAGACAATAACAATAAATAACAAAGACTTTAAGCTTTATTATAGAGTTTAAAATGAATGGGCACCATCCCCTAGAATTCACAGCAAGGAGGTAGTCAAAATTTCAATGTATATCCTACAAAATTAAGAAGAGTGAGAGAAGGGGAAAGATAAGAGGAATGGTTGAGAATGTTGAAAGTGGTGATATTGATCAGGACACATTGTATGCATAAACTGCTTTGTTGAATGACAATTCTTTTGTACAACTTCTAAAAGATAATCAAAGTTTTTTGGGTTTTTTTTTTTTTTTAAGATGTAGTCCGGCTTCAGTGGCTCACACCTGTAATCCTAGCTACTCAGGAGGCTGAGATCTGAGGATCACGGTTCAAAGCCAGCTCAGGTAGGAAAATCTATGACAACCTTATCTCCAATAAACCACCAGAAAATCAGAAGTGGCACTGTGGCTCAAGCAGTAGAGCGCTTGCTGAAGAATTGAGGGAAAGCACTCAAGCCCAGAGTTTAAGCCCCAGGGCTGACAAAAAAAAAAATCTAGTTATTATATCATGAAAAGAACATGACAACCTAAAACTTTGAGCTGGCATTGCGTAACAACTTTTCATTCGAGATCCAATTTTCTATACAACAAAACAACTGAACTAGATGATAACTAAGGTCTAAAATATTATGATTATAGCTAATATATAGACAATTTTTGAGTATTGGCTTATTCCTAAGATTAAGTAGATAAACTTTGTGGGGCTCTTAAAATATTTTAAAGTTTAGATTTCTGATTAGGGACTAGGTTAGTAGTGGACATTAGCTGGCAGCAATATGTTCTGCGACAAAGTAAAAGAATGGCTGTTTTCATGAATCTTTCACAGGTAATCTGCTAACTAAATACCCATGAAATAAAGTGACTCCAGGATAACATACAAACATACAAGCCCCAGGATAAACATATAACCAAAAATTTAAATATACTCTGCAAAAAAATAAAATTAACTATTGATATCACAGAAATATAAGTCTAACATAGACTGATGCTTTTCTATTCAAGTATAAACTCTTTTTTTTTTTTTTGTAAGAATACCGTACAGAGGAGTTACAATTACATGGGCAAGATAACGAGTACATTTCTTATCAAACATTGTTGCCTCCTCTTTGTTTCCCCTTCTCATCCCTTCCCATCCCTTCCCATACTTCCCCCCCCCCCCAACAGGATCCTCTCCCCCCCCACCACCAAAATTATAAAGTTCATTTTTCGACATAATGACTTGTACGTCTCATTGTTGCAATAGGTCTACCTGTATTCCTAGTTAAAGGATTTGTTTTTTCCCTTCCTCTCCACAAATTATACCAACATCAAATACAGTGAAAGCATGGGTTATACGTGGGGGAGGGATATACAAAGCAACATAGAAATCATCTTATAAATATGTTAGAAGCAACTGCATGAAAGGGAAAAACAAAAACAAAAAAACATTTGAATACTTATCTTGGAGTTCATTCCTCTAACATCAACTTATCTGACCTTTTCTGCTTGACTCAGACTGTACTAGTAATTGCAAATAAGGGAAACCATGGGACCTATGTTTCTTTGGGCCTGGCTTACGTCACTTAATATAATTGAGATTATTTTTTAAATTCCTGAAATGACACCTTAAAGTAGTGTATTTGTTTAACTAAATACCTTCAAGGAATAGGTACACAGCCACTACTCTTAAGTATATTCACCTCCCCTTGACTCTAAGGACAAGTCTCAAGCCCTCATTTTTACCACTTAGTGCCAGTTTTATGTACTTTTTCTTTTTTTAATACTATTTTATTGTAAAAATATTATACAGAGGGATTATAGTTACTTGAGTAAGGTAATGAGTACATTTCCTATCGAGCACTGTTACCTCTTCCTTTGATGAATTTGCTTGAGAACATACTTTGCCAGATTAAATATAGGGAAAAAATTCAGAAATCATGAGAAATGCCTTATTTGGGAAATCTCACCGTTCTAAAGTTTTTCTCACTTATAAATCAAAGACTAATAAATCTTCCATTATTATGGATACATAAGCTTTTTTTGAGGGTAAGTCTATCTCATATTTATATGATGAAACTTATAAATTTACTAATACCTAATATAGAAAATGCAAATGTTTAGGTATGTTTCTATTCTGCCTATGCCAAAATGAAAAAAAAAAAGAATAAACAATAGGACGGGCACTGGTAGCTAACACCTGTAATACTAGCTACTCAGGAGTCTGAGATCTGAGGATCACCCTTCAAAGCCAGCCCTCAGCAAAGTCTGTAAGACTCTTATCTCCAATTAACCACCAGAAAACCAGAAGTGGAGCTGTGGCTGAAAGTGGTAGAGGACTAGCCTTGAAGAGCTCAGGTATAGCGCCTAGGCCCAGAGTTCAAGCGCCACAATTGACCAAAAAAAAAAAAGAATAAACAATAGAGTATTGCTTTGTTTTATAATTCCTAAAAATACTAGATATTTTTCACCTTAAATAGGATTATTACAATTTACTGTGAAGAAAACATTGAACTTGCTCTGTGTTTTGTCTGCTTCCCAATAGTGCCTAGTCAAACAATAACAAACTGAATGAGCAAATGTCTAAAATACTCTGATAATATAAATTATTTTGACACTACAGTTCATATTTAAGACAATGTTATCTAAAAATTCTCCTATGGTGCAACACTACTAGACATTTCAGTCTTCTAAGGCATTTTTCCACTAGTGGCAACATAGAAATACGCTTGAGCCATAATTACCAATTTTACTTTACTTTTGTGATCAACATACATAAGCATACAAAGACACAGCTATCTAGAACAAATAGCTAAGATGAGAGGAAGCCATGATCTTGGCATTTCTAACAGTCATTATACAAGACATGCACCCAACTTTCATTAACTACTCATAAAAATAAATGAAACTAACGTAGTAAGTATAGGTAAATTACTGACAGATGAAAAAAGAAAATAAAACTACTTCCTAAAAATATATAATGTAGATATTGCTGGGTGCTGGTGGTTCGTGACTGTAATCCTACTCAGGAGGCTGGGCTCTGAGGATCACGGTTCAAAGCTAGTCAGGGCAGGAAAGTCCATGAGACTCTTATCTCCAATAAACCACCAGAAAACCAGAAGTGGTGCTGTGGCACAAGTGATAGAGATCTCACCGTGAGCTGAAGAGCACAGGACAGTGCCCAGGACCAGAGTTCAAGCCCCATGACCACCAACAATTTAAAAAAAAAAAAAAAAAAAAATATATATATATATATATATATATATAAAATGTAGATATTCAGTAACAAAAAGTAAGTAGGCATCTGTAAGTAGACATTCCCCTGTTTCAATAATTATCTCTTATTTATCAGTTGCCACATGCAGATAAATAATAGGCAAAACTTAAAAAAATATTTTAAAATTCCCTTGTATCTTACTTCATGTAAATTCAAACTTTGCTCTTCTAAATCACAATCCAAGATTCATAGAATGGGAATTAATAAAATAGATTATATTATAGTCACCTGGAGAAAGGAAAGCTGCCTTCTGAATGGTCTTCAGTGCAGTATTTTTTTCATCTTCTCCTGTACTGCTTCCCATTGCCAACTGATTTACTGCAGTGTACAACAATGCCTTCTACAGAAGAGAAGAAAAAGTATCAACCAATTCTCTTCACAGCTCCCTGTATTTTTAAACTAAAAGAAGAACTGTATTTGATATAATATAACCCCTAAAGCTATGACAAAAGATTATTTCATTATTCATTAATATTACTTAACAAACTGTTTCCTCTGTACTAGAACAAACTAACCTTTCCATGATTTGAGTCCAAAATATGAGCCACATTTCCTGCTATAGCACCTCCCTATAATAGAAAATATTATTAGAGAAATGTCTTACCATCTTATTTTTAAGCTTTTAAATAAAATTATCTTTTGGAATTGAGAAAACATAATAGTTGATGCCTCTTATAAATGTCATCTACTCACACAGATATTAACATAATCTATGTGTTGGAAAAAGTTTACTTCTTTTTTTTTTTGTCGGTCATGGGGCTTGAACTCTGGGCCTGGGCGCTGTCCCTCAGCTCTTCAGCTGAAGGGCTAGCACTCTATCACTGGAGCCACTTCTAGTTTTCTGAGTGGTTTATTGAAGATAAAGAGTCTCACGGACTTTCCTGCCTGGGCTGGCTTTGAACTGTGATCCTCAGATCTCAGCCTCCTGAGTAGCTAGGATTACAGGCATGAGCCACCAGTGCCCAGCTCTACTTCTTTGTAACTCCACAAAACCCAAGACAATACAATAATATGTGCATGTAACTCAGTATAGTACTTGTGTAAATAATGGAGAGTCTGGCTAAATGGCAAAACTCCTTTCACTGTATTTATTATTTCTAAAAAAATTGCTACAATTTAAAATTATAGTAATCCTATTACTGTAGTTATTTTATTGTTTCTCTAGAATTTAGAAATTTTCTTGCCTTTGCATTTCGTTGAGCATACTGAGCAACAACTCGGGACAACAAAGACCAAAGAGCAGGGTCAGCTGGGTTACTAAGGAGACAATGAAAAGAACTGGGTTTAGAGATGAGATAATTTAAGCACAAAAATACAAGCAATTATTTTTATGCTTAAAATCTTCTACACATTTAAGACATGTTTACTTATGTTATTTACATATGTTTGACTGAAAGGGTCTTAAGTTTTAGAAAACCAATATATGCTAAATATTCTAATTCAAACACAAAGGGAAAATCAACAATGCAATAATCACAAAACCTCAAGACAAGTTATGGAAATGTAATAGACTAGTCAAGGAAGCACAAAGAGATTAAAAATTATGGGATAAATCATGTTATACAGAAGGAAGAGGTACTCTAATGGAAATGATATCATAAGGAATAAGCTTTATATTAAAATAACCAACTTTTTTTCTGTGAAAATACTGTACAGAGGGGTTACAATTACATGGGCAAGATAATGAGTACATTTCTTATCAAGCATTGTAGCCTCCTCCTTTGTTTACCCATCCCATCCCTTCCCATCCTCCCCGCTTCCCCCCACCCCCACCAAAGTTGTAAAGTTCGTTTTTGACATTAACGACTTGTACATCTCATTGTTGCAATGGGTCCACCTGTATAATAACCAACTTTAAAAATATAACTAGTCAGCAAAAATGTATGAAGAAGAAACTATATTAAATCTTGTAAATACCAAGACAAGACACAATATAATGAAAATAGAATAACCAGTGCTGTTAATGAGAACTTTTTCCCAAATTTTGAAAGCATTAGTGAATATTTAAGTAGCTAAAAAATTCCTAAAACCATCAGTCTTGTCTCTAACATGTGGATAGTATTACGAACTTAGGGGTTAGGGGCTTTTATATCAAAACAAGGCCTTTGCCTGAGTAAAAGCCAAATTGATCAGATGAATTTAAAAAAAAAATCCTTAACAAGCAAAGTAACAGGCAAAGTCAGTTGCCTAATCCATAAAACTAAAGTGTATATATTTTAAGTCTTCATAAAGCCCAATATGAAAACATAAGCACTTCAAATAGAATTAGGCTCCAAGCTCCAGGGTACAGAGATTACCTGTGGACAGCTTTTGAAGCTTGTCTTTGTACTGCTACATTGCGGCCCTGGAGTGCATAAATTGCTGAAGTAAGAAGACATCTCTGATAATCACTACTTTTGTGTTTGACATGCTTCAGTAACTCATTAAGTGCTGCTTTGGACAGCGTAGCATCTTGCATTGCCAACCCTAGGGCACACAGGGTTTGAAGGCTTTCTGTAGTTGGTTCCTTTAAAATAGAGCTGCAAATACATTTAAAATCGCCTTGTTAGCCATCTGAGGTCTGGCTATTAAACAATATTTAATACAAAAAGCAACTTACAGAGATTCACCAAACTAAGCTTGATTTAAGGCCAATGTAGAATCAAATTTCCTGGGTTTTAGCAATTTTTCTTTCTTTCACTTTTTTGGGGGAAGGGTACTAGGATTTGAACCCAGCACCATATGCTTCCAAGAAGGTACTCTACCACTTGAGCCACATCCCCACTCCTAAAGAGACAGCAATTTTTTCTGATTGAAGTAAAATGCTAATAACAACATCTGGATATCTTTCTGATTATTATATCTAAGTTTTTAGAAACAAATATTAATCAGTCTCTGAGTTTTAGTTCTGGTTAAATGATCAAAACAATTGGTAAAATGTTCAGCTTTAATAAAATGTTGCATGGAAGGTCAGAATGCAGTAATGCCTTATCACAGATTTACAACACATAGTTTTAACCAAGTCTTATTAACAAATAGACATAAGAATAAAAATAATTTCAAAAACAAACATTTTAAATTGTTATATATGTTATATTGTGTTATATATGTATAAATATGTTATACAGTTCAGTGGATGCAGATTCTGACAGTCCTTGTATTATATCCGTGGTGTTCAAACTGTGCGATTTAGTATTTCCCTACCTTTAATTTTGTGAAAATTTACCTTCCACAAAGTAAACAGTGCCAAAACAAGCAACTTAAAATTTAATGTACTTAATATAAAAGATAAAGTGAAAATTTTAGGTTTGTTGAAAGGTGGTATGTCTCTAGCAGAAGTCTCCCTGATTGTACCAAAACAGTAATTTATAGCTGTATTGTGAAATATGGAGTTGTGGAAAAGCACTATCATACACAGTGAAACTAGTGATCAGGCAAAACTCCAAATACTGAATTTTAGAACAATAAGAGAAATTTTTAGCCCGTCAGCAGTGCTAAAAGACAAAGAGAAAGTCTAAGCGACATTCCTAAGCACCATGTAAACTTTTTAAAGAAACAAGAGACCTGATATCCACACAGAGCTAGCACTGGAGAAAAAGTTCCCTACACTTACTGGTAAATTTATGTGGTACCCTAACAAACTGAGAAACACCTCAAGGGTCCTATCATTTTACTGCTTAAAGAAGCAGAAGCCACTATCTTTTTATATTTCCAAGTCTCAATACTGCACTGGTTCAGAAGACAGCCATCTAGTGAGAAACTGTATCCACAGGGAAATGACTGTGACTTTGATACAGTTCACAGAGAAATTTATGCTGTGGGAGCAGCTGGTGGTCTCCATTTAAAACTGGGGGGCGGGGGACACGGTTAGAACTCTGTCCCTGTGTAGAGAAGTGAGACCAGGTCTGTAGACTTGGCAAGGCTGGGTCTGAGATCATGTGGTGGGGCTGGCAGATCCCTCAGTTCCCACAGCTCACCATCCAACACAGACTTTATTCGTTCTGTGGCTTCTGTGCTCAGCAGCACAGAGGGGTATGATGCTGCTGCTTGGACATTTGCTACACCTAAGGGTGAGGGCACTGATAGAGGGTCTCTCAGGAGGAAGGGAACATTCACACAATTGGTTCACAAGATCATTCATGTAGAAGAGCATGGATGGGGATCCAGCCATCACAGTGTATCTATGTGTGCACATGAGCCCATTAAAATGAATACAGTTCTGCATTTACAGGGCAGGGTAAAAGCTCTTCCTCCATACTACCCTATCTACTTTGGACCATTTAATGTGAACTGAGAAGAAACACATCTGAATTACCTGAGGTCTACTACCCCTGCTCCCATATCACATAGGCTCCCAAATTGGAAACCCTGGAAAGAAGCATCTCCATTTCAAACACACACAGCAAAGAAGAATTTTTGACCTTTTGTTCTCTTCCTAAACTATTTTTTGTGTTCATTTAATTATATTTTAATTACTGAATTGGATCTTTCTCTCTTCTCATTTTTATTCTTTTTTATATAAATTTTACTTTAAAAAATATACATCTTTTTTCTGTATAGATTTTACTCTAAAAATACTGTACAGAGGGGTTACAGTTACATGAATAAGGTAAATGAGTAAATTTCCTAGTGAGTCTTGTTACCGCCTCCTTTTTTTTCCTCAAAAATGTATGTCCTTTTAGTCTACTCTCCTCCTTTTTTTTCTAGATACTTGGATTGTTGTTTTTTATTATCCTTTTTATCTTCAAAGAGTTGTACAAAGGAGTTATCATTCTACAAATCAGTTTATATAAGTACAATGCATCTTGAAACATGTCAATGCTTCATCATTTCCTCCCTTTCTTCCTAATCTTTCCCCTCAATTTTCTTCATTTTGTAGACTATGCATTGAATATTGTGACTGCATCCCACGCCCCCTTCTTCCTCTCTTCATTCATCTATCTTCCTCCCTTTCAAGTACTAGTTTCTTGGACTGTTAGACTGTTAGTTTTTCTAAGGAATTATATCATTTGAATTCTTCCCTGTAAATACTATAGTTCAGTTAATATATTTGTGTACACTTGAACACAACTGCGTATGTGTTTACTCATACATTTATAAATTAGTTCTAGCTTCCACATAGGAGTACTCAAAACAACCAGAAAAAAAAAATGACAAGAATATATCTTTTTAAAATAACCTTGGAAAAAGTAAGAATAAATTTAAATATAAATGCTTTTAATTCTCCAATAAGGAAAAGGGATGAGGAGAAGGAAGAGAAGGGAGTGGGGCAGGGGGAGGAGGGGAGGAGGAGGAAGAGGAGGAGACTGAGGAAGGCTTGCTATAGTGGTTTCATACCTGTAATCCTAGCTACTGGGAGGTGGAGATAGGAGGATTGTGGTTCAAGACCAGTCTGGGCAAAAGTTAGCAAGACTTCATCTGGGAAGCAAAGCAAAAAGAGTCGGAAGCCTAGCTCTGTGGCAGAACATTTGTCTAGCAAGAACAGATTCTGAGTTCAAAGAAGAGGAGGAAAATAATCTCTTTGGGAATAATGAGGCACCAAACTATAAAGTTACAATTGTCTTCATTAAGAGTTTAAAAGCCTATTACAATACAGTAAATCAATTAATCTTGAAATAATAATATAAACAGAGGAGAGGATAGTTTTGAAAGGTTTGATAGCTCCAGAGATGAAAATTTAAGTCATAATCTTTAGGACCACTTGTAATTGTCAATTCAGAACCAAGGTGGTCCAATCTCTTTTGTTCACCCAAGTTTTGTAAAATATTAAGAATTTCACTTAAGTGTTCCATACCTTAACCCAAATATTTAAGTATTTGTCCATGTTAAATGTGAAGTCAATTATACATACCACTTGAATAGCAGTGACTTGGCTACATCCATTTTCCCTTGTTTATATTCTGTTATTGCTAGAGCTGTCAAGATATGGGCTTTGTCTTGCTCTGATTCAACAACAGACAAGGCTCTTTCATAGGCTATTATATTGAATTGGAAACAAGCAAACAAACAAATATATACATATAAGTAATTCTGATTGACAAAGTGTGTCATTTTTTTCCTTTTCTAATTTATCAAAACGATTTATATAAAATTACATCTTATTGTTCCCTATTGTCAAGTAGATGGCATAAAAATTTATAATTAACAATCTACTTTGATTTAGCTATTTAAAGATGATTCTGGGGTATCATTAAGATTGTTATGGGACAATCTCTACCTTCTACATCCAGAATTTATAGGCAAGGTAACCTTGAGTTATTGTTTTTTAAGTGCCATCTGTGGCCAGAAATGGAGATCTGAAGACACTGAGGAAATATCAAAGCACCCAGTACAGAGCAAGAAACTTCACCAGGCAGAAGACACTTTAAATTAGCTGCCCACATACAAAATCATATATGTAAAAATTTACTTATCTAACATAGTTGGAGAAACCAAAACCTAACAATGGTTGAAGTCTTCATTTATAGAAAATTTCATTTGAGCAGTACAGAGTAGTAATCGTCTCTTTTCAAATTCATGTATCTACTATAAATGATCTTAGGGTTCAGTTTGACTATCTGCAAAATAAATATTTGGCCCATAGCACTACTGTAAGGACTATGTGCTACCAAACATATTAAATAAAGTTAACAAGTACCTATTACAGCTCCAACTCCCAGTAAGATTTTAATAAACATGTTACCCCTAACACCAACTCAGCACTATACCTTTTTATACATAAGCTCATTATGATGAAACTCTACTCAGCTCTGTAAAAGATGTACCTTTTAGCTTCAAGTAATATACTTACCTTGATTGCTCTCTTTATACAGTCCTTTCATGAACAAGGCTAATGCAAAACCTATGATATCTTCTAAGTCTTTAAGGGGTGTTGACTTAAAAGCTTGGATAGCTTTATCATATTCACCAATGGAACTGAAAAGCAAAACGCAACTTACTTTTAATATTGAAAATCATTTGGGCTAGTATCAGAATATAGAGACTACATTAAGGACCTATTTAAAAGTTCACATTCACTTTATTTTTAAATAATGTAATTCAATATGATGTAACCAATTAATGCCAAAGTTGTTGAAAAATCTTATAATAGAAAACATGTCAAAAATAGGATCCACTAGATATGAGTAGAATAACACTTGTTTCTTTTAAATTCTACATGAAAATGACCAGTTCTGCTAAATTAGTGTCTTTTCTAAAAACCAAACTTTAACCAAATTTCAAGTTATAAGAATGATTTCAAGTTGACCTTTATAGAAAATTCTAATTTTTTAAGCATAGTACATTAGTTAAACATCGCCCTCTGAGTATGATACTAAGATATTTAACAGCTTAATGTCATAAAATGCCTAATTAGAATCAAACTTAGTTGTTGAATGAACTATTTATCTGCACATTAATTTGTCTTGGAACACATATACACCCAATGAAATTTCATAAAACTATATGTCATCTTTTCTGTTTAATAGTGATACTATAAATTATAATATTTACCAACGCATAATACCAATTGATAACAAAATAACTTGTTCAGCTTATTTCAAAATGAAAAGACAGTGCCAGGTGCTGGTGGCTCATGCCTGTAATCCTAGCTACTTAGGAGGCTAGATCTGAGGATCGTGGTTCAAAAAACAGCCAGGGCAGGAAAGTCTGTAAGACTCATCATCTCTAATTAACAGCTAAAATGCTGTTGGTGGATATTCTACCATTTGAACCATTTTGCTACAGCCTGGCATTTTGCTGATTAGTTGAACAGAGTCTCACAAACTTTTCTGTTTAGGCTGACCATGACTTTCAAGGTCTTGATTTCCTTAATAGTGGAATTATAAATGTAAGCCATCAGTACCTAATTTCAACATATTTCCTTTTATGCTTAGTCCTCTAAGGGTAAGGAGGGAAATGTTCTAAAACCTAAAAGGAATTGGATATTTAGTAGAACTGGGGGGATTTTGAGCTGTGGCTCAAGTGGTAGAGTGCTAGCTTTGTGCAAAAAAAAAAAAAAAAAAGGCTCAGGGAAAGAGAAGTTATATACATTATATAAGCTCAACTGCTACCACCTAAGAATCTTAGTGATATTTATTTCTTGTATTCATTACTATAATCTTTTCCCCCCACTTTTGGCAGTATTTGGAGCTGAACTCAGGCTTGGAACCTGCTAGCTGGGCCCATTATTACTGCAGCCATACCCCAGTTCTTTTTGCTTTGTTTTTTAAGAGGGTCATGAATTTTGTTTTGTCTGGACCTGTGTGGACCACAAATCTTCCTAGTTACACTTCCCAAATAGTTTGGAGAACAAGTTTGTTCAATGATAGCCAGCTATTGATTGATTGAGGTTTTGCTAACTTTTTGTCTAAACTGGCTTCAAATCTTGACCCTTCCAATCTCTTCTTGATGTATGGCCCACATTATAGAAGCCATTACATCCAGCCTTACAAAAGCTTCTTAATCTTAGATGACAAAAGTGGGAATTAAAAAGACAGACAAGGGCTGGGAAGGTGGCTCAGTGGTAGAGCACTTGCCTTGCATGCCTGAGTCCCTGGGTTCGATTCCTCAGCACCACATAAGCAAAAAGAAAAAAGCTGGAAGTGGGGCTGTGGCTCAAGTGGTAGAGCGCTAGCCTTGAGCTGAAGAGCTGAGGGACAGCGCCCAGGCCCCGAGTTCAGGCCCCACGACCAGACCTCCCCCAGCCCCCTCCAAAAAAAAAAAGACAGGTGAGCTTTGCTTCTTAAGTAATTTTATAAAGGTGACAAAAACTTGTAAAATTATTCATCTCAAATTCTGGTAGCTAGTTTTACATGTGGACCATATACCTGGCCAAACAATTGGTTTGTAATCTTATTCATCCTTTGTTTTTTTTTGAGCCAACTCTTTAAGGAAAGGTATACAGCTCCCTTTCGATCCTCTCCATGTATGATTTCAAAGGAGTTCCTTGTCCCCAAATCTTCATTCCCAATTTAAGAATATACAGTAAATTAAAACACATACACATTCCAACTTTTAGGCTACTACTATTAAAGACAGAAGCTATCCTTCCTCTAAATGTTGTCCAGAACACAAGCCATCACCTGTAATTTTACTCCTCAGAAAGCATCTGGGCTAGATATTAGCAGAGGGCAGGAAAGCATTAATTCAGCTCTGTTCTCTGGGAATCATGTATCGTACACATCTCACTGCTCTGGGCACTGGCCATCATCTCATAGTCCCACAGCTTTCCCAGAAAAAAACAAACAAACAAACAAAACAGTAGGTGCCCGGAATTAAGGGGGAAAAAATGCTTACCATAATAATCTTCCATAATTTCTTACTGCAGCATGGTAAATATCTTGATCTTCTCCAGTCTGTAACAACAAAATTGCCCTTAAAAAAAGGACAAGATATTTTAAATCATCTATATGCAACAGCACTGCTTTACTTTTCCCTCCTTAGGTGAAAACTTATTTCTAATTTCTGTACTGACTTCTACTGATACTTTATTGTTACTTATAATACCTTATTTGTATTTTATGAAACTGATACTGTAAAAGCTATTAAATAGATATTTAGAGTTTAGCTTGTCAGGAAAATAATTTTTATAAAATAATATCTCAGCTTTTTTAGCACGTGAAATATTTGTGATATCCTATTTCTAAATATTCCAAATTTTCTTATTTAAGCATGATAAATCATAGTGTCACTGTGCTATATTTCAATATATTTTACTTTGTAGAGGACACTCTTGAAAATACTAATAGCTTTACATAAGAAGGCAGGAAATCAGGATTCTCATGCAACTCTTGAGCTACACATACATAAAAATGAGTGAGGACCATGAGTCAGGTAGTCTATCAGAAGCCCTCTAGACTTAGAACAAATATGCCAAAGGTGCCAAGATATCTCTCCCTCTCTCTCCCTCTCCCTCTCCCTCTCTCTCCCTCTCCCTCTCCCTCTCCCTCTCCCTCTCCCTCTCCCTCTCCCTCTCCCTCTCCCTCTCTCTCTCTCTCTCTCTCTTTCTGTTTGAACTCAGCATCTGAACTCAGGGCTTTACACTCACTCCCACCTGGGCCATACCATCAACTATTATGTATTTTTGTTGTTGTTTGCTCTGGTTATTTTTGAGATAGAGTATCACGTTCTGCACAGGCAAGGCCAGGCTGTGATCCTCTGGATGTCAATATCCTACATAACTGGGATGACAGTGCCTAGTTACTAGTTGATAAGTTGTTACACATTTTTGTCCTGATTGGTTTCAAACTGTAATCCTTTCAATCTTTGGTTCCTAGTAGCTAATAATTATAGGTGGGCACCATCTTGCCCAGCTAATACATTTTCGTGTGCGTGCGTGCGTGCGTGTGTGTGCATGTGTGTGTGTGTGTGCATGTGCATGCCATTACAGTGGTTAAACTGAGGGCCTCCCTATCTTGCTTTTGGTGGATATTCTACCACTTGAACCATTTTGCCACAGCCTGGCATTTTGCTGATTAGTTGAATGGAGTATCACAAACTTTTCTGTTTAGGCTGACCATGACTTTCAAGGTCTTGATTTCCTTAATAGTAGAATTATAAATGTGAGCTATCAGCACCTAATTTCAACATATTTCCTTTTATGCTTAGTCCTCTAAGGGTAAGGAGGGAAATGTTCTAAAACCTAAAAGGAATTGGATATTTAGTAAAACTGGGGGGATTTTTTTTTTCCTTTTCTGTTTAAAGAGGATTTGCCTGGAAAAATAAAATCCGAGTAAGGCTTCTTATCCTCTTGATATTACATAAAGAACAAAATCCACAAGAATCATGAAGTATTACAGAAATTAAAACTATTTCTGGCTGAATACATGAATATGGTTTCAAGCCTCACTACAAGGCCAAAACAGCAGTCAAAATTAGTGCCTAAGTGACTGTGGGAATAGCACTAATGCCTAAAGAGTAGCCAGTATTAGATTCAGTGTCTGTAACTATTGTATGCAGAGACATAGAAAACACCCTCAAGATGCTTAGATTTCTCTCTTAAAAATCATGCTCATTGCTGCATTCTGTCATATTTATATGGTTTGTTTCTTGATAAGTTTATTGAGAATGAAAGAAGTAAAATTGTATACATCTTAAAAAACACCTTCTTGTTTACATAGCCTCCAGTACCATCTAGTGATTACTCCTTTGAACTACAGACAGATCCATAAAAAGATGTGGCAAAGTATTTGGGATGCCTCAGTTAAACCTAGCAAGACCTACAAATATTCACTTAGATTCGAAATAAAAATATCATGCCATACAGGCAGGTTAGGCAATCAGACTTTTTAAATTTTACAGTTACTAGTAAGATTAATAGTTTTTGTTGTTGTTGTTGTTGTTGTTTTCTGGTATGAGGGTTTGAACACAGGGCCTCAAGTACTTGCAATGAGAGTTGTGGACTTTTCCACCTGGTTAGCTTCAAATTGTAATCCTCCAGATCTCAGGCCATATGGGTAGCTAGTTATACAGGCAAGAGACAATGGTATCCTGGCAATATTTATTTTTCTATTCGTTTATTCATCCACTTTCAGAGAACAAGAGTTTAAACTGATTTCATTGAGTGGAGTAGTTACTCCACTCAAGTTGTCTAGCTCTTTTGTTTCTTAAGTATGCCAAGGTGCTTCTGTTTGGAAGCACTTGCTCTTGCTTGCTGTTCCTTCTGCTTATATGCTCTTGCCCAGATAACCAAATGGCTGGGGACCTTGATTCCTCCCAGTACACAATGACTCCTCACTCCTCATAAACTTGCCTTCAAAGCCACTTCCTATTTCTGGACCTTCATTCTACTTTAATTCTTTCTTAATATTTATTACTATCATCACAGTTATTTATTCTTGAGTAGCTCCTACCACTAGAACTAAATTGTGAGTGTTAAGGACAAATATGGCACACAGAAGAATCCAATAAATATTTGTTGAATTGTGCAAACATATAGCAGACACTAAAGTGATTCAAGCAAAAGCAAACAAGTAGAACAAAATGTCATTTTCTGTCTGGTTGAACACTCTTATCTAACAAAGCTAGACAAAGTTTAGAGAATAGGGTTGGTTTGTGCCTCTCTTTTCCTTCATCCTTCCCTTTCGTCTATTCCCACTCCTTTACTATAAGTAATAAGAACCAAAATACAGCTGAAAATTTGGGACTGCATCTTTTCATATCTTAAGATGCAATAAAAATATACAATGAAGATCACGAAGCAAGTCAGAACACTGAGTACCTTTTCCAGAAGAACACAGAATATCTAAAAAGACTAACTGACTAAATTACTGCACTGCAAATAAATGTAGCTTACCTTTGGTATGCTTCTGCTGCTTCCTTTTTCAGTTGTAGATGTTCATTTAAGTAACCCAACATTGTAAAAGCTGGAGCATAATTCTGAATTCTTTCTGTAAATCCAGAAATGTTTACTCTTTATGATATTCATACTTTCTATGTTCACGAAAGTATTAACTTAATTTCCATTTTTTCAGTATCTGAAATACCAGACTACTCACTGAAATCATTAGCACTACTAAGAACCATTGTCTAATTTTATCTTAAATATTCCAGTGTCATTTTATAATATTACAAATTACTGAATATTACTGAATTACTATAATTATTACTATAACAATTACTGGATAGTTATATGTAACTTGTAGTTTTAGAGTTTAATTTTTTTCTCTACAGTATAATAATCTGAAAATATAACTTAAAACTACTAGACATTTATAAGAAAATCCAATCTTGTGGCTAATCAACAAACCTTATTGTGATTTAATTTAACAATAATTTCTTTTGATTGTTCTGCTCCAGTCTGTACATGTTTTAAGGAAGAGAATTTCAATATTGTATACCAGGAACAGAAGATGATTTGGGTACTTTCAGTGATGTCAAAAAACATGTATTAACAAAGTACAATGTAAAAATGTATCTATGTAACTGGTTAGGTTGTAACATCAAAGCATAAGGTGGAAACCAGATAATCTGTTATTCTTCCAAAATCCCTAAAGTCACTATATAAGAAGGAGATTAGAAAACTTGGTCACACACAGGTGCCTGAGGACAAACTACACAAGATGCCCTAAAACAAACTATAATAGGATAGACTACATTCCATCTCTCATCAGCATCTTACTGCTTCTACTTTGCTGGGGGTTTTTTTGGGGGGGAGGAGGTACTAAGCAAAAAAGAGTTGAGTTTGTCAAGTAAATATTTGATATTTAAGAAAAATTAAAAACATCTACACATATTTGTTAGAAAATGATTTGTTCATTATTTCAGATATCAAAATTTTACTGAAAGCTTGACATAAATTATACTTTAAATTATAGGTAACTCATCAGAATTCTGATCATATACCTCCTTAGCTCTAGGTACTTATTAGTCTTTCATTTTGACATACTGCATAACATGACAATTTTACCATTTTCTATACAAGTATACCAGGCTAAATGAATGAATAGAATCTCTTTATGGTGAGCCATTTGTCTTGCTATTCATCTTCACATTATTCTCTTGTTATTTTCTGCTATTGGAATCTCTTGCTCATATCCCTTGATTTTTTGTTGGTGTTTTGTCAGAGGCTATCATTTCCATCACATCTACAGAGGCCAAGTGCTCTGGCCTAAGTGCTTACTAAATTCTAAGCAGTAGAGAGTTTCTTTTGTATATGCGGACAAACCTAAAAGTCGATTGTATGGTATGCCCAAGGGTTCACTCATGACTACTAAGTAGCAGAGCAGAGACTAAAACTACCTAATGATAATTTCATTATAGAAGACAGGAAATAATTTTTTTTAATGGCTAGTAAACTTTGGCATTCTGTCAATTTCCTAAACCTGTGTTTCCAATATCCTATGGAAAACTCAGGCTTTAAAGTGGGTGGTTAAAGGCAATGAGTGTGGCACTTCATGAATATTATCTCATCTTATTCTCACAAGTCCACAACCAAAGTATTATGACTTACCGTTTCTAAGGAGAGAAAGGAAGTTAGAAGAAGTTAGAAAGCAGTAGCGAATCAGGCCTAGGCACCAAAACACTTTCCAGTATAAGTAAATCACTTTCATCCTGAATCATTAATGAGTCTAATCATTCTTCACAATTCTTTAGTTTAAAAAAGCAGACTGCTTGGCCACAGCAACAAAAAAAAGCAGACTTATGTCTTAAAATCATTAACATTTCATATGGAATGAATTAACAACAAATTCTTAAAGTTATATTATCAAATCTTGATATTGTAGAACATATACCTTACCCACATATTTGCACAAAACAACTTGTGCTGCTGGAATAGCATTCATCTGGAGGATGTTGTACTGGTACAGCTCTGTTTCTCTGTTGCTTTTATCTTGCAATGTTGTGCAGACCCAATATGCATAACCTATTGCTCCCTCAGTCTATAAAAAAGAAAAAGTTATTAAGTAGATATAGGGTAATAAATATGCCAATAAAAGCTAAGAAGTAAACAACACAATTCAATACACTAAATTTTACAACCTAGTCTTTTTTTAAGCGAAATGTTATGTGCTTTTGAAGGGTCCTATCTTCTGAGGGGGTCTTGTAAACTTTTTGCCTGGGCCAGCTTCCATCTGAGCTCCTCCCAATGTTCACCTCCCAGGTAGCTAGGATTACTACAAATACCCACGAGTACTAATCATGTTGTGAGCCACCTTACTCAGCTGGCAGACCTAAGTTTCACTTCTATTGTTACCATTTTAATTTAAACTGTTTAAACCTATTTTAATTAAATCTGTTTTGATTAAACTCTCCTCCTGACACAAACATCTCAAGATTAAAAAAAATTATATCATTTGCTCCCATCCTAAGTGAAAGAATCAAATAGGTTAAAGTGCTGAAAATGGCCTTGTGAGATGAGTCAGTTTTCCCTTTCTCAGCAACATTCCCACAGGTCAAACAAAACTAACAACGTCTCTAAATAATTTTTTTTTTCATGTCCACTAAGTTTAGCTGTCACCTCATGTCCACTTTTTTCTTCTCTTTTTTTGTGCTTGCACTAGAGCTTGAATACAGGGACACTTGAGCTATGCCTACTGTACAGTTTTTGTTTTTGTTTTTTAACTGGCTAGACACTTTTCTTCTCAGCTCTCAGCCTTCATGAATAGCTATGATTACAGGTGTAAGCCATCAGCAAGCAGCATCATGTCTACTTTTTTTGGTGGTCCTAGTTTCTATTCTGACCTTGTTACTATATCCATTAAATTGTAAGATTATTTTCCTCATCAACTTCTGAAAGCTGAAGAAAAGTAGAAGCTCTTTGAATTTAACTTATCTTCTTCTAAAGAAGAACAAATATTAGAAACATCTACTATCTTTACCATCTTATACCACTATCCATTTTCTTAGTATGAATAACCTGCTAATTTATGAATCCTCAAGAAAAATGTTAAAATTCTTACATGCATCCTGAGTTCTGTAGTGTGCCTAAAAAGATCCATGGTGTCGTAACTTCCAATTGTCTCTGCAATAAGAGCCTGCAAGATATATTTTAAAAGAAATAACTTAAAAAGAAATAATGATAAATAAATTTAGTAGACCCAAAGGTATACTAGCTATGCTTAAAAGCAAAGTTAGTATGGTTTTGGTAGTACTGAGGTATGAATTCAGAGCTTTGAGCTTATTAGGTAAGTGTTCTACAGCTTTGAGCTATACTCTCGGCTCTTTTTCTTTTTCTCCTTGGGCTCAATAACTTGATACAGAGATTAACACAAAAATGCCATTGGTCCCAGATGCTATTCTACTTAAGGGGAAAAAGAATTGTTTTCTTTCCTCTCTCCCCTTGCTTCAAGAAACAAAAGATTCAATAGTAATACAGTAAACAATATCTAATCTCAGATTATTGATTAAATGGAATGGCTGATTCTCATACTGTTCCTTGAACTGACTGCTAATTCATCATAATTCCTCAATTAGACAAACTACTGAAGGCCACTCAGTCCACTCCAGCTACCTTCTTTTTCAGGTGATAAAAAAATCCAAAGAACTAATACGTTAAGGTAAATCTGTCAATGACAGATTTAAACTAGTAACTAAGAACAATGATTCTATTTGGCCATGCAACAATTTAAATATAAGAGAGGAGAGTATACTCCTAAGTGCTAAATGAAGTGATGGTTTTATAGAGAACGAAAAAGAATAATCAAAATGATCTTTGTAAATGTGTATTTTCTAGGTAAAAGAGTTCTGGGCTTGCTTTTTAGGCAGAGTAATGTCAACTGATGAGGTACAAAGTTTAATAACTATAAGCTCTGTGACCCTAGGTATAATACTTAGGAGCTCTGAGCATCAATTTGCAGATGTATAGAGTATAATAACAGCTGCCACACAAAGGACTGACGATAGAGTAACTGAAATAATGTGTGGATAGAGCTAACCATAATGACTGGTACAAAGAAGGCTTTTAAGAGTTAACTTTGTCATTATCACTGTTACTTACATGAACAGACTATGTCCTAAGTTTATTAATAATTCTGTTATATATCTTACTTGTCCAATCCAGCACATTAAATAAGATGGATCAAGGGACTGAGCCATTTTGAAAGCTTCATGAGCTTGCTAGGTAAAAAAAAGCAAAGACAGAAAATACCACATTAAGTAATTTAATAAATTTAAAATTAAATTATAATTTTTTAAAAAACACAAAATAATTGAGTATAAAAAGTTAAGTATGTCATAAATACATATGAACCCAAACTTCACTGTTTGAGCATGATTCACATTGCTTAATGCTTAGCTACTATATATGTGGTCTTAAAACAATCCTGGTACAATAGATTCTTAACAAGTTATGAGTTCTAGTCTCTAGCATAACACCAGTAACCTACAGTCTGCAGAACTTTTAACCAATTATATATCCATTTGTTAGTCACAGGCTTGAAAAAATGATTTTCAATAAGGCTATATCTATTCTCTTTAAGATTAACTAAAAGGATATGAACTCACAACCAACTAAGTCCAAAACATTGATCTGCTACTTTAGAAAGAGGAAATCCCATCATAATTCTGTACTAGATAGTCAAGAAATTCCTCACTGGGGGCATTAACTGGCATCCTTTTTACTTTTTCCTGCTACAAAAAGTAATTTATGCCAGTGCTGATAGCTCATGTCTATAATGCTAGCTACTCAGGAAGCTGAGATCTAAGGATTGAAGTTTCAAGTCAACTGGAGCAGCAAAGTCCTTGAGACTCTTATCTCCAGTTAACTTACCAAAGAAAAAAAGTCAGAAGTGTTGCTGCATGGAGTAGAGAGAGACTTATTTTTAGTAATAAAAAGTAACCCTATGAACAATAACTATGTCATGAACTAAAACCACATCTGTGTCCTATTAACTGAGAAACTACTTGATTTGAAATATGTGCTAATTTATTTTATTTTTATAAGGTGTTAGGGATCAGACAAAAGACTTTTAACATGCTAAATATGTACCGGGCTTCAAATATAGCACTTCATATAGTTTAAGATCCAAATTAATATGTTCAATCTATTTACAATTGTCTAAAGTCATTGTCTTTGCATTGACTAAATGTATTTCTAAGAATATTATGGAAGATTTTTTTTTTTGTCATGGGGCCTGAACTCTGGGCCTGGGCACTGTCCCTCAGCTCTTCAGCTGAAGGCTAGCGCTCTACCACTTGAGCCTCAGTCCCACTTCCAGCTTTTTCTGCTTATGTGGTGCTGAGGAATCGAACCTAGGACCTCATGCATGCAAGTCAAGCACTCTATCACTGAGTCACCTTCCCAGTCCCTGGAAGATTTTTTATGATAAGATGCAATATACTGAACGACAAAACAATACAATTGCGGTAATTATCTGTGTATATGTGGCATCTTTTCAAACATTACCTATAAACATGTACTAGTTACTTAATTTCCAACAATCTAGTGTGTAACTGTTCAACTATTTCAGAGTAAATAGTGACACTTCTTTTTTGCGGGGGGGGGGGGGGGAGGGAAGAGGTCGCTCATGGGGCCTGAACTCTGGGCCTGGGTGCTGTCCCTCAGCTCTTCAGCTTGAGGCTAGCTCTCTACCACTTGAGCCTCAGCCCCACTTCTGGCTTTTTCTGTTTATGTGTTGCTGAGGAATCGAAACCAGGGCTTCATTCATGCAAGGCAAGCACTCTACCACTGAGCTACCTTCCCAGCCCCAACAACTAAAATCTAAATCACATAAGCAAAGGTAAAACACTAAATACTAAATCATCTCTCCCTTACCTTCACTCCCTTACCTTAACAGTGTACAAGAACTTCTCTTCCTTATGTACAGATGAAAACACTCAACTAATTCATTAATTTTTTTAACCTCTAAATATCAGATCAGTATAAGATCAGAAGTTTCATAATCATAGTTGAAGGAAGGTATGTATCACTCAACATAATAAATTGATTATCATCATTTAATTACACAGTCATTATTCAACAAAATAAACTAGATGTCATTAATTAGCATAGTTATGATATACCAAGAGGTAAAATGTGTAAAGTATTTCATCACAAGAAGCTTATTTATTATGAGAAATCATAAATAGAAAATATTTTTAATTTTTACACTAAAAAACTGGTAACACATCACCTCAATGTTTTCGTTTATGAGATACAGCACTCCCAAGTTGGTCCAGGCAACAGCATTCTAAAAACATAAGTTAAAAAAAATGAAATTCAGCTACTTCAAACCCTTGGAAATTGGTAATACTAAATTTTAAAGTTCTTTTTTAAATGGGCACATGAAACACTTACAACTTGTTCTGACTGGATGGATTTGATGAAACAGTGCTGAGCAAGGGCATAATTTTCAACACCTGAAATAGAAAAGTTGAAGTAACTGAATTTCACTTCCTGACAAAAAAACCTTCCAAAAATACTGAAGTAATAAGGTGTTACTCAATTCTCACCACTGTAACATGCAACGACACCAAGTGCATTCCAGTATAAGTGACTGCTACTGTCGAGTCTCACTGCCTTTTTCAGACACTGAAAAAGAAGTTAAATCAAAATAATTTTTACTTCTTAGAACATCAGTATTTCCACAAATATGATTAAATATGATTTTATATGAAAACACTAAAGTTTTTATCAAAAAACTACATAAAAGCTCAATTTTTTTCCAAAGTGCATAAAAATTTCTTAAAATCATACATGTAAAGACTTCTCCAGCAATTCTTTAACATCATTTGTGTTGCTGTCTATTTCTGCCAGATGCTGTGCTTGGTGATAATAATTAATTCCAAGATCACACCAGGTATTAGATGTAGACATCAATTTTAATGCCCGACCATAACACCTATAAAAAAAGAAAAAAAAGAAAAAATAAATGGTTATCTTTATAATGCCCAAATTCAACTTCAATGTTAAGAAATGGCAATTTTTATAAATTACCTTCCTCCAAGATGGAGGAGCTCATTTTTCTTTAATGTTTGTTTTCCATCTTTCTGACCAAGAAAAATTCCTAAAACATTAACATTCACTTTAGATGATGAAACTGCATGCAGGCTGGTGCAAGCATCCCCAACTAGCTTCCAAAGGCAGGATACATCAGCTCGATGTTGCAGGGCCCTAAAAGAAGAAAAAGTATATTTTCAAATTATTACCAAAAAGGTGTATGTCTCACATTACTACTTATAATTAAAATAGAAAAACTGAACAAACAAATTCTAATCTTAGCTACAATCTTAGTCAAGCTCTATGACAGCTTTTGGCAGACCCTTTACCATAATTATATCTTATCTCTTTCTTAACAGGCAGACAAAAGGAAGGAAAAGGAGGAACAAGAAAGGAACTAACTTTCAGCAGTCTTCACTATTTTTGTGTAAGGTAGCAGAAATTAAATAAATTTTTCCCGGACCATTTTATCTTTAGTACTAAATATTTAAAAGTACGTTCTTTTTGTTTATTTAAGCAATGAGCAAGCTAGTAAAGTACATATTTTATAGGTGACTATCCCATAAACTTTTAAAAAAAGAGTAAATATGCTCAGTAAATATGTTCAGACAGTTTAAAGGATTTTCATCTTAAGGCCAAAAATAACAAAAATCTAAATATGAAAATAAGAAGACTGACATTTACAGAAGGAATTGAGAGCAGAATAAATAAGCTCAAAAGGTAAATAAAAATATTTCAGAGATGAAGATTTCTTTTTAGAACAAGAAAAGGCAAAACTATAAATTTCTCTCCATTTTTCTCAATATCTTATAAATAAAACGCAGTAATTTGACTTAAGTCTCAACAACCAGTTATCACAAACTGCTGTGACAGGCAGATGGACAAGCAGATAGAACATTTTCTATAACCTTTTCTACTTGAGAAGACCAGCCAAAACATGTAGTGCCTTCCTGAGAAATATTCATTATTTCAATCATGATTGAAAACCCACTTTGATGCGGGAGCTGGTGACTCATGCTTATAATCCTACCTACTCAGGAGGCTGAGGATCACAGTTCAAAGCCATCCCAGAAACTGTGAGACTCTTATCTCCAATTAACCACCAGAAAACCAGAAGTGGTGCTATGGCTCAAATGGTAGAGCGTTTGCCTTGAACTAAAGAGCTCAAGGACAGCCCCCAGGCACAGAGTTCAAGCCCCACAACTGACAAAAAGAAAAAAAAAGAAAACCCACTTTTGAGAATTAGAAGAAAAGTCAACATTATTCCAAGTTCCTTTAAACATCTTAAAAAGTTTCTAAAATTGACAGCATGAAATGAAAAAAAATAGGGAGAGAAAAAAATGGTTATTTTAATATAATTTTATTGTTACTATTACAGAGTGGTACAGAAGGGTTACAATTCCACATGTCAACCAATGAGTATAGTTTTTCTTGGACAATGTCACTGTTTTTGTTGCCTTTCCCAAGTTTCTCCCTCCTGTCCCTGTCAACAAGTTGTATCGTTCATTTCTTACAAAACGTATATTGAATACTATGACTATTCTTAGATCTTTTAAATTTCAATTAAAACATAAAATTTCTATCAATAAATAACTCATCATCCTTTAATAATAATTGAGATGGCATAAACTTTTTTAAATTTAGAAAAAACAGTAAGTTTGAAGATTCTAATTTTAAATGTTTTATATATGACCTTAGAACTGGTTGTGAGTGCTATATGTTATCCAGAATGAAATTTGCTATACTCAGAAAAGCAATATTATAGCTAAAATACTTTAAGTAGCTATATAAAGGGATTGCAATGCACAATTTATCTTAAATACCTGTACAAACAAAGCATGTCCACTTCACAATAACTTTCTCTTTGGGAAGAACTATATTATGTAAGACTTAGTAAAAATTAAAATGTACAGACTGGCACCAGTGGCTACCACCTGTAATCCTAGCTACCTAGGAGGCTGAGATCTCAGGATCTCAGTTCAAAACAGCCCAGGCAGATACGTCCATGAGACTCTTATCTCCAATTAATGACCAAACAGTCGGAAGTAGAGCTATGGCTCAAGTGGTAGAGCACCAGCTTTGAGTGAAAAAGCTCAGAGGCAGCACCTAAGCTCAGAACCAGCACAAAAATATTAAAAATCATGGGACAGAAAGGGTTGGAAGGGTTGGATATGAGAAAAATAGCAAATGGAAGAATGCAGCTTAGAAAAGAAAGGAAAGAAAGCTGTTTTAAGAAAAACAACTGTTTGTCTAACTTGTGCACAAATTTTTGTTTTTTGAAATTAGATCTCCCCTATATTGCAATACTAGCCTTGAGCTTACAATCTTCCAGCCTCAGTTTCCCAAGTAGCTACGATTGCAAGCATATGTCATCATCTCCAGCATCATTTTTGGACTTTTAAAGTCATATTTTACAAATAATAATTATAATGAACTTAAATTCACCTATTTGCACTTCTGTAAAATACTACATTTATTAAGATTTTTTTATTCTTTTATTAGATACCACTCTATTTCTTACAGTTTCTCTCCAAAACTTGGTTGCCTATTTTATTTCAATGTCAGTCCCCCAATAAGCCTATTAAAATAGGCCCTTTCTATTGGATACAAAGCATACTGTTCACCATAATCCCTATAATCAATTCTATTATGGATATCCCCACTTCCAACTTGGAGAGAAAAAGAACAATATATGGTATCAGAACTGTTGTTCCACCAGCAGACCACTTCTTCCTTCCTGCTCTTTCCAGGTAACACCATGCCAACCACCAGAAAATAACAAAAAACTATGTTTCTATATGTTAAAAATTAATATTTTATGCTTGCTATGGGATTAACTGGCTAGTTATTCTTCATGCATGATACATTAAATAACTGCTATAATTAACAGAATAAAATTATTTTCTAGTAAATAATTTAAAAATACTAACCGAGTAAAATATTCCAGAGCTTTTTCTATGTAGTTTACAGCTTTGCCATCAAGGTAATCAACTAGAGCTGCCTTAGCCATCATAAAATGACACTCGCCCAAGCCTAAAATAAGTTTGCAGCTGTCATTAAACTATATAAAACAAACATTTGAGATGAACTTTAAATATGTATAATTTTTAAAGCTACTTTCCAAACATTAACAAAACTTAATGAAATTTCCTATTATCTTTATGTGCAATCTTGCATGCATTTAGTAAGGAATTCAAATGTCAGGGTTCTCTTAGAGTAAACATACACTAAAAATTATTAAATCTTCTCTATAAAACCCAAGAATTCCCTTAACTGGGATAGTCTCTTATCAAAACCATAGCTTCAAAAGTGGAAATGTTTTCTAAATATTACTTTAAATGACTTTATCTGTTGCCAAACAAAATTTGATCATTTTATATTAAAATCTGTATAGCAAACTATGCTTTAAAATTAATTAAAATAGTGATTTTTGCCAAGTGCCAGGTAAGCATTTCATAAACTAGAGAATTCCTTCTCTAGTGTAAAAAGTAAAGAAGAAACTTATAAAACCTAAGTAATGTTATTCAAAACAATGCCAATAAGGATTTAAACCTCAACCATTTCTTTGAAAAGGAGAAGAAAATAGAGGAAATAGAAATAACAGGTTCCACATTTTTTAAATGGTAAGATATAATAATACAAAATGTAGATTATATGATATGTTACTTTTCCTTAGACAACCAAAAGTAATTTGTTAAGAAAAAATGCATATCTACAGATACTAAAATCAACTTAATTATACAACAATGTAATTTGCTTATGAAGTTTAAAAAATGTAAATGAGCTTTTAAGTCTAATAGCTATCACATTTACCCAAAAATTAAACCTCTATCATACAATTTATTGAGTTATGAAACAAAATTTTATCTTTTTCTATTCAAAGCTACATGAGCTATACTATAAAATATTAGATCGGATACTTGCAATTGACTAAGTTCTTTTCAAGTTATTTGAGATACCTCAGTTAGGCAATTTACTCAAGGATTTTATACTTCAATATCATACAAGTCAGAACTCTTAAAGAGAAATTACCTTTCAAGGCAGGCACATAATCTTCCTTCTTGGCAATGATCAGCTGGTACTGGGCTATTGCCTCCTTATACTTGCCTAGGATTTGCTGTATTGCTGCAACCTTACACACACTGTATATGGAATCTGGGTTCAGTTCACTGGCTTTTATGAAGGACTTCAAAGCAGTTGTATAACCACCTCTGCTTAAGTATGCCTCTCCTAAAGACTCCCAACAGTTGAAGTCCTTTGGGTCTGCCCTTAAGGCTGCCTGTAAGCTTAAAATGTAAAGAAACAGTAAGAGAATTAAAAGTAAAATACATCAAAAGGAAAATATGAAATAATTCAAGTTAATCACTATTATAGGTCCTTCTATTTACAAAAATACTATGTAAAGCAGGTATATTAGTCATTATGAATGTTTTTAATACTACAAAGCTTTATTATAATAATTCCAGAATGAGTAAAAACAGTATACATTTTTGGAAAAGCGCTAAATTTCATTTTCTTGATTATCTGAAAAAATTCCAGTTTTCAATCCTTCCTACATACATAGTATCTCAGTTTGCCTCATCAGTCTATAAACCCCCAATAGCAATCCTTCCACTAAATATGTAAGTACAGCGATGTTTTAAATTTTTGACCAAATAAGAGGGATGCTTTAAATTTTTGACCAAATTCCACTTTTATGAAAAATTCAAAATGCATATATTTTAGACACTACCATAAATTAGAAATGAATTTATCTTGATTCACTTTATCCTGAAGTTACAGTTCAAATCAAATGACTAAACCTGATCATATATGACTTGTTCTAAATGCCTTTCAAACTGCCAAATATCTATTTTGTGAAAATTAATTTTAGCAGGAGAACAAAGATCTTTACTTGAACTTTATATTATTACTGAAGTATCTACTGAGAACTTTCTAGCTGTACGAGACTATTAAGAATAAATTTCTCTAAACTGGCTATTTCTTTAATAAGAGTACAGAATTATACCCATTTGTGAAATTCTACTGCTTTTACAGAAAAAAGATATAAATCTTGTTATTTCTTTTCCCAAAATATAACATGAGCTAGGTGGGTGCTGGTGTCTCACACCTATAATCCTAGCAACTCAGGTGGTTAAGATCTGAGAATCACAGTTCAAAGCCCAGCCTGGGTAGAAAATTCCATGAGACTCTTATCTCTAATAAACTACCAAAAAAATCCAGAAGTGACTCATGTGGTAGAGTGCTAGCCTTGAGCGAAAGAAGCTCAAGGACAGTGCCTAGGCCCTGAGTTCAAACCCCAGGACTAGCCAAAAAAAAAAAAATCCACAAAAACAAACATATACTCTGTATATGTGTGTATCCAGTAAGAGGCCATAAAGTTACTTGGAGAATAAAAGAAATTTACCTCACAAAATCATTATACTAGCTGGGTACCGGTGGCTCATGCCTGTAATCCTAGCTACTCAGGAGGATGAGATCTGAGGATCGAGTTGTACTCGTTATCTTGCCCTTGTAATTGTAACTCCTCTGTACAGTATTCTCACAATAAAAAAAAAAAAGAAAGAAAGAAAAAGTCTGAGACTCTTATCTTCAATAAACCACTCAGAAAACCAGAAGTGATGCTATGGCTCATGTGGTAGAATGCTAGCCTTGGGCTGAAGAGCTCATGGACAGTGCCCAGGCCCAGAGTTCAAGTCCCATGACCGACAAAAAAAAAAATCATTATACTTTCTAAGCATAAATACAATAAGATGCCTTACTCAGCCACTGCTTGAGAATGTTGACCAGCTTTCAAATAGTACAGTCCTCGCCTAAGCCAGGCCCACTTCGCTGTTCCAGCGCTTGCTTTTTGAGTTACTGTTGTTAAGATAGCTAAGGCAGTTTCCTAATAAGAAAATATTAATATTAGTAACTGAATATCCTAAAAATAAAGCATATCTTTGTAAAGTATAACAATATACTTTATTTCCCTCGCCTCATTTTTGAACTTATATTGCTATACATCAAACTAGTTTTCAATAGTGTCATAAATAATTTAATATTTGCCAATGAAAATAAAATTTAGCCTATTTATATGTGGTGACGAGACATTTCTATTATATTTACAAAGAAAAAAGTGAATGTTAACTTTCAAGTATATGCATATTTTCTTCTATGTTCTTATTAGTATCAACTGGTCATCCAAGAGGATTTCATTTGACACATCCACATGTGCATACAATGTACCCTGATCAGAATCAGGGGAACTCTCCAATTTTTCCTCAATTCCCAAAGAAATCTCAACAAAAAGGTGGACCCATTGCAACAATGAGATGTACAAGTCGTTATGTCGAAAAACAAACTTTAAAACTTGGGGGGGGGGGGAGGGTCGGGGGAGGGGGGGGAGTATGGGAAGGAATGGGAAGGGGAAACAAAGAGGAGGCAACAATGCTTGATAAGAAATGTACTCGTTATCTTGCCCATGTAATTGTAACTCCTCTGTACGGTATTCTCACAATTAAAAAAAAAAGCTTCACTGTTTCATTTTTACACATGTAAATGAAGTATTTTAACCATATCTACCCTCCTTTACTTTGTTTAGTCACCCTCCTCCATCTACCAGACACGTGACATTCTTGTCAACCATTTTTTTGTGTATGTTAGGTGTTGAAAATTTCACTGTGGCAGTTCATATGTTAGCCATTTGGTACTTTAGTCAGAGTGACCCCTCCACTTACTCTTCCATTCCCCCTCCCTCCTAGCCCCTATTATTCAACAACTTTCAGCGTATTTTATTTTTATTTCAGTGAATTTTATTTTACTATCTTCATTCACAGACAATATATTTCAGCATTTATTTCCCTGTAACAATCCCTAAAAATGTTTCCATTTATACATCCTGGATTTAAAAAAAAAGAAAAGATGTAAGTGGTTACTAGACATACCATATCCTCTAGCTCCACACTTAAGTCAACTGCTGCAGCTCCAGATTCAGCATCGGTGTCATCCAATTCAAATGCTTTTCTATAACATCCACGGGCTCTGGTTTTGTCACCCACTATATCTCTATAATAATGACCTAAATAGCAGAAAACCTTGCCCATGTATGTATCCAGTCTTGCAGCCTTTGAAATAAATATTGACACAGAACATTAAAAAGTTACTGGGATAAATATCTTTAAAATCACAAAAGATTTAAAGAAAAAAGATATAGTATTATTAAATGCTCAAAAATGGACTAAAATATTTTTAGAGTAGGACTTAAAGTAGACATAAAAGTCGATCCTTGCAGGGCGCCACTGGCTCACACCGGTAATCCTAGCTACTCAGGAATCTGAGATCCAAGAATAACGGTTCAAACCCAGGTGGGGCAAGAAAGTCCGTGAGATTCTGATTTCCTAGTAACTACCAAAAAGCTTGAAGTAGAGCTGTGACTCAAGTATAGAGCACTAGCCTTGAGCAAAAAAGCTCAGAGACAGCACCTGGGCACTGAGTTCAAGCCCCAGAACCAGCACCAAAGATAGATAGATAGATAGATAGATAGATAGATAGATAGATAGATAGATAGATAGATAGATAGATAGATAGATAGGTAGATAGATAGATAGATAGATAGATACATAGATAGATAGATAGATAGATAGATAGATAGATGATAGATAGAGTAATAATAAATTGAACCTCACTACTTAAAGTAAAAAGGAGGCAAAACAATTACTTCCTTGGCAAAGGAAATGTGAAATTATAGTTATTGTTAATTTGCTCTTATGAGTCAAGAATATAACTTACAGATATTAAACATATTAAAGAAAAAAGCAAGAGTTAAAAAGCTAGACTGATATTTCTGTAAAACTAAATTAGAAATTACCTAAAACTATATTTTTTCAAAGATAATTATGTCTCATTTTCTATAGCATCTATTTCTGAAAGAGAAATTTTCACACTTTTAAGATTTTTCTCCTTGAAAACACACATAAAATTCTCACAAAATCTCATGTGTAAGAAATGATGCACACAAAAAATGTTCAGAAATTTTAAATACCTAACTTATATGATTCCTACATATGATTCCATAATGAACCACTTCAATGAAGAATTGAATAGTAACATCTGTATACCTTCAGAAAGTGGGTAAGAGCCTTTGATTTATCTTTCCTTGTCTCTTCACCCATAAACCAATAGGTTAGTCCCAGATGGTAATGATATTCAGCAACTTCAGCGTCTTTCTCAAGAGCTCTGTGGAAACTATGTGACCAAGACGGAATAAAAAGGAATGCTGAGTAAATGTGCATGTATGTTTGTACATACACACAAGTACAAAAATATAGAAGACTCCCAGATGGACCAATCAGAGTTTGAGTGGAACTTTAACCAGTACAGTAGCCTTTCTGTACTATCATGTCATGTTACATAGTATACATCAATTCTTATATCTTACTAAATATTATTATATGCTAGATTCAAAATCTAATAATCTTTCTTATTGTGTTAAATGAGAAATATATTTCTTAAAATTTCATGACTTATTAAAGCTTTTAGCAATTAAACTTATACAAACTAGATCTTCATCAAACCCATCTTGAATTTTTCAAAAATATAATAAGCTAACATGTGACTAGATTTATAAGTGATCTTTATATTCTTACCACTTTTCTGCTTGGACGTAGTCCTTTTTGGTAAAATGAATCAAAGCCTCAAGAGCATGAGCTTTAGCTAAGTCAGGGTAAGAAGAGAGAAGGTCTTCCATAATCTGTAAAGTATATGGCAGTCAATTCTATTTCTACATAAAAATTATGTTAAATTTTTAAACAATACTCAGTTTGAATTTTAAAAAAACAAAACAAAAAAAAACCCACCAACCTTTGTAGCTTCATCTAATGAACCTTTGTTCAGATAGGCCAAACCTTTGAGAACCAAAAGTTCTGGAACATTATTTGCATCAGAAACCTACAAAACAATTATAAACAATCGCTATAAATCTCCTTCAACAGAAGTGCAGCAGTGTTTGCTTTAACTAAAGAATGATAGAGAAGATCATAGTCCTAATAGAATAAAGACACAGAGGTCCTACTTTCTATCACTATTAATACTCTTCTTCATTTCAAATATATGAAAAAATAAGAGACCAGTATAATAAGCATACTTGTTCTCATCATGAAGCCAAATTTAAAGTCAATCCTTTTTTCATATATACATCTACCCATTCTGTCACATTCCTGCTCAGATGGTTTTTAACGAATCTACATATGATAACTTTTCATCTGTGATCCTTCAGTACCTATATCTAAAAGATAAACTAATGTGTAAATAACATAGCACACTATCATCTCATCTAAATGAGTCAACTGTACATCTTTCACATCATCAAATTTCCCAGTTGCCTTATACATGCTTTTGAGCAATTTATTAGTTTTAATCAATTGGCTGAAGGATGTCCTAGATGTGTATGTGTATGTCTCCCTTTTGTTACAGTGGAGATAACATATTCTCTTTTAATCTATAGATTTCCCTCCTATTGCTTTTCTTTCTACTTTTCAGATAATAAAAAAACAATATAAGTCATATGCTATAGTTTCGTAAAGTCTGATTTTTCTGAGTGTATTCTCGTTGTGTTTAACATTTCCTTGGCATTTTAGTAGTAAGTCTGGACGCTTGATCTGATTGAGGTTGATATTCTACTGAAAATACTTCGTTTACTTGTATGTGGTTATATCTGGCTGGCTGTCTTACTGTGATATTAGCAGCTGTGGATCCTCATTCATTAGATCCTACTCATTAAGATTTTATATTTCATTATCCCTAATAACACGAAATTCTTCAACAAAAAGAAATTTCTCCTCCCTATATATGTACTTTTGTTATGAGGAACATTTCATGAAGGAAAGAGAAAAGGGACAGATTCTTTCTAAATGGCACCTTAGCAACCTACAACGATTTTTGTTTTCTTGAAGTTTTCTTGATTTTTCTGAATTGCTATACACAAACAAATTTTAAGTTTGTGTCTTACAATGTACTGCAGTTATTAATGACCTCTTTAGCAACTGAGAAACTCATCATACTAGCTCCTGAACCCTTCTAACATTACTAATGTCAATTTCCTTCCTTTCTAACAAAGCAAGATACTTGCTCTGTACTTATCTTTGTACATTTTTTTAATCTTAGGCATAGACTCTTCTAATTCTAAATTAAACTTCTCTGCATGTGTGTGTGCATATGTGTGTGTATGTGAATTATAGAAAAGGTCTTCAAGAAGCACTCACACAAAATGCCTTATTGGGGAAAGGTAAGTATAAAATAAAAAATTAGATATTAACTCTTAAAAGATGCTGACAATTCCTATAATTTTAAGTAAATCATAAGAAATACCAAAACATATGAAATATACAAAAAAAGGCTTTTTAACTCAAAAGCCTCTATATCGAAGTGATATAATTTTAATTTTAACAAAAATAGCGATTATCTTGTATAAATTTTGAAGATATAATTGTTATAAGTCACAATTTACCTGTTTAATGCTTTGGCTAGAGAATTTCAAAATACTTGAACCAAACACATTAAGAAATTAATTTCCTCCTTTAAAAAAAAATCTTTCTTTGAAGGAAGCCAATGACAATCTCTACTATGAATCTTCAATTCAACTTGTCACTAATCTGTAAAACATGTTCTTAAAAGTTTGGAATACCAAGTTTATAATAATCAAGAAATAATAACCTACGAGGATAAAAAGAAGTAAAAATAACAGCTAAAACTGTTATTAAAAGAAAACATGGCTTCACTGAAGAGCATATAATTATTTAACCAAGAAAATCTTGAACTGTGTAAATGGGTTATCAAAGAATGGATATGATGAATTCATACTCATAAGCCAAAGTTGATATAAGTTCATTTTTATTAGAGAAAGATGCTTGGTATCTGGCTGAATGGAAACTAATTAAGAGTTGAAAGAATATTCAGTCTACCTGATCAAGGGTGTGAATTGCTTCCTCTGAAGACTCACAATCAGAGAGATTAATCAAAGCCTCTGCTTTCAAACGAAGACAAAGATTTTTCTGATAAAAACTGCCTCCAGATGCACTGATATTTCCTATGTGATTCAGAGCTGGCAAAAATTAAAGACATCTGAATGAAGGTAACCATATTATTTACTTTATTTGCTTTTGAAGAATAACACATAGTATTATGATATATAATAAGCATGGTATATGATATGCACAAATTTCTAACAGAGTATATATATGAATAATAATTCAAAGGTTAATATAAATTCTTACCTGAACTCTTTACAGAAAGATTTCAATTTAGAGCAAAACATATGAATTTGAAACCTGTATCTTCACATGACATATAAAACTAAAGATCCTGAACCAAAACAATAGCTACCTACATCTGTTACATAATGAAACTCTTAGTTAAAGCCAATACACATGACAAGTTGTGAATGCTGGAATGGGAAATCTAAAAGAAGCTGAACTAGAAAAGATCTAAATGAACTGATTTTCAATTAATGAACCTATATAATAATTGGGTCACAAACAGAGAAGTAACTTTTATGATTTCCTAGGTCCCACAGCTCACTTACCACATTCAACTAAGTTCCGGATACCTAAGACTTCTTTTATCTACATCAGAGAAATTAAGATTCATAAAGGTTCTTTGCACACCAGAAATTTCCTTGTTACTAAGGTAGAGTATAGCCACCAAATATGAACTATGTCAAAATTTCTATATGTAGATTTGGCATTTATTTCATCTCCTTGGTGAAATTTAAATTAGAATTTAAAATTAAAGGCCTTTTTAAAGCACTATCTTTCTCCTTTAGGATGAAAACAATACTGACCATTCTTATATGTAAATACAAAAGATGTCAAAGATACCTTGATTACATGAAAGAACAGCTTCCTTAGGTCTATGCATTTTGACTTGGGCTTCTGCCAGATGATACCACCCAGCTATGCAGAGAGGGCTTGCCTTTAATCCTAAAAAGATAAAAACAACCAAGAAGCAAAAGTTCCCAGGAGAACTTAAGTTACTAGCACCACTACCTATTCTCCAAGTCCAACTCTGATCTTCTCCTATCTACTCAATCATTAACCATACAGATTCTGTGCCTCAATCCATCACTCCATTCACATTTCTCCACCTCTTCCACCAACACTTCCGTTGAGATCCCCACCATCTTTATCCCAGGTCACGGTAAGTACCTGACCTCTACTTCAAGGTATTCTCTACACTATTGTCACAATATTTCTAAAAAAATAAAACAAAACACCCCAAATTATATTATAAATTTCCCTTTCTTAAAACTTTTCACTCTTCACTGTTCTCAAGTTAACTTGTAAACTTACAAAAACAAAAAAAAGGGTTTTCACTTCCTGCCCCTCCTGCAACCTCAAATCTTGGTGAACTATACTTAGAGTAAGTTTTCCTCAGACCTTAGGATATCTCATAGACTCATCTCTTGGGCTAAAATGTTCGCATCCCCTTCATCTACTTGCCTAAGTTGTATTTGTTAGTTAAATTTTTGCTTGAATGTATGTTCATCCAGAAACAATATACTTGATGAGACTAAGTTAAAGACTTAGAAGTTAAATACTTCTTAAAACTGTCCTTATTTTACAAATCAAAATACTAAGATATAGAAATTTTAACATGCGGGTCTGGGAAGGTGGCTCAGTGGTAGAGTGCATGCCTTGCATGCACGAGGCCCTGGGTTGGATTCCTCAGCACCCCATAAGCAGAAAAAGCTGGAAGCAGGGCTGACACTCAAGTGGTAGAGTGCTAGCCTTGAGCTGAAGAGCTAAGGGACAGCGCCCAGGTCCAGAGTTCAGGCCCCATGACCAAATAAAAAAAAAAAATTAACATGCTTTTCCATGGTCTTAAAATTAGTGAGTAAGAGAGTTGGAATCCAAACCCAAGCAAACTCCAGAATATGCAGACACAATTTTTCCCTTTCTACCTTAGATATTTCCTTAAAGCAAAGCTCTAAGATGAATGCCCATTGACTAAATACCAGTCACACTTTAGGTTAAATGCTATATACCATATATTTACCTTCTGTTAAATTACTAATAGCATCATCATACTTTTTGTCTTGTATTGCCTTAATACCTAAGCCAATGAGACCTGGGCCACTTTTTGAATTCATTTCCACTAGTTTACAACAATACTGATGTCCTTCATCAGTAAGATTTCCTGGAATTAAAAAAGAAAGTTATTAGACATGTACACATATATATATAGATATAGATCTATAGATGTATATATAGGCAAGGTTTTAAATCCCAAAAGCTGTAGACATATTTTACCATTTGATTCTAAGAATTCAAAACTTAAATAAACTAGCAAATACAGAAAAATAATCTTATAAACTATAATCCTTCATCTTCTAAAATATTTTAAGTAGAAACCACTTTATCCAAAGACACTGAACCTCAAGTCATAGCACCAGTAGACTAAGTTGAGCAACCTATGACATGCCAGATCTCTCTTTCCTATTCATCAGGAACAATTTCAGTTGTTAAATGAAGGACCTTCTGTCAAATGGAGATATTCACATCAACCTCTGTCTGTGAGCAGCAATACATTACAAAGGCACATAGTAGCCAAATCCAGTGGAATTTTTTAGCATTTTAGGATCAGGACACTGAACAATGACTTAATCGCAGTGTTCAGCAAATAGGTTTCCACCTATTTATGAGCTATATTCTATATAATAATTAAACTTACTAACAACCTAATGATAGCATTTATTTTTAAATTTATTCTGATAAAACAATTTTGTTTAGAAAACATTATATACAGCCATGCATGGTGGCATATGTGTATATTCCTAGCACCAAGGAGGCTGAGGCAGGAGGACTTTGAGTTCAAGGCTAGCTTAGGTTCTCAAAAGAAAACATTTATATATTTTGTTATATTTCTATTTTCTTCAACCTCTGTCAATCTGAGGATTGCTATCTCAAGAAAAGTATGCAAAGAATTTAATATATGATTTCTGGTTTTAGATGAAGAATAGCATTCAGCACTCAAATTACTTAATCACACAAGAAAGTTCTCGAAAAGTAAAGTTACTGTAATTTGAAACAATAAATACAGAAAACAAATAAAAACAATTTATCTGAAAAGACCTACTGCCTTAATATCCATGTAAAATATGACCCTTAACCCATAAGTGGAACCACTGTTTTATTCATAGATGTTAAAGGTAAAGTATTTGCATAGTACCAAATAAACTTTTCAAAATCAGAAACGTACAGATGTAAAATCCAAAAGTAATAAGTTATATAGAAATACAAATTAGCACCATTTTTTAAAATCATAACAGCTAAAGAATGAAAGCTTTAGTACTGTTTGGCAAAATATGAATTCAAATTGATTAATAATCAACTTATGATTAATAATCAACAAATGACACATACCTAGCTTGAGGCTGATGGTTCATGCCTGTAATCTAAGCTACTCAGAAGGCTGAGATCTGAAGGTTACAGTTCAAAGCCAATCCAGACTGGGAAGTCCAGGCTAGGAAGCCAAAAGTAGAGCTGTGGCTCAATGGTAGAGCACTAGCCTTGAGTAAAAGGAGCTCAGGAACAGTGCCTAAGCCCAGAGTTCAAGCCGCAAGACTGACCAAAAAAATTTAAAAAGAAAAAGACACATGCCTGCTACTATTATGCTTCCAGACATGTATTTTTCTGTTAATGTTCTCACAATTGCTTCCATAAATATAAACAATATGCTAGCCCAATCCCCTTACAATCTCCCAAACAAAGCAATGCTCTTCCCGGTTTCTAACAAGCAGCATTATTTGAAGTAGATATGTCTACACTAAGCACCAAATAACTTAAAATACAGCATTCTAAGTCTTGTTCATAGTTTCTCATTTAGTAAGTCTGGTATAAGACTTAATAATTTGCATTTCAAACTAGCTCTAGAGATCATACTTTAAGAACCACAGGTCTACAGTTGTTAGACAATACCATATGGTAAAATACCATAATCCACTTTTACTGTAGTCTAACAAATACAACCTTTTTTTTGTTGCCCCTGTAAACAAATGGTAACTTTTAGAAAGTATCAATCTCATACATGTGAGACATTCATTAATATTTTTATAATTCTTTAAAAAATACCATCATGAATTGTTATTCAAGAGGTAAAAACTAAGAATTAAAATAGAAAATTAAATATATTGACATCCAAAAAAAGGGGAAAAATGCTATTAAAATTTTACCTTCAATTTCTACCTATCTGAATCAGAACTGTCTTACTCCATAGGAACAATTAATGAGAGATTACCTTGGCAACATAAACTGTGCTTATTAGGGAAAAAACACACCTGGGATGAAAAAAGGGAAAAGCCAATCATGCATCTCTCCAATGATCATCCAAAGTTAGAGTACCTAAAATTGTACATGGGTAAGAAAAGCATGTATAAGCACTTTTCAAAAGGCTTAAGATGAACAGGGCAACTTCTAAAAGAAGGTAAACCGATGTAACATATTCTTTGTTAATACCTAAAAGTACAATTATAGAAACAAAATGAGATTTTGGAAGACTATATTCATGCAGCTCTTGGTAACAAATTCTCCACATAGGACCATGTAACAAAAACTAGCAGCATTAATATAATAACATGCTGTGTGAAGATTCCTTGCACCCTCAATTCTCTCTTCCATATTCATTTTTGTTGAGAATACTACCTAAAAAAATCTTTGTTGAGAATAAAACAGAAAGAAAATAGGTATCAATGCTTTTGAATAGAAAAATCACTAACTTATCCTCTTTTTAATATTAAAAGGATTCAAAGACTAGAGATTTATGACTTTAAAATAGCTTAAAACATTGGCTTGTTGTTGCTATTGTTTTGTTCACTTGTCCTCAAAATGGCAAGTAAATAGGGTAGTTCTATATTTAGTTTTTTGAGGAACCTACATACTGCTTTCCATAGTTGCTGAACAAGCTTACATTCCCATCAACAGTGTTAATACCAACAGTATAACAGAGTTCTCTTTGGCTGCATCTTCATCAGCATTTATTATTCATTGTTTTCTTGATAATAACCATTGTAACTAGGGTGTGGTGGAATCACAGTGTTGTTTTGATTTGCATGGCCAGAGATGCTGAACATTTCTTCATGTGTCTATTGGCCATTTTTACTTCTTCTGAAAAGTTTTTCTTTAAGTCATTAGCCCATTTATGAATTGGGTTGTTTTTTCTTTGAAGAGTTATTTTTTGATGTTTTAATTTTTTAAGCTCTAAATATATTTGGGGTGTTAGGCCCCTGTCTGAAGTATAGCTGGTAAAAACCTTCTATTCTGTGGGTTTTCTTTTTGCTTGTTAGCTATGTCCTTCACCATGCAGAAACATTTATGTCTGATGCAATTCCATTCATCAAGTTTTCCTTTGATTTGTTGTATTTCCAAATCTTTACCTAAGTTTCAGCCTGTACCCAAGAGCCCTAGTGTTTCCCTTACCTCTTTCTATAATAGTTTCATGATTCCTGGTTTAGCATTGAGGTTTTTGATCCATTTTGAAATGAAGCTGGTACAAGGTGATACATAAAGATTTAGTTTCAGTTTTCTGCATGTGGATTTCCAGTTTTGCCAGGACCAATTGTTGAAGAAGCTCTTTCTTCCAGCCTATTCCACTCCTGAGCATTTATTAAATAGAGTACAAACAAGGCTCTAGAGCACAACCATAGTTCATTATAGCACTATTTATACCATAGCCAAGATATGAAATCAGCCCAAATGCCCCTCAGTGGATGAATGCATCAAGAAAATGTGGTAATGTGCACAATGGAATTTTATTCATCTATTAGAAAGGATGATATTGCACCAGTCATAAGGAAATGGAAAGACATAAAAAAAATTATATTAAGTGAAATGAGCCAGAACCAGAGAAACAAAGGCTGCATGGCTTCCTTCATCTGAAGTAGCTAGAATGTGACTATGAATCTATAAGTAAACATACTGGATTATATGCAAATTGTTACAAATGTAATAACTGAAGTATAATAGACACTGCAGAAAGCTGAAATAGTATAATTCTTTACAAAGACTAAGTCAAAGACCAACAAAATAAGTACCAGTGTTGTAAGGTGAAGTTTCTCAGAAGTCACATTGGTAGATGGAATTTTAGAGTCTTTATTACACAGCAGGCCACAGACAGCCAGTTGTCACAAAGGCCTGCAGCCCCCAAATACACATAACACAATTAGGAAACAGGCCAGACAGGAAAGAAAGAACAAAAACAATACCAAATGCCATGATGAATGGAGACAAGCCAGGAGACAGGACACAGAATGTGATCACGGAGACACATGTGGCATGGTGTCCCAGTGCATGTACTTTTCCATACCTAAATAGGGTCCTTGCAGGGTTACAGGATAATTCAAGTCCCAGGCACTGGACTGACAGGTTCAGCAACCTATCAGCCAAGTGCCCACCCCTGTTTTAGGGATTCAAGTATACCTATCACCTGGGGGGAAGGGAGAGGAGGTACATCACCCTCCCCCACTAAGAAGACAAGATGCTAGAACTTAAATAGACATACTCAGGTACCAGTAAAACTTCCCCAGGCCTTAACCATCCACATATGTTATGCTTAGAGGCTATTCAGAGGCAGGTGATTCAAGCCATTATGGAGTGAATCAAAGCTTTCCTAAGGCTATGATATATTCATTTCTCGAAAGCACAGCACTCCTAGCTCACCTGATTGAGCCAGGTATATCTGCACTTCAAAGGATGGCTTGTCTCAACTCTAGGCCTTGGACTGGGTGGACAGCCCCAAATCTCCTGCCTAGACACCAGGATGTCTGCAAGAAATTATTTAGGCTCAGCCACCTTATTTCACCAGGAACTAAATACTTGCAAGATGGTGGGGAAGAGGGGGAGGGTGGAGCCAAGGGGAGATGGGTAGACAGATGAAGAGGAGAAGAGGAGGAGAATACAGTCAAGAATTCACTGTATATGCCACAAAATTCAGGGAAAAGAAGGGGGTAGGTCAAAGGTGGGTAAAATGTTGAAGGGGGTGAGAAAGATCAAGATGCATTTAATACATAAACTGCTTTGTTAAGTGGCAAAAATAATTAATACATATACTACACAATTAAGCAGAGTGAAGGAGGAGGAATGGTAGGAGGGATAGGTGACACTGCTCAAGATGCACTGTATTCATGAATTGCTTTGTTGAATGCAACTCCTTTGTACAACTACTTATACATATTAGTATGTATTTTTTAAGTCAAACTTGGGGCACAGTCCATGGATAAAGAGTGTTTTGCAGATGGGATGCAAACTAATACCTATGGAAATCTGTTTTCTAAAGTGAATTACAAAAAAGATTAATTTTTCTTTAATAACTAATTTGTTTTTATTTCTGGCATACTAGAGAAACTGATTGATATTGTAGAATATTTCTTTCAAGTAAATCTTGCTTGAGGGTATAGAGAACTTGTACAATTTGAAAGGATATTTATTTCCTTATTTTAATCTGGATTTTCAATTACTTCTAGAATAAAAAATATGTATTGATTTTCCAGTGTTTCAGAAGGGACCTAGAACCTTATCCCTGCTAAGCAAGTGCACTATCACTGAGTATTATCCCCTGTCCCCACACCAAAAATCACAGGCTCTTTTTCTGCTTGAATTTAACAACTAAGTGTTCTTATCCTCCCCTCCCTATTTCAGCAACAAAGCAAGATAAATAAAAAGGTCATTTAGCATGAAAAAACATTTCAACAAACAATTGAACTATAAAGGCTATTTACAACTTATTACATTTTACAAATTGAGTTATTGTGAAAATGAACCTTCAAGTTTCAACATCCAGAACAAGACAAAAGAAAATGTTTGTCCTGGGTGGAAGGGAAGTAGTGATTACGTGCTATGTAGTAGCCATTTCTGCAGATACCATAGTACTGTGGGGGAGGAAGGAACAGCTTTTACAAGGCTTTTCAAGATTTTCAGAAGTTCTTAATTTTCAGAATAAAGAAACTTTGGCTTAGGGCTGGGAAGGTGGCTCAGTGGTAGAGTGCTTGCCTTGCATGCATGAGGCCCTGGGTTCGATTCCTCAGCATCACATAAACAGAAAAGGCCAGAGGTGGCGCTGTGACTCAAGTGGTAGAATGCTAGCCTTCAGCTGAAGAGCTGAGGAACAGTGCCCAGGCCCAGAGTTCAGGCCCCACAACTGACCAAAAAAAAAAAAAGAAAAAGAAAAAGAAAAGAAAAGAAACTCTGGCTTAGAGGAAGAATAAAAAGAAAACAGAACTAATCAAACATAACTTCTTATTGTTCTGAGGTAACTATTAATCTTTACCCCAGATTATTAACACTTTACTTTGGGAGGTACTTAACCTCCAAATACAAGTAGGACTTATCAAAAATATAGGTTGAAGTAGGGAGATCCAGTAGGTGTGATGGTCATTTCCTTTCAGGAAGTCCCCCTCAGTTATCTCTAGGAATAACTTTCAACTATTTGTCTGCTCTGGCAAATAAAAGAGTTATTTATATATAAAGCATTCCCATGTATATTCTCATTTAGCAACAAAGTGAAAAAAATAAAAACAGATGAGTAAATAGTTTATAGTTACCACCACATTGGTATTATTTCTACTGCAGTTACTGATTTGAACTTGCTCAATTCAGGAGAGTAAGTATGGACAGAGATGATATTCAAACTATTTTTTTTTGTCGGTCGTGGGGCTTAAACTCTGGGCCTGAGCGCTGTCCCTCAGCTCTTCAGCTCAAGGTGAGCGCTCTACCACTTGAGCTACAGAGCCACTTCCCGTTTTCTGGTGGTTTATTGGAGGTAAGAGTCTCAAGGACTTTCCTGCCTGGGCTGGCTTTGAACCACGATCCTCAGATCTCAGCCTCCTGAGTAGCTAGGATTACAGGCGTGAGCCACCAGCACCCGGCTGATATTCAAACTATTTTAAAACAATCTACTCAATACAAATACTGGCAAAGAAGACAGAGACTAGTGTGAAAATCAAGATGGCCCAACTCTTCAAGCTGCCCAAATATCCATGGGGCACAAGACATTCACTCCTACAAGTTTGTCAACTTCTAACAATCTAGTTTTTATCACTTCTCTTTTATCCTCAAAGAAAATATGAAAGTCACAAAAGCATTAAGTTTGCATTGAAACATTCTTCAACCTGAATCTGTCCTATTTCATTAAGAAATACAGCATTCACAAAGTTCATTACTTTTTTTTTTTTTTGGTCAGTTGTGAGGCTTAAAACTCTGGGCCTGAGTGCTGTTCCTGAGCTCTTCCACTCAAGGCTAGCACTCTACCACTTGAGCCATAGCACCACTTCCAGTTTTCTAGTGGTTCATTTCAGATAAGTCTCATAGACCTTTCTGCCCGGTCTGGCTTTGAACTGTAATTCTCAGATCTCAGAATCCTAAGTAGCTAGAATTACAGGCATGAGTCACCAGTGCCCAGCTTTAAATTCATCACTTTATAGTATTGCAATATTAGAAAAATGTTCTTGTAAGACTGACACAACATAAACACTAAGAAAGCTAATCTTTCCCAAGTTCAATTTATGACATTCCATAAAATGTAGCCACACTCACTCAGCCAAACTACATCTTAGTTATGCTTTCCCTATAAGCAAACAAACCTATTTTATTATTCCTTAAAAAAACAAAAACAAATGTACCTAGCTACACAGCTCTGTTCAGCCATCAGTAGTAATTTTTAATACCATCTAATAATGTCAATAGAAGATTCAAGAAATCCTTCAATTACTACAGCTAAAAAACTTTACTGGTAAACAAATGACTCTGTAATTCATAATTCTTCTATGTAATTGCATTTTCCTGTATTATCCAGTGTTTTGTGTATATAAAAGCTACATACTGTATTTATTTTATGTCCCCTAACACTGAAACAACATTATATACTTGCTGAGCACTAAACCAGTTTTTGACTGATTGCAATATCATTTCCATACAATCACAGACCCCTGGGATACACAATATAATAAAGAAGAAATTACCTGATTCAATTAAATGCAAACAAATCACTTCTAATGGATACTGTACAGTAGGATAGATGTTTATCATTCCTTCACAGGCCTTCTTCAACCTAGCAGCCTCGTGGGGAAACTTGAAAATATAAAAGCAAAATACTAAAGTCCAATAGTAGTAAAAGAAATTTTTGAACACTTTCCTAATTAGAAACACATAAAAATCAAATAGAAATTTTTAGAAACTACTTACTTTGGATAAACACTGAATGAAATGTTTATAAAGCATTTGGTGATCTTCACTAGGAATCGTATCTGATAAGACCAGTGCATTTTCAAATGCAGTTAAAAGCTGAAACAAAAGAAACCTGTGTAGCATACTTTAAAGCCAAATGTTATAATCAGTTAAATGTATAATACTACTTTATACAGACCATACCTTCAACTGCTGTAAATACACTTTACTGACTGGCCCTAACAATATCAATGATGTAAAAAAAGTTCTAGAATGCAGTATAACTCTATTTGGCCATAGACTTCACTGAAGTAGTAAGTGATAACTATAAATTACCAACGTTATTTAATAAAACATTCTTCTATTTTTTGCTATGTCACAATTAAGTCAACCGAAGCATAATCTTGCTTTTTTTTTTTTCCTAGTGCTTTGAATCAAACCCAGGCTTATACATGCTAGGTGAGCTTTCTACCACAGAGCTATATTCATGAAGCTAAATTCTATTTCTTCTTTAAAAAAAGAGAGATAGCCAGGTGTCAGTGGCTCACGCCTATAATCCTACTCAGGAGGCTGAGATCTGAGAATCATAGTTCAAAACCAGCCAGGGCAGGAAAGTCCATGAAACTCTTATCTCCAATAAACCACTCAGAAAAACGGAAGTGGCACAGTGGCTTAAGTGGTAGAGCACTAGCTTTGAGCTGAAGAGCTGAGGGACAGGGTTCAGGCCCATAGTTCAAGCCCCATGACCAACAAAAAACAAAAAAGAGAGAGAGAGAGAGAAATAGTTAAATCATATTGAAAGCACTTTTCTTAAGCAGTGTTTACTGACTGGAGGAAATGTCAAGGGACTTTTTTTAGTATATATTGAATAATAACAGCAATATGAGAAGCCAAGGCAAGCACTTTACAGCACATTATATTAACCATTTGGCTTCATGAGTTCTAATTTTAAAAATGGGTATTCATATAGAAATCTTTTTCATTCTCACACTTTTGTTCTCATCTCTTAATACTTAATACATTGCTTGATACATGATACATCCTCAGTAAATATTTTCTGAATAATAGAACAAATCAATGAGTAAATGAGTGAACAAATATACAAAAGAAATTAACTTTCTATCCTATATAGAGCCTATTAACTGTTACAGTTTAAATTTTTTATTCAATTTAACAAGCATACATCAAGTGACTATTATAATCAGAAATTAAGGTGATTTTTAAAGTTAAAATAAAAAGAAATATTTTCTGATTATGGTTCAAAACCAATGACTTATACTCTTAAAAATCCTTTTTAATTAATTTTAAAATAAGGAATGTTATCTAGTATAAATATTCTAATTGCTAAATATAAATACTCTAGATGAACTGTTAAGCCTCAAACTAATTCAGCATTCTTAACTCATAAGTAAAAAGAAGCATACCTTCAAAGTACAACATTTAATAAAATTTAGAGCAATTTTGTGAAAACCAATTTTTAGGTTTTTTTCCAGTGATTCATTACTGACTGTGCATATTCCTATTAATGTGAGAGAATGAAATTCTAATACCCTGAGAACAATTCTTTTCCCTTCAGAATGTATATGAGACTACAGGCCAATAATTCTAACATTATAAAGAAAAGCCTCCATGAATATAAAAATGGATAATATAAAAAAAATGGATAGTGTGATGTACATATACTACCTAAAATATTTATCACCCTTTTCCAAACTCAATTAAATAATCAATTTTCTTGTTCAATTGTGAGGAATATGTCAATACCAATTGTTGGGTTTCATTATTCTCATCCTCTGTGCTCTCAGCTAGCAACTGAGTCAATTTCCTCCACAGTTGATGAAGCTCTTGCTTATCTGCACCTTCTTCCTGCCTTGTCTTTATCAATTTGTGCCATGTTCGTGCTACCTATTGAAAAATAAAAATGTAAATGGCAATAAAATGTGAAAATAAAATTTTTATATACTAATACATAAAAATTGCATATGCACCAAGTCCCATCTGTTAGAAAATCCATTTAAAAAGTTAATTGGGAAATTCTAGTTTTTTAAAAGTACAACAGAGATACCACAGTAGACACAAGTAGGATGACTACATTCAACCATCACCATAATTTACATCTATGGAGATGCCATAAATGTGTCTAAAATAGTTCCCCAGGCAAGACTATTTATCTAACTTCTAAACAATTTACAAAAGGTTTAGTAATTATACCTTAAATTTGAATTTTAATTTACAGCTTCAAAGCATTGTAATTTATCTCTTAAATTCTATTGATAACACTACATGTTAATTTTTGATTTAAGCTTAAAAAAGATTTCTTCTAATAATAGTTTTACTAAAGTAAGTCTAAGACACTAGAAAATCAACCACCAACCTCTAGGTGTTTCTTTTCTTGGTAATACAGATCCACAAGTTTCTTACAGACATCACACCACTTCTGTTTGTCAACGCTTAGGTCAAAAAAAAAAGGGAGAGGGGAGAAGTTAAGGTGTTAATTTGACAATGAAACAAACCAAGGACTTACAACACTAAAAATTAAAAATCCCAATAATATTATCAATTTACATTAGAAAATATTCTCTCTTTATACTACAGTAAAATTTTATGAGTTAAAAATTAAAAAGGTTTTAAAAACTATCTTTCATTACATGGACTGAAAATAATACTAGAATTGCAAAGTTAATTCAATTTTGCTAATAGCAATGTTTTGATGCTATTTCAGTCACAAGAGATTCAGTTACTAACATTTGAGACAATATGCATCCCAACTGGCACTAAGTGCTTAGGGTAGTTCTACATAATTTTCAATCAGCTTAGTAAAGAAACTAGCCTTTCCCCTATATTCATTACCTTTCATAAAGATCCAGGAGCTTTTGGTAAACACCAGGTAAGTCATCCTTGGCATTTATGTGGTTACACTTTTCATACAAGCTTGCTAAGCCCTACAGAAGGAGGAAGTAGTGTTACATTCTTACCAAAATCTCTGTATCTCATTTATTTTACAAAATAATGTGAAAATCTCTAAAGATAACTTATCATAAAGATTATCATAGTTTATAGGTAAAATATATGAGGTTTTCTGGGAAAAAATCTGGAGATAAAATTAAGGGTGTGAGGGTATAGGAAAACACAGATTCAAAAATATTATCTGTGAGTAAATTTTTGTTGAATCTGGATGATAGGCATAAAGTAGTTTATTATGCTATTTGCTTTATTTTCAAAATGCATTTGAAGTGTTTCACACTATTTTTCAGAAAAAAAAATTCAGCACACTTTAGAAAATAGCTTTTTGGAGGTATTATTGATATGTAAATACTGCATACATTAAGATGTACAACTTGGTATCTGATAAATGTACATATTGTGAAATGCATATACTACAACCAGGCTAGTGAAGCCATTACTATTACACAGATACCATTTTGTGTGTATGAGTATATACATGTACTTGATGCACATTTAAGATCCTATTTTATTTGATACTGCTTTATGGATACAGCCAAAAACCCAAGTAGTCTGAAAATTAGTATTTTTACTTCAAAGAAAGATACAGATATCGCCAGGAGCCAATGGCTCATGCCTGTAATCCTAGCTACTCAGGAGGCTGAAATCTAAGGATCATGGATCAAAGCCAGCCAGAGCAGGAAAGTCCCTAAGACTCTTATCTCCAATAAACCACCAGAAAACTGGAAGTGGCGCTATGGCTCAAGTGGTAGAACACTCGCCTTGATCTGAAGAGCTGAGGGATAGCGCCCAAACACAGAGTTCAAGCCCCACAACTGACAAAAAAAAAAAAAAAAAATACAGATATCCTCAGTCAACATATTTTACCACACACCTTAAATTCATATTCATTTTTTAGCTGAGACAAAAAGTCCACTCACCAGAACATACTACTTCCTATTAATATAATTTCAAAGATGTGATTAACATATGAAACAAATTAAATATTAAAGATAAAACATTAGAAAATTCAACTAAAAACAAGAAAAAAGAAAAAACACTACATACAAGACAGAGAATTGAAAATTCTATATTATTTTTAGAAAAGCCTATGATTACGTACTTCTTTTTCCCCAGTTAAGCACAGATCTGGATAAGTATGTACATATTATTAAACTGGAGAGTTACATAATTATTTTTCAACTTTAATCTTTGCATACAAAATAATCCACAATAATCCACAATATCTTGGACAGTGTTGTTTTTCCAAAATAAATTTGAAGTTTAGAAGACCAATAAATAAAAGATTTTTCTTATATGGGGAAAAGGAGAGTTAAGTACTTATTTTCAAATCGTTACCTCTATTTTTAAGAATTAAAAAAAATACAAATTTTCCATACTATAGAAAAATAATGTACACATACCTGCCAAGCTAGTAATTGATCTGGCTCTAGTTCAGCAGCTTTCTTATAAGCCCCCTGGGCCTGATCAGGTTGTTCTAGCTCAGCTGCAGCAACACCAATAAAAACCCAGGCATTATAGTTATTTTTCTCTTGTTTTAAGACTGTCTGATTAAAAAAAAATTAAGACAAGTCATTACATTTTGGCAACTACTGAAGAAATACAATAAAACAACAGTCTGTTAAGGAGTCAGGAAACTGATATATGATGGGACAAATGTAAAATGCTACCTAACCCTTCTGGCTGCAGTGTTTTAAAGGAGAGAGGAAGTTAATGGTACCAGTTTGTAAAGAGTGTAGAATATAAGGTATATTTCTTGAAAGCTGTCCACATGATCCTGATGCTTCCACAAAAAATTCCTTCCTGCTCTTTGAGAATACTGGGTATCCTCCCGTGACATTCCCAGTAAACTCACAAAACTATTCTCTATTTCATTTCACTTCATCCAACTCTAATAATTTTCTTTACCCTAATGTTTTCTATAGTATCCAGATTGATTTTTGTGTGAATTATAAGCTAGAGAAAACTAAAGACACTCTTACATGACTATACCAAATGTATGTTCAAAATAAATAGCAGCTGATCAAAGTTTAAATAACACCTGCCATATGCAACAAAAATTACACATAGAGACTTTTGGAAATAACAGCTACTTACAGGTGGACCCATTGCAACAATGAGATGGACAAGTTGTTATGTCGAAAAACGAACTTTACAACTTTGGTGAGGGGGTGGATGGGGGGAGGTGGGGGAAGTATGGGAAGGGATGAGAAGTGGAATGAAGAGGAGGCAACAATGCTTGATAAGAAATGTACTCGTTATCTTTCCCATGTAATTGTAACTCCTCTGTATAGTATTCTCACAATAAAAAAAAAAAAAGATAAAATGAAATAGCTTGAAGCAGGAAGTAAATACATTCTAGAATGTAGGTAATCTAATATTAGCCTCTCAAAGTTTTACATATTCCAGGCAAAATAAAAGCATTTCTATAAGTTGAACCAGTCAAATCATTATGCTTATATGTTCCCATATAATATTTCTGATAATCACCAGAATATTGTACAAATTCCATTCTGTCCAATAGGGTATCGCCTAAAAAATCCATAATGCTTATGTTCTGAAAGCCAAGTATGATGCAAGGCCCACAACTGCTGAACAAATGCCACAATCAACCACCCATTACTGACTATATGGCTAATGATCACTTTTTCAAATCTGAAACACATTTTAAGGAATAATTAAAAGATGTTGAAAATGAGTATAAAATTCCAAGAAATTGCAGGATACTTGACTCTACCTGTATAAAAAATCCATTCAGGTGCTGAATGTGATCTTGCATGCCTATAATTCCAGCACTGGGGAGGTTGAGTTAAGAGTATTGAGTTTAAGGCCAGTCTGAGCTACATAGCATGTTATAGGGTATACAGCCTGAGGGTACATAGCAATACTCTACAGCTTGTTATGAATGAATCTATCTTGCTTAATTCTCTTGCTAAAAATGAAGGAAGACCAATTCATTTATTTTCAATCAACATCCTAGGTTCCTTCAGATAAGTAATCAGATGCTTGCCATTGATATTTTCTAGTTGGGTCTCTAGTTTCTAGTTGGGTTTCTAGTTGGGTCTCTCCAATACAAATTGTGTACTACTAGGTGGAATTCAAATCTGAATTCTGCAGAAAACCTACAAAAAGAAGACTGCTACAGTACTGAAGTACAATAAAAATGGATTCACATGTGAAGTATTAAATAAGCCAAGTACTTATCTCTACTTTTTTACTCCACCTCTCACCGTGAGTCTGATGAGACTCTTCACCTTCTATATAAGGATTAGTACCGTCACAGCTTCAGGAGTCACTACCAGAAACCTAAACCTCACAAGGGCATCCTTTATCCTTAAATTCTCATCTTCATGCTATATATTTCTCTTGGCCCTGCCCTGTCATCTCCATATTACTCTCCTAATTTTTTTTTTGGTCGGTCATGAGGCTTGAACTCTGGGCCTGGGCACTGTCCCTACCGCTTGAGCCACAACGCTACTTTTGGTTTTCTAGTGGTTTATTGGAGATTAGAGTCTCACGGACTTTCCTGCCCAGGCTGGCTTTGAACCTCAATCCTCAGATCTCAGCCTCCTGAGTAGCTAGGATTATAGGAGTGAGCCACCGGCGCTGGCTCTCCTAAATTCTTTATAGTGACAATTCAAATCAGCCAAGTTTTCTCCATTTTTGAAACATTCCTCTTCTGTTCTTCCTTATTTCAAAAACACTACTACCTTTGAAGCTAATGTGATCAAACCATACCACCAAAAATATGCTTGGTGTTATCAACATTCATGATGTCTCATTGGACATGGTAGCCTGTTAGTTATTAACCTTCATAATACTCTTTCCCCAGAATCTTGATTTCCAGCATGCCAATATCTGCTCTTATATCTTCCCTATTCAATTACAGTTAATGATTTCCATAGCAACAATTCTTAAATCTTTATTATCCCAAATTCGTGACCCCATGCTCTTTTTTGCACTATTTAACACACTACTTTGTATTTTTCACCTATCTTTATCCAGGTCAAAACTCCATGGCCCATCACTGTCACTACTCCCTTGACATCACATCCTGAACTCTTTTGTCTTTTATTCACCTTGCCATTCTCACCATCCATAGTCTAACCACATCATTTCCCTATCTAAATTTGAGAAGCTTTATATAGAAGGAAGAACTACAGCTGAGTTCACCAATTTCACCTTCCAATATGAAAATTCAATGGGCCAGTTCTTCAAATGGGCCTAGTAATCCTTTCAATTCTTACTAGTAACTTTGTTTTCTCACTCACTAAGAATAACAACTGCTTCAAACTTTCTTTTGTCTCAAATCTCTTAGGCGAGCCTCTCCCACTATCAGTTTAAACTTCATCCAAAAAAAAAAAGAGAAGTCATCAGAAGGGACTGTTAACCTTTCTCACCACTAAATCTATAGAGGAAACACTGTATATGATAGAAATAAAAGGCCTATTCTCAAGCTCTAAATCTTATCTTCTCTCACCTTCCCAAGGACTTTACTTGTACCACAACCCTCTATCTTTCCTGAATCTCTTTCTAAAAGGAACATGTTCTTCACACATAAATGAGCATTTGAATCTTGATTCTCTCACCCACAAAACAAATAGAGTTAGAATGTCAACCATTAAAGAATAAACTTTAAGACATATCAGTGTCAACAGGTACTTCGACACATTCAGATATTGAGAACCTGGCCTTGATAATTCATCAATAGAGAAACATACAATTAAGGGTAGCAAAAATAATTTATCCTACTTATAGAGTAAGGTAAGGAGATATGAGTCTAACCACTTTAGTGATTCTTCTAAATGGTTTTACCACTCATGTTGCAATTGAAGAGTAAATGATTCAAATTTTACAGTAATACATACATTGGTAACATACTTCAGAGTACAAGAAACAAATATTGGTTACCTTACAATGTTTCAAAGCTTCTTTGTATTCTTTGTTTCTGATTGCATCTCTTGCACTTTTTAAAGCAGTCTTCACCTCTTTGCTGGACATTCTATTACGGGGAAAAAAGCTTGAGTGACTGCAGAATAATAACTGTAATTGTTTAAATAAACTTAGTCATCTGAAAAGGATGCCTGTGAGTCCCTTTATTTGGACCTTATCTTCAATCTACTACATATATAATTCCCACATCTCCTTAGAGTATTATTCAAATGTCAATTTCTCAAGTGAGACCTACCTGTGATACACTATCGTAAGATTTAATCTTTCTAGCTTCCTACTCAGAGCCACCCCCCATACTGCTTCATACCTTTCCCTTGCTTTATTCTACATCAAAGCAGTTATCACATCTGTTCTACTTATTCATTATCTGCACCCCAATCCCACTAGAATGTGAGTTCCGTGTAGGCAGAATTTAGTCAAAGAGGATTATGGCTTTTCTTTTCAAAATCTAGTCATATATTTCTTTGGTTTTATATATGTAGATCAACCTCTTCATCGGATGTATAATACTATTAGTATACTATGTTAGTGATCTCTCTTTGGTTCACTTTGTACACTTGAACATCTGAAGCCTACAAATCTACTTAATATTTACCCAACTTTGTTCTACCATCCTGATGAAATTAGAAGATAACAGAGTAGGCAGAAAATACAAAGAAAAAAAGTTTCCTTTTTTAACATTCAATTATAACTGAATTTCACTAGTTAATTTTAAGAGACAGTAAGTTTTAAAATCTTTTTTTTTAACTTAGTACTAGGGATTGAACTCAGGCATGCTAGGCAAGTGCTCCCTACTTGTGTAATGCCTCCAACCCAAATATTTACTCGAAATATAAAAATTGAGACATTAAAAATTCAATCTATCTATTGGTAGCACTAGACTCCCCAAACAGGGAGAAAAGTAATATTGTGCCATTACAATTATATAATTTAAAGCAACATAGTCATATGCTCATATCTTTTAGAATAATGTCTATAGGTGAAAACTTGAGATAGATCTTTTATGGTCTACAAATCTTGACAGCCACAGATAAAAAATTTCAATGCTGATTTCACATTCTATTTTCTCAAACCAGTTTCATTTGACAAAATAACCTATAGACTAAAAAGAAGACAACATTAATGATGACAAAAACTGATAGAGACCAATAAGAATTTGGAAGAGGCCCAGAACTGTTAGCTGTAATCCACCAGTATTAAATGGCCTCTAATCCTAGCTACTCAGAAGGCTGAGGTTTAGAAGATCATAGTTAGAAGCCAGCTCTGACAGAAAAGCTCATGAGGCTCCACCTCTAATCAACCAGCAAAAGCAGTGCTAACAATTATTTATTTTACTTAATTAAAAGTGACATTCAAGTGAAATTTGAGATGTCTGTCCAAGTTTAAAAAGAATATAAAAAGTTTCAAAATAATATAAGCCCACCCCAAAATCCAGTCCCTTGCACAACCTCCAATCCCACGGGATTGTGCCCCTTGCTGTCCCTCAATAAACAGTCCTCACCTGTTGAAAAAAAAAAAGTTTCAAAATAAGATCAAGCAAACAAAGACCACAACCTATCCAGGACCAAAAAAAAAAAAAAAATCATCCAGTTCTATCACCCAGTTTTCAATGGGAGCATACAAGATGGAATTAATCAATACTAAAACTAAATGCAGTGGGGGCTGGGAAGGTGGCTCAGTGGTAGTGTGCTTGCCTATGTGCATGCATGTGGTCCTGGGTCAGATTCCTCAGCACCACATAAGCAGAAGTGGTGCCGTGGCTCAAATGGTAGAGTGCTAGCCTTGAGCTGAAGAGCTAAGGGACAGTGCCCAGGTCCAGAGTTCAGGCCCCACAACAGACACACACACAACAAAAACCTAAATGCAGTGTAGGGGCTTGAGGCAGAACTCTAGCTTCTCAGGATTATCTTCTTTTCTCAAACTGTCCCCTAGCTCTTTGTCGGTACAAATAAGCCTCAAGAGCTATTTGGGCAACTTATGTCTACTTCTTCCTGTGTCACATTTTACTGCTTCTTTATCCATAACCTCAGTGTTCAATACCTTTTTCTTTTTGTTTTCCCTGTTCTTTTTCTTGAAGTCAATCATCTTACCCCACTGTTCTAATGACCCATTTTCAAAAAAAGAAACAATTGTACATATTTATGGACATGTACATATGTATATGTATCAATGTACACAACCATTTAGATAGTTAAACATAGAAAATGAATCAAACTAAGGGACTACTTAGGAGAAGGAGAGAAGGAAGGCAAAAGGGAAGGATGTATAACTTTAACACATTGCAAGTATGAGTGTGGCATGCAGAAACTCAATGAGATACCGTCAGTGGACAGGACTGACAGGAGACAGGTGGGCTGGTGGAGGAGAATATGAAAAAGGTTGACTATCACCAAAATAGTTTTTTTTTGCAACTATCAAAATGGAAGAAAAAATTACATGCAGCTACTTGCTGCACATGCTCTAAAGAATGTAATCTAAATCAAGAGAAAGCTGTAAGACATATGAATCATTGTTGAACCAAAGGCTAAACTAAGGAATAATAAGCAGAAGTGCAACAGGAATTCAAAAAAGAAAGAATGTTCTGTGTAAAATAATTACTTGACAAGGAGGGAGAATACATAATATACATTATCTTTACAATAAAAAAAAATTTTTTAAGAAAAAAATTACTTAAGTCACAAACAACTGTCTTCACAAAGAGATATTAAAATGAGTAGACTAAGTAACAGGAATGACAAGAAAAGTAGGCTGAATAGTTCAGAAAGGTCTTACCAAATAATGGGAGAAAATGAATTTAAGTAGAGCCTAAAATTATATAATCTGAAGTCAGACAGACAAGTCTGGGCTTAAATAAAGCAGCAAGAAGGAAACCATCAAAAATTTTTAAAGTTGTATTTTTCCCCCCACCCCCTTCCCACCGCCTAAAGTTGTATTTTTAAAAACACAAGAAACATGCTACATGTTCTCTGGGTAACTAATTCTAGCATCCAATATCCTTCCACATACATGCATATCCATAAGTAGAAGTTCCTATGCATCAATGTAATCGTCTATCCTTTTTCCTTTCCTTCTTCAGTTAGCAAAATATGCTGAAATCCAGGCTCTTTCTCTTCATCTACCATTTGTATAAATATGTATACATGTATGTAAGCATATGAGTTTCAAAGCACAAAGTAATTTGCTACATGCTAGCCCTGAAAAATAGTTCTTTTTTTTTTAGAGGAGGTAGGGTAAAGCCAGAGGCACATTCACCAATTTTTAAACAAGCATTTATTGAAAAGCAACCATTTACCAGGCCTCCTTCAAACCTTTTATAAAGTAAAAACTTATTATCAAAAATGATATGAAACCCAATACTCATCCATTTGGGATATTTCCCTCTATTTTAAGTGCTTTCACCATTTCAAGTGTCTTTAATTTTCTCCACAAACAGCTATTAATGCGTTTCCCTAATATCTCTCTTCCCTAATTTTCCTCCCTCCCATCTGAGATTTTAAAATAAGGGCATTTGCATATTTTTGCAAATTTTCATACAATAAAAATTTTTGTATTTCCATCACACAAAGTTTCTACCCAACGTAAGTTAGATTTAAAAATTAACAACTATATTTTATAAATTAGAAAGTGATCACATAAAAAGGCAATGTTACATGTCCTAAAGTCTTTTGCAGCACCCTCTAGTCCTACTATAGAATCCTAGCTACTTAGGGGGCTGAGACCTGAAGATTCATGGCTCAAAAACCAGCCAAGGCATAAAAGACTACAATGACTCAAAGATTCCATATCCCACTAACCAGAAAAAGGCAGACTAGCAAGTATGGTTCAAGTGGTAAAGTGCTAGTCCAGTAAATGGAAAGCCAGAAATTAAAACCTAGTACTACCAATAAAAAGAAAAAAAAAGCACCCTTTCTGACAGAATATGGTAATGATTAGCAAAAATGATTTATGTTCAGAAGAGTGTCCAAATTAACTACGAAGCCTAAAATTGTACGAGAACTAGCATTATCAGAAGAAATTAAGGGAAGACTATGAAGAAAATAATTAGTGAAGAAATGGGAAAAGGAATTGTTCAAAGTGTGAGATTATCCAGTAAAAAACCTCAATGAATTAAAACAGTTAAAACTAAAGAAAGATCAGATTTAGCTTAACTAAGAACTTTTATGACTTAAGACAAATGTGGAACAGTATACTCAAAAGATTCTGTTTCCGGGGCTGGGAAAGTGGCTCAGTGGTAGAGTGCTTGCCTTGCATGCATGAGGCCCTGGGTTCAATTCCTCAGCACCACATAAGCAGAAAAAACTGGAAGTGGTGCTGTGGCTCAAAGTGGTGGAGCACTAGCCTTGAGCTGAAGAGCTGAGGGACAGTGCCCAAGCCCAGAGTTCAGGCCCCATGACCAGCAAAAAACAAACAGACAAACAAAAGAAATGTGTTTCCCATCAGTGGAGATGAAAAAGCACTATTGAACAAACACTTGGCAGAAATACTGAAGCACTAACAATGTCAGAAAGAAAATAAAACCAGTATCCACTTAGATTCCTCCAGTACTGTGTCTTTGAGGCCTTAAAGTACCTACCTAGTTCCAACCTACTACAGCACTTGTTCTCACCGACACTTCTAGAGAGAAAGTGGAAGAAAAGTTCTGAAATCCTGTCATCAGAATAAGGCCTGTGAAAATAGCCATAGAGAGCGAATATAGATCACAGCAACAGTAGTATGTCACAGGAAAAAATTAAAAGTGATTAAATTAGTTTTATGGCTCCAAATACCAGCAGATATTGTTTCAGTGGAAAGTATGTTCAACAGTCCAAATTAAAACAACTTTTGGAAGTATATCCTGCACAAGAGAAAGCCTAGTTGTATTACCTTTCATATTTATTATTATTTTACGTATGCAGAGTTTTGCTTCACTAGAATGTAAGCTTCTTGTGTTCAGACTCTGGTTCACAAATAGATATTAAGCTCAGGAAATTGTCATAAATTTGTTATTGAACTCGAGACAAAATATCTAGTGAATTAGGGAAAAGACTGCTCAATTTCCAGTCCTGTTCAGAACATCTCCCTGAATAACCTTGAACCAGACATGTAACCTACCCAAATACATTTTCTATCTGCCAGATTGTCAGAATGAGGACTACAGAAAACATCCCACGGAAAAGCACCTAGTACACAATAGGTGTTCAATAAATGCTGAATATAATGTTTACTACATAGTGCTATTTATTAACTATTTAAGGTCTTCTCTTATGATAAAAATGCTATGCAAAAGCCAGATATTAATGTGAGGAGTTGATTTTTAAATAGTTCATTTCCTCTTTTTTCCAATCAAAATGGCAAAAACTAATGCAACGTGCAATTACATGCCTATAATTAAATAAAGAAATTAGCTTGGAGGCAAACATTTCTCCTTCAGAATGATCCAAAAAGAGTTCAACCCTCAAAAGGGGGAGAGCTGATTATTCCACAGTAAAACACTATCTTGCTGAACCCACGCCCATTCACCGAGGCCAGCACACAAGCTAACAAATCTCCCTTTTACATCTCTTTCGAGCTTGATTCCCAATCCTCTGCAATCAGCTAGAACCCCGCCTAGTACGCGAAGCTCCTGGGTAGGCCCCGCTCCACCCCTACCGGAGCACACTACGTCCTGACTGCACCAGCCAGGAGAGGCGATGAGGGGAGGGAGGCCAGACACGTCCCCGGGCCCCACCTCACCCGAGGCGTCCAGCCCGAAGCCCACCCGGAACCGCCCCAGCCAACTAGTGACAGACGCGCCGCCACCTCAGCATTGCCGGGATCCCGCACGTCCAACCCCGCTACGTTTGCGCGGCGCAAAACAAACATCCCCGGGGTCCGATCTTGTTCCTCTCTCACACAATCATTTCTCCACACTGCTCGTAAGCGCCAACTTCTGCAATAGTGACACCGACAAGGAACCCACCTGGGACAGATGCGGGGCCCCTCAAATGCCAAGCCTGGACGGAGGGCGCATGCGCCTTTACCAGGTACCCATCACGTGACCGGGGGGGGTGGAGGAGGAAGAGGGGAAAATTTAGTTCGTTCGGTGTTTGATGAAAATGTCTGCGTGTTAAGGCCTGTGCGCATGTGCGCCCTCTGAGCCTTCTGGGAATTGTAGTTCTCCGGATGATGTTCTGCGTTACTGAACGGTACAGAAACCAAATTGCAAGTTCGCTGTCCAGGCGCTCCGCGGCCGAGGAGAGACTTCCAGAGGCGGCGGGCCCAGTGGCCGCGGTGCGGAACCGCCACCTGCCATGCTACTGCTATGGGTGTCGGTGGTCGCAGCCTCGGTGCTGGCAGCGCCGACGCCGACGCCCGTGCCGACACCAGTGCCGACCCTGACCCCGACCCCGACCCCGACCCCGACCCCCAACTCAGGGAACGTGAAGCCGGGAGAAGTCAAGCAGCCTAACGTGGTGCTGGTCGTGAGCGACTCCTTCGTGAGTACCGGGAGGGTCGACGGCAGTCGCTACTGCGGGTCTCAAACTCTGTTCCGGGCTGCCTGACACCCTGGTCCAAAACATGTTCGATGCACACACCTACACCATGTACACGTGCGGACGTGTAAAGCCACAGCGAGTAGAACGCTTTCTGGTAACATCTTTTCTCAAATTAGCTTCCTTACGCAGGCTGGACTCGAACTCGTGTCCTGAGCGATCTCCCCTACCGTCTCAGCCTTTCCTCAGCCTTCCTCAGCGCAAATCTTTCATGATTGTTCGTGTTTTTCAACTGTGAATAAACTTTGATTCCCTTGGGAAGCAAAATAATATTCTTCCATCTCCATAAAAGCTTTCCAGAAAACATTTGCCAGTTCGCCTAAGTTTGCAGGAATATGTGGATGAGAAGTGAAGAGATTCATTTCATTTCCTTACTAAGGTCTCTAATCTTGCAATGATTTAAATCTACTCCTTCATACTACAGAAGAATTCTATGTATGCATATGTATGTGTGTATATGTATATGTATATATACATATATGTAGTTTTAAATTGGAGCCGAAACTCGCAGAATGATCTCACAATTTCTTCCCACTTTGTGAAATATATGTATTTTCTAAGTTTGTCCACCTCAAAGTCCTAGAAATAATAAGCCCCTAAGTGTTGGTTTCTATTAAGACTATGAGGAGATTTACACACATATGAAAATAGTCATTATTACAAATTATGATGGTGCTGAATGCACCTCAAGGATACAGTCAAAGCACTCTTCAGACTCTTCAGATTTGAAATATTCCCTCTGGTTACACTATACCAGTTTATTAAACAGATTCTTGAAATTAAGATCTGTTTTTTTTATAACTCTTAAGGCAGTAAGACAGGGCACTTAAACCAGTACTTGTGGCAAAAAAAAAAAAAAAAAAAAAAAAACCCAGTACATTAATTTTACTTTAAGGAGATAAATATAAAAGCTTTTGTAGGGAGGGAGGATTGGGGTCTTGTTTTATTTGTAGTGTTGGGATGTAAACTCAGAGCTTCACCATTACTAAACAGACACTGTAGTGTTTGAGACATGCCTCCAGGTAAAAATCTTAAAAATAATATTTCAAACCTTTATGATGTCTTGAAATTTCCCCAAGGGCATTTGCCAAATGAAAAAAGGTTTATTCAAGAAAATCTTTTAAAGATACTGAACCAAGCATAGCTTCACAGAGGCAAGTGTAGCTCAGAAGACAAGGTTCCCTTTCCTCTTAGTGTAAATCACAGGTTACTGTATCTCATCAAAAGTGACAACTACCAGCGTACTCATCTCCAAATCAAAGCTGAAGACACTAAATTTCAGGTGAGTGAAGATGAAATATTGAGGATCCATTTCCTCCATTCACTTCACATTAGAGGACAGAGGCTCTATACCAGGTACATCAGGCAAAGGATGCTAGTGCCTCACTTGTTCTTACTCCAATTTACTAGTATAACAAAGATTTCAGTAGGAAAAACAAGCTAAGGAGACCAGACAATCTTCTGCAAAAGAAGCAGCAGAGAGGAAATGAGAACCTCAGCATAAAATAAGGAAACTTTTAGCCACATTGCCAATGACGAAAGGGATGCATTGATCAAGATGTATACTACTGACATTTTGAATTAAAACCCCTTTATACAACTACTTAAAGATTTTTTTTAAGACAAAAGCCTGAGATGCCAAAAGCAGAAAGGAAAAAGCTGACATTGTCTTAGAATATAAAAGAATTGCATGTAAATTAACATTCCCTTATATAATAGGTAACAACTATGTCAACAGATTAGATAGATGAAATAGGTCTTGTACAGTCATATTGAAATCTTCTGCTACTGTGAATTTCATGATTAGAGTTAAATAATTTTCTTTTTTTATAATGTAATCAGTTAAATTCCTTTATTCTAGGATGGAAGATTAACATATCATCCCGGAAGTCTGGTAGTGAAACTTCCTTTTATCGACTACCTGAAAGCGCAAGGCACTTCCTTTCTCAATGCCTATACAAACTCTCCAATCTGTTGTCCATCACGTGCAGGTATGGACATGCTTAATGGATCCCCAAAAATATATTCTCAGTTTAAAACATTATTCCCAAAAGAATATTGAAGTCATATTTAACACCTAATAAAAGTATTTTGATATGAGATGTGTTCTAAAGTATATAGTGAGTATTGTGAGGATGTTAGAATTTTACTTTTTAATATAAGGAATTTTTGTTATCTAAGATACTGATTGTATTTAAGATCTAATCATATGTTTTTGATTTATTTCCTTGTGATTCTTGACTAAGAACCTTCTGACTAACCAAATGAGGAAATACACTTCCTGAAAGCGTTCAATCTCCAAAGAGATATTAAGTAGAACTTCGATGTTGCTAAACAGGATTTCTCATACTCAAATTTGTCTCTTCTGTCTCATTTCACTTCTGTCTCAAATCTAATTGTTGACTTTTTTTACAATAATTTAAAAAATAATTTTTACAATCATTTACAATAATAATTTACAATAATTTAATAATTTTTACAATAATTTAATAATTATGCCTACAAGTAGGCATAATTTTAATTGCAAAATGCCAGTGTCTACTGTCTGACAATTGCATTCCTTTTCTTCTGTACTTCTGTTCTATGATTATCTTCCTAGAAACCCATAACTAGGATTCAACAATATGGTTTCATCTGAAAGTTACTGAGATGATATTCTCTGCGATGGCAAGCTCTTTCACCTATATTTTCAACACTGTGAGCTACATTATCACCAATACTTAAAGGAAACCTAAACTACATTTAAAATAATTTTTCAATAATGAAACCTCGGACATATTTAAGAACATTTTTGCTCCTTTTTTATCCTGTATTGACTTGAAATCTGATCTTTAGTGGGCCACATTTACATGGCAAGTCACTCCAATTCCTTTTCTACAAAATGCTGTTTATGCAGTGTCCCTTACAGCATAGTCAACATTAAAAATGTGATAAATAAATTCCAAAATGTTACAGATAACAGACTGCCTAAAAGAAAGAGAAGTAATAACAGAAACTAATATTTAATTGCACTTACTCTATGTGACAATATTCTAAGTGCCTTATATATTAATGTATATAATTCTCAAAATATTTCTACAAGGTAGATAACACCATTATCCCCATTTTTTCAGGGGAAAACTAAAATATATACAAAGTTAGGTAACTAATCAAAAGCCACTCACTAAGTTCAGTGATTGGTATACAAACCCAGGTAATTCCCTGAGGCAGCTCTCAGAAAGCATTTTTTTAAAGAAGAGAACAGAAAGCTTATTCCAATGGGAAAAGAAAAAGAGCATCTGTTAAATTAGAAGTCATAGAAAATGACTCAATTTTTTATGAAGATATAGTGAGAAGACAAGGAATAGGGAAAATCCATAAAGATGCAGGTGAGACAAGGTCTACACTTAGTTGATTGATTTTTTCATTTTTTTATTGTCAAGGTGATGTACAGAGGGGTTACAGTTACTTAAGTAAGGTAATAAGTACATTTATTGAAAAATGGTTACCCCTTCCCTCATTTTTCTCCCACTTTCCCTCCCCACAGTTGACTGAATTATGATGTAGAAATTAACCAAAAAATACTTTAGAGATTGCTTTTATGTCCACAAATGGCTAGTTATGCAGGCTTTGTATTTAGTCCCCACTGAAATGCAGCTTAAATACTGTAAGCAACTTGACTTCTCAGACCCAGTCAACTCATCTATTAAATGGAAGAAGTAATTCCTTGATGAGTAGTCCCACAAATAAAGTGAGATGTAATTATAAATGTCTTGTAAGTTTAGTACTTCATAAAGGTATGTCTTATTCTAGAGCATGCACTCCAAACTAGTAGATTTCTCTTTGAGTACTTGCCTTAATATTTAAAACAACATATTAAACTTTAATCAAAATTTCTTTGTTTTCTCTCTAGCAATGTGGAGTGGTCTCTTCACTCACTTAACAGAATCTTGGAATAATTTTAAAGGTCTAGATCCAAGCTATACAACATGGATGGATGTAATGGAGAAACATGGTTACCAATCACAAAAATTTGGGAAAATAGACTATACTTCTGGACATCACTCTGTTAGGTAAAAACAAACAAAACAGAAATAATCCTAATGGTTGCCCTCTGCTATTATGCATTCATTTGCTTTTGTTAAAAATGTTATTTAAAATATATGTTAACATTATATTAAAATAAATTTCTTAGTTCCTCAATTGTGTTAGTTTGGATAAAGCATCAGCACTCTATAATCTTCTTAAAATATTAAAATTGCTAATATTCTTGTAATTTTGTTTGCAAGTCTATAGGTAGCATTTGTGAGACTGTTTAGCTCTTAAGTTATTTGGGTTGAGTTTCCATGATATAATGGCAACTTTATCAATTATTTTACAATGTGCTTTTTAAACCATGGTCCACTATTTGCCCTTTTCAGTTCTGTCTAATTTACTCTTAACTTTTTACCTTTCATTTTAGTAAACCCTAAAAATTCAGGTAGGCAGTTTATCTGGAGGTATAATTCAGTGGTACAGTACATGCTTAGCATGCACTCCATCCTCAACAAAAATAAATAAATAAATCAGACAGCCAAGCATTGTGGTTAAAGTAAAGGGCTAAAATAGATTGCCTATTTTTGAATTCCAATCTTCCTGTTTACCACTAAGTTTGTAATAGTGTAATTTTGGACACATTGAAGCTAACTGAAGTTTATTTCTCTAGCATATTCACTCACCAAGCTACTACTACCATTTCTTGCCCAAATTACTGGAATGTATTTACAACTGTACTCTTGCTCTATCAAATCCAATTTCTAGCCATCAAAAATGATCTTCCTAAATTACATACCTAACTGATCACATAATTTATGTCTCACAATCTTTCTATTGCCAGGCTCCAGTGTCTCACACCAGTAATCCTAGCTGCTCAGGAGGCTAAGATCTGAGGATAGTGGTTCAAAGTCAGCAGGAAGGTCCATGAGACTCTTATCTCCAATTAACCACCAGAAAACTGGAAGTGGCGCTGTGGCTCAAAGTGGTAGAGTGCTATCTTTGAGTGAAAAAGCTGAGACTTATCTCCAAGTAACAGCCAAAAATAAAGCTAGAAGATGTGTGGCTCAAGTGGTAGAATGCTTTCCTTTAGCCTAAAAGCTCAGGAATAGTACCCAGGCCTTGAGTTCAAGCTCCAAAACTGGAACAGGAAAACAAACACTTCACATCTACATGGTTTTTAAGACCCACATCTAGCCTCTGTTTATTTAATTTCATATCACTCTCATCCACAGTATACACCTGCTCTTTAAAATTTTCTGTAATGTACTTTTTGTTGACTACTCCCCAACTTTGTCCTGTGAAAAATCTTGTATTCTGTCTTGGGAATGTAGCAGAAAGACAGGGACAGAGAGGAGATAAGACAGGTGGCTTTGAATCAGCAGAGCACAGCTGAATGTCCAGCTGCCCTGCTACCATTCTTGTAAACTTGGGCAAGTTATTTGTTAATAGTCACTACTTTATTGGATGTTTGAGTTTGGTCTTAAATAATATAAGGGATTAAGTAATATAAAGGATTTAACAGTGCCCAGCATAAACATTCAGTGCAGCAGGTGTATTGCTATTTCAATGGTATAACCAGAATTACAGTTCAATATATAGGCAACTCCTTAATTTTCTAATATGCTATATACATTTCTAATTACTTCATGAAATTTCACTAGTTTCCCTTTAAAATGCAGATTTAGTTTGTGTGTATATATAGATATAATACCCATCCTCTAGTAAGCATCAGTTTACTTTCAACTTTTATAAAATAAAATTTTAGATTCTATGTATGAGGGAGATCGGTACTTGCCTTTTTGTGTGTGGCTTATTTCACTTAACATAATTTCCTCCAGTTCCATCCTTTTGTCATAAATGATAGGATTTCATGCTGAATAGTGGCAGGTATGTATATATATCACATTTTCCTTATCCATTTATCATTTATCAGCTAGTGAACACTTAGGTTGATTCCATCTTGCTACTGTAAATCCATTGAAGTGAACATTGGAGTGCAGATGTCTATTTGATATACAGAATTTTTCTTTCAGTATATACCCAAGAGTAATATAATAGGATCTTAGTTATATTTTTTGGTTGTTATTTCTTCTGAGAATCTCCATACACACTTACATAGTGGCTATCCTAATTTATACCTCCATAAACCATTTTCCCCACATCACTTGCAATCTTTGTTGGTTTGAGAGAGGTTTTTTTGTGTGAGGTTTTGGGGTTTCAACTCAAGGACTTTGGCTTACTAGGCACGTGCTGTGCCACTGAGCCACGCACTCAAGCCCATCTTTTGTATTTTGACAACAGCCACTCTAAGTTGGTCACATGATATCCCTCCTTTTTTTGGTTCACATTTCCCAGATGTTGAGCCCATTTTAATGTACCAGTTGGCCATTTGTGTGATAGACTTTACAGTGTCTATTCATTTTTAGTTGGTGATTTTCTTACTGAGTAATTATATATTCTGAATGGTAACTTCTTGTCAGATTATAGTTTGCAAATATTTTGTCCCATTCTGTAGATTGTTTCTTCATCTGTTCCCTTTTCTGTGCAGAAGCTTTTTAGTTTGATGCAATTCCATTTGTTCATTTTTGCTATTGTGTCTTGTGTTTGGAGGGGTCTTATCAAAAAAAAAAAATCTTGGCCAATTTAAGGGAAGCATTTCCTCTGTGTTTTCTTCTCTTAGTTTTATTACTTACATTTAAGTCTTAAGTCTATTTTGAGTTGTAAGACTGTTATCCTTTTTAGTAAGTCAAGTTGATACAGAGCAGGATATAACTACTCATATTATCCTATTTGAAATCATTTCCTCTCTTTGTTTCCAGGAATAAAAAGGATCTAAGATTGACTGTTTTTTATTCCCTGTAAGCTTCATTCTCAGATATGAAATGGTTAGATTATGACCTTGTGGATCCTTTCCTTTTTCACTGTTTTACCCTAACACTAGCCAGTATACTGTGGGTACACAATTAAATGTTTAGTGAGTGAAGTGGTGAATGAACGAGTGAAAGAGTAGAAGTTTTACTGATTTCCCTATAGCTTACATTTTGATAAATATTGCTCCTATTTGCCCCAGGGTCATAGCATTTGTTCATTATTAATGTGGATGTGTGTGTGTCCTCAGCTAAAATCATATTCAGTTTTATTTTTTTGGTGGTGTAATTATACTTAGCCAAGAACCACTTATATGTTGATATTTGAAATATGAAAGATAGTTTTGAGGATAATAATAGCTTGCAGTATATTTGTGTTTACTCTCTTCCTCATCAGAGTTTAGGAAATTGAAGTAAACTATTAGTATGACTTGTGTGGTTTTTGTATGCACCTGTACAACCATTTGGCTGACAAATAGGTTAAGAATTCTGTTAATAGTATATCAGAAAGGTCATAGAAATATAACATATTTCATATTTTTCTTATAAGTTTAAAATGGATCTCAGAAAAAAAAATGTTTCAATATCAAAATTCACAAATAGGGCCATTCGATGTTGTTATAGATTATCAAATCAAAACTTGAATTTTGATAACTTTTTATTGAATTTGGCCACATTTTTTGGAGGGGAAAGTACTGGAGTTTGAATTCAGTGTCTCACTTGACCTATACCCCCAGCTTTTTTCTTTGTTTTTCAAATTAGGATCTTGAGTACTTTTTCCAGGGCTAGTCTCAAAATGCAATTCTAATTCTGCCTCCCAAGTGTCTAGGATTCTAGGCATGTACCACTATACCTAGCTTATGATTCATTTTTTAAGGTAAGATCTAACTATGCAGCCCAGACTGGCCTCAAATCCCCAGTGTTCCTGCATCAGCTCCCCAAGTGCTAGGATTTCCAGGTATCTTATCACCACACTCTGCTTCAAACAGGCCACTTTGGACCTGCATTATTTTCAGCCAGAATTACAAGTTTCTTTACTACTGTAGTACTTCCATCTGTCTTTTTTTAGATGTCAGGTGACCCTTTCTTATTGTTTCAGTTGAGGAACACGAATCTAACTAAATGTCTCATACTATGTGTAGCATACTGAAACATACTGGGAACTCCACAGGTTGTACATTTGTTTCCTCTGTTTTCTTTTTACAGTATTGCTGGGGTTGAACCTAGAGTACAATTGTTTCTTCTGGACAGTTGTTAAACAGGTATTGGTAGCACTATTCATAAAAATGCCACTTACTGTAATGCCATAAGCAAGTTATTTAGCTACTTAGAATCTCAGGCTTCCCAGAACAGAAGACTGTCTTCCCAGAACTCTGAGGTCAAAGAATTTCAAGTTTGAGGCCAGTCTATGCTATATAAGCCAACTTTGTTTCTCAAAAAAGTCTTCTACTCTGAAGTTCTGTAATTTCAGTGGAGTACCACTAAATGACATAAAAATTATTGATATTTGTTTACCCCTCCCTTTCACACAATATATACTATATTTATATAGGTTTAAATTCAAATTTGCTATATCTTCTTATCAGTTTAGGGGGTCTGGACTTTGTGTTTTGGGATATTATTTTTGTTTTTGTAGTACTGGAGATTGAACCTAAGCTCTCATCCACACTAGGTATGCACTCTACCACTGACCTACATTACCAGCCCTCTTATCAATTGAAAAGAAACATTTAGATTTGTATTTACTTTAAAATTTATAATTTCAGTTATTTTTGCTTTAAGGCAAAACTTTTTTACCAATATATTTGCAGTATCTAAAATAATGCTTCTCAACCGAAGGCAATTTTGCTTTTCCTGAGGATCTTTCAATGTCTGGAGACATTTCTGTTTGACACCATTTGGAAGCGATGCTGCCATCTAGTCTACAATGCACAAGGTTACCCCTTCCATAAAACATTAACAAGCTCAAAAATGAAGAAATTGAGAAACCATCTAATACATGTATTATATGTTTGCCAGCATGGTCTTAAGAGTGTCACACCTAAATAAGCAATTGCCTGCATTTTAAATCTTTATTCTTCTAGATTCTTAGGGACAAGATTCTAAGAATGCTAGGATGTGAGGATTTTTTTATTTTTAATTAACAAAACCAAGCAAAACTCTTTAGAAGT